CTCGAAGATGTCGACCAGATATTAACAAGATGTTCGACCTCGTCATCTTGCTTCATGATTGGATTTAATCGTAGAATACCAAGGCCGATTGTGCGATCCGCAATCTGCACTCCATCTGGCGGGCTGCCAGTTTTTGAGCCTGCTGTACTTGGAGGTCCGGTGCCTTCTCGACTTTCGGCGCCGCTTGTTGAAAGTCGTTCGTCATTTTGCTCGGCAACGGCGTCCATCCGTGTCACAGGTGACCCTCTTGAAATGCCAGATCTTGAGCTCTTACCACCCCACATGAGGCTCCGTCTTGTTGACTTCATTCCGCCTGAAGATGTCGGTTTCATGTGGTCCCTCGAGTATGGAGCCGTTGGACCGGTGCCTGAGCGCGAGAGAGGCTGAGAGGGTATAATCTGCTGAGATGCTAGCACTTTGACAACCAGGAAGAGCTCTGTTTCTGCTGAAGGAACATCGCCCACGTCTTGTGAGGATAAATCTGTGAAAAGAGTCTTCGTCTGGGCATGCTTGGCCAGGTTGACGATTGTGCCCCCGGCAGGGATTTTTACTGTAAATCCTTCTGAAAGAGTAGTAGGCTGACCATATTGAGGTTTGCTGACGAGGTAAAAAACCAGTGAGGTCTCTTCAATCGAAGCACCGGCGAAGCCCTTGATGTCGACCATGAGATGGTGTAAAGCAGTCAATTCGGCAAGGGACTGTGGGGGCTCATCCAATAGACTCATCACAGACTGCAACTTGGTGACTTTGACAATACAATCGTCGGCTGTTAAGACCCTTCCCCGAGCTTCAGGGTCTCGCACAATAACTTCACCTCCACATAATTTATTCACCCTAACCAAGTCCCAGACGGTCCTTTCACGTAAACGATCGTATTCGTGTGCAGTAAGAACGTTATACAGAAACTGTTGCCGATGTAAGTTGAGGCCTGTAATAAGCTGAGAAAGTTGATCCAGTCGACTATATTGTCGGGAGAGTAGGAGCTCATGGAGGTTGGTGGAATGCCATTCTCGAAGACATGAGGCGATCTCGTCTATTAAGGGTTCCGATAGCGAAGTTGGTGTCTCGTCTCCGATCTTGAGCATTGGTACGGGTGCAGCAGGGCGTGGAGCGTTGGGATCTCTATCCACAGGTATTGATAGGCTTCCCAAGGTGCCATTAGGAAGTTCCTTGAAGGGCGTTCTGCCTTTGCTCGAGATCGTTGACCTATTTCCGTCTTTTCGGCTCTTGCGCGCTGAAATGTTCGTCACACCACTCTTGGCACTATCACTCGCGCGAGGCATATCACCATCCAAAGCTGGGCCATCGCTTGCTGCATCTTCGTTTTCATCACCCTCTTCGGGCTCTCCTAGCATCTCGCGAACCTCAACACAGCTTCGTGGGAAAATTCCGCTGAACACACGCGCCTCGAGTGTCTGGCCCTTGACAGAAGTCAGGCCAGCCAGCAGACTGGGAGGCGCTACGAGGTAGCCGCGCAGCCAGTTGCCGTCTGGTGTCTCTTCGATAATGTAGAGCTCATCGCCAATCTCGAGGGGAAGGTCGGCGGGACTCGAAGCTGGGAAAGGGTAGGTCGCGACGGCGAACGCGATGCGGGGAAGAGGCTGCCAGGGCATTGAATATCGTAGGGGACTGGTGCAGCTTATCGAAGAGTTCACAGCCGCCAGAGCTGGCGTAGTTGGAGGTTTCGCAGCTGGGGGTCGGCAGCGGCAAGAGGTGGGTATAAGCTTTAACGATTCGAGAGAAGGTCGGGTCAGGAGGTTATGAGTAGGGCGGTTGGTCTTTGTTGCACTACTGAACTCATCAAGAATTCAGATATCGGGAGCGCAGTGCCAGGAGCTGTCGTTAAACGTGTGCCCCGTTAATCAATCGCGGGCTCATGGATCTCGAAATTGGTCCCTGCAGCGCAGTTCCGAGAAGGACAGGATATGATATGGCGTTGAACAGGCGCAGGCACAGGCACAAGATAGGGAGGGTTTGGCTCGTGGTTAGTCGATTTTTGTTCGAATGCGCCGAGTTGATCCAAAGCGAGCGTTGTTGCTGAGTGAGCTGTTCAGTTTGGTTGGCAGGTCGCTCAAATCAAATTCGAACCCCCTGAGCAAACGCGAAATAGCTTGCGGCGGGTTTTGGCAAGGGTTCTAGATCGAGGGGTGGCCTCAGCCTTTTCGCGGGATGAATATGGATGGATGTTGGTTCGAGCGTAGGCTGCGAATGGAATAGGCAAGACAGGGTCGCCAAGAAGGGCAAAAGGAACGTCAAAGAATTGCCAGAAGAGAAGGGGACAATAAGAGAGAGTTGCTATTGTTGGATTGAAAGGGTAAAGTGCTAAATGGCACAAGTGATGAAACCAACGTTGAGATGGATCGTTATGTGCTAAAAGAGTCAAGAAAGTTGGGCTACAAGGGCTCTAGCATGATACCGTTCCAGGTCTCGGGAGGGGACAGAATGCGCCGGCTCTAGTCAAGGTCTGTAACAGTACCAACATATCTCTTACTGCATATATGGATCTCAATGTACTGGTCTAACAGATGTGAAGAATAATTGCTTTTTGAGCTTCTAGGATCATGCCCAATCTCAATTCCATCCCGTCTCCACTAGTGTCTGCGGTATGTGCTGCAAGTTAATGAGGTTGTGGATCGGCAACCCATGAATTTGGGGATTAGATGCAACTCGAGATTCTAGACGTGAAGAAAAGAAACGGGGCGGAATTAGCCATTAACATCAACGTACCGCTCCCCTGGAGACCTGCAGCCCTCTTTGCCCATTTTGCTCACGCTGCATGGGCGCCGTCTTACACACCACCAAGGTAACATTAATGAGACGACATCTTCAGCAACCTAAAAGCTTCTACGAATCCGTGCAAATTCTAATACGATAAATATTCAGATCAGACGAAATGCGAAATGTGCCCGGTTATCGAGTTGGCTCGTGCCAGTATAACCCACTCTCATCGACGGCCCGCGTACAAATCGTCTAGTACCTTACGCATCTATCTCCATCTATATGCAGGGTTCGCATTAACATTCCCAACCTCTGGCCCTTGGTCTATCATCAGCATGAATCATCGTGCAGATTTGATGCCCTTGCTTATTCGGGTTCCGCTGCCTGCCCAGACAGCCAGACTGCTATTGCATCGTGTGATATTCAAGCCACCGACTTTGATCAAAGGAATGCCCTGTCTTACATGATAGCCTCAAAGGGCCAACCAACCGCCAGCAACCAACTGGCCGGACATAAACGGAATCATATTTCCGGTGGTACAAAGACACCAATACTTCACCCACCTTCTGCCAGAGTGTCAACCCAGTTTGGGCGAACTCTCTCTTCGAGGGGAACCCGATGACCCAAAGTGAACAACTACCCTGCCATGCTGGAATTTTAAGCCTCCAATTCTGAGACAACCCACGGAACTCAGATCCGTGGTGAGAATGCTTTATACCACCCTTGCATCAACCCTGCATTAGGCTCAAAACTCTGCTATGTACCACGGTTAACCTCATCCTGCATGAGTGGCTTATGGTTTACAAAGAGGCGTGACTTTGGTATCGTAGATTCAGTGCCACCACAAGCATCTAAAACATCTGAAAACTTAGTCAAATCAGGACGAGCTATTTACCCAGTGAAGCTGTTCGTCTTCAACTTTTTATTTAAACACGTTGCATCCAGGATAGTGGCTATTCAAAACATAACGGCCTTTGTCAGGTGGGATACCAACATGTTCGCAATGACTCAATCATGCCAATACACACAATTTCAATGGAGCTTGAAATTACAGCGACACAAACTGCTATTTCTAGTTGGAAGGAATTTCCGTTCGAGATCGAAGCTTCATTGCATGTGTTCATTACATGTGTGATATGTGGAAGAAGAAATACTCAAGTTTGATATACTCAGTTACCCTGGACCAGTCTCCACAGAACTCTCAACACCTCTACATGCTGGGTCCAGTAATACAGAGCTCGACAAATTTGTTTAGCGACAGCATGTATATGACTGTAGTTATCGGGTGTGGCGAGTTGTGCCTTTGCTCTTTACTAACTATTGGTTTATGACTGCCGACTCAGGTTCAAATACCAAGCCTGACGGGCGTATTTACCTCATGTATGAGTACCTATGCAGCCCTGCATTCATTCAACACGCGTTTCTTTGAGCGTCCTCGGACTCGAAGAAATGTCAATGATGCCATCGGATCCGTAGTAGCGAAGGGTTTAGATCCCAATAGCAGCAAAAAGATAGATATTGGAATTGCCGGGGTGTTTGAGTGCAGCCGCCGGGTAGTTCCTCTATTATCGGCAGTCGACCATTGAATAATATCAAGACCCATGTCCTTAAGAGGAGAACCGTCGGGGGCAAACACCCACCTGACAGCCACGTCAAGTTGATCTATCCCCAATCAGATCCTTTACTACACCACGGGCTTCTGATCGTCGGTACTCAGACAAATTAGGATGGGGAACCAACCACCTTAGAGATACACCATGACAACACTCCATGAAACTTCTGACTTCGCATGTTATGTCAGGGCAATCGTTCCAACTTGCAGAAGAGGATAGTCAACTCACTTATCTTCTGAACGGTTCTTGAGTCTTATTCTAGCGCCTTACTGAATCAACTCACAAATAACACCACAGCCCATTCACCTCATAATCAGAGCAAACCCCCACACTGCAAGCTTCTCTCCAAGACTATGCGTTCGGCCATAATTCCCAATAAGGCAGCCCAAAGCACAACGTCCACGCTACGGCCGGGGATTTCTATATAACCCGCCAATTCAATGTTCTCATACAGCCTCGTGCCATCATAGGCCCTGCGGTTTAACGTAGTATCTCAGGCGGAGGTCCAAGAACGGCCAACTATAAGTTGGCAGTTTCCCAGCTGAAATATTGACCTCCGAGTCTTTGATCACCAGGCCAGAGCTACCGCCACATACCTGATATATTGTCCACCTCCAAGTATGCCTACCCTCTTATATCTGCCACTGAATACTGACTCCCGCTAGCAAGATGGTGCTCATTACTCAACTTCTATCGGGCCTTGCCCTTGCTTCAGGCATCCTTGCATCACCTATCGAGCGTCGTGCTGTTATTAACCACGATGCTGTCGTTGGGTTTCCGCAAACAGTTCCATCCAATACAGCTGGCTCACTCTATCTGAAGTACAAGCCTTACCTCAAGGTCTTCAACGGATGTGTGCCGTTCCCCGCGGTTGATAGTAATGGAAACACTGGGTATGTTAAGTTTAGACGTCCTTGGACTGGGGCTAACTTCGTTGTTAGTGGAGGCCTAGCCACAAGTGGCTCATCTAATGGAGGTTGCAGTAGCAGTCCCGGCCAGGTCTACGTACGAGGCGGGACTTACAATGGCCGCTACGGCATTATGTATTCTTGGTATATGCCAAAGGATTCACCCTCTCCCGGACTAGGACATCGCCACGACTGGGAAAACGCGGTGATATGGCTGTCTGGTGAAAGCACAAGTGCTACAGTTGTTGGCATGGCAGTTTCTCAACATGGAGGATATGACAAGAGAACTTCTGGTACATTCTCCGGAAACAGTCCCTTAGTGGGCTATACTGCCATCTGGCCTACCAACCACCAAATGATCTTCACCAACGACCAAGGTGGCCAGCAGCCGTTGATTGCCTGGGAGAGTTTGACCGCTGCGGCTCGTACAGCTTTGACAAACACTGACTTCGGCAGTGCCAACGTCCCCTTCAAGGACGGAAGCTTTGAGTCAAATCTGGACAAGGCAGCTGTCTGAAACCTCACACAGATTCTCATGTGTGCAAGAGATGTGCTGAAAGGGGATTGACAACGGTTCAAAGCCTCTAATCTGACAGATTCCTAATACACACGTGTTAATCGACAGCATAAGTCGGTATTCGCATAACGAATATCCTCTCAAAGAACTACATGTTGTTGCCTCATAATTGACCCTGCGTTGTTGTTAATGTGATGGTCGTTTGCCACTCTTTCTACCCATCCAATTACAATTATCGGAAAGCAACCTGCCAGTGAGAAGCTTCTTCACACCAATGAAACAGCCAACGACACTCACGAAATACGGTGGGCCGTTGACGGAACAAGCATGTGGGCCTTTCATCGTCGAAATAGATTCTCTGCGTGTTAGTTAAGCTCAAGCAGGGGTCCACCCAAAACAACAGAATGTGGTGATGACCTCTCTGGTAATCGCTGTAAAACCCTCTCGCACAATTCAAAGATACCCTGAAGTGGCGAGCAGATGCACGGTACGTTTGCCATTTTAAACCAATCGGCAATCCACGTTTGTTTTCAGCCATAGATGTTATCAGTGAAACTACCTACTCAACTTCAGGATTGATTCGCCGCACATAGCTCGGTTTTGCTATGACCCCCGCGCTGTGGATTGACATCATATTTGATGAGTGTATCTGATATTACTATCAACCACGCCGCCATCTTTGAGATCGACTTCTCGATTTTTTTTTTTTTTTGAATTTTTTTTTTAAATTCTTATTATCCCTTCCTCAAATTAGCCAAACTCAGCTGCAACAATTCATAGGTGCCTGCATCACCTGCCTTACCTTTTAGTCTTGCGCTTGCAATACACTTGGTGTTCTGTCATCTCGACGCATTCATATCATTTCGTCTGCACGCTGCAGAGACATTTCCCACAATTACCACCTTCACCGATCTTACAATTTAGCCATACGTTTATCAAGTGCTACCTTCAAATCATACCAAAGAATATACCGAGCTACAACAAAGAAACAAGCAAAATGGGGACACCGTTCATCAGTCTCCTCGAGCCTAGCAAGCTTGACGGATACAAACGCGGAGCGCCTCTCGAAGAGCAGCCATCGTCGATTTCACAGACTTTCCTGGATGCCATGGAAGTTCGCGAGCAAGTCTTTGTTAAGGAGCAAAATGTTCCGGCCGAGAATGAAGTTGATGACGATGATCCTCGTTCGTGCCACTGGGTTGTCTACGCCAGCGTCAACAAGGTCGAAGAGCTGGAGGTTCGCAATGAAGAGGGAAATGTGATACAACCTCGGAAGAGCTCGACACGCTCAACACCGATCGGAACCATCAGACTGGTACCGTTTCCTCACGACCCACACCCAGAGGACGGGGGCAAATACTGGAATGGGATTCTCCAAGACGATAATGGTAGCCAGAATGGACACAAGAATGGGCACAAGAAGATGAAGGCATCGTCGGGGATCAAGCCATATATCAAAGACCGGAAGACGACATTCCACAATGGCCAAGAGCCGTATGTAAAACTAGGACGACTGGCAGTGGTCAAAGAGTTCCGAGGACATGGCATCTCTGGACTTCTCGTCAATACAGTGCTCAGCTGGCTGAAAGCTCACCCGTCATACTTCAATCCCAACATCAAAGAAGTCGGCCTCGAACATCTCAATCCAGTCGGAGATGTCATGGTGATTCCCCAGTGGTCAGGACTCGTCTGCGTCCACGCGCAGAAGCAGGTGGTACAGCTTTGGAAGAAATGGGGATTTGAGGTAGATGAGGAGATGGGCACCTGGTGGGAAGAGGGTATGCCTCATGTTGGTATGTTTCAGCGCTTGGAGATTTCAGAGAAGATATCCCCTCTAGATTAGTTGCTCTCTATTCCCCAAAACAAGTCAACCATACCACTGCAGTCAGTTGAGAAGGGAAAGACAAAAAGTTGAGTTTTTTTCTCCAGAGACGAGACAGTCAGTTAAGTCGAACATGGAAAACCATAGAATTATAAACACAGACAGCTTTTGCTTATACATTGAATTTTAGTTCATTCACCTCTAAGGGAGCTCGACTTTTATTGAATCTAGAGCCACCTAAGAAAATCCCTAGCCGCGTTCCCAGACCCGATGAACGCAAAATGCAATTCTTGAAAGAAGCCGGAACACGCCAAAGCCAACCCTTCCAATCATGATACCGCCGTTGCACCTTTTATCGGTTGCTCTTGGCCACACGCTCCAACTCATCCTTCTTCTTGATAGCGTAAGAGTTGCTGGAACCCTTGGCAGCGTTGATCAGCTCCTCAGCAAGGCACTCAGCAATGGACTTGACGTTGCGGAAAGAGGCCTCGCGAGCACCAGTGGTGAGGAGAGAGATAGCCTGGTTAACTCGGCGGAGGGGAGAGACATCAACGGCTTGTCGTCGGACGGTACCGGCGGAACCAATTCGGGTAGAGTCTTCGCGAGGACCGCAGTTGACGATGGCGTCGACAGCGACCTGGATGGGGTTCTGATCGGTCATGAGGTGGATCTACCCCTGGTGTTAGCACTCTGTAAAGGCCAAGAAAAAAAAAATCCCCCCCTTCGTGGGCTTCTTAGGTTGGACGTACGATCTCGAAGGCGTGGGCGACAATTCGGACAGCCATGAGCTTCTTTCCGTTGTTGCGGCCGTGGTGCATCAGAGAGTTGGTCAATCGCTCAATGATGGGGCAGTTGGCCTTGCGGAATCGCTTTGTAGCATAACGGCCAGCAGTGTGGGTGACGTAGACGGGGTTTCGCAGGGAAATGTAGTCACTATTCGTAGGCCATCCGTCAGCATCCCGTTGCGCATAAGTGAAGTTTTTGAAGATAACTTCTTCAGAGTCAAAACGTACGTCAGGGAGATGTCGCGGACCTCGACATCGTAGTCCCACTTGTTGAAGAGCTTGACATTGCCAACCTCCTTGACAACATCCTTGGGGAGCACCTCATAGAGGGCGGAGTTCTCGACCTCGATCTCGCCGGCGTCAGACATTTTGGCTGTTGCAGTGGTCTCGGGACTGACGGGCTGCGGTTAGTACAGTTGTGATCGAAGTGGGAGGGAGTTCGAAATCGAAGTTTACAATGTGGGCGCAACTGAGATTCGAGAGAGACGATGGGAGGGCAGAATGTGCTTAGAGTGGGGCGAGTGCAACCAATCAGGGCAACCACCCGCCTCGGGTCAGGGTCGCACCTTCTTTTTTCTTAGGGCTCGGCTGCCCTGCAACATCTCGGGTGGCTCTTTCCACTTTCCAATCGCGCAGTGTCAATCGAGCGAGGTCTTCGGATTGAACACCACACTTTGTCTTGTCCAACCCAGACAACAGCACATCAGACAAAATGGTAAGTCCATGATGATGCCCCCCCTCTGCTGAGGCGGCGGACTTTACAAACATGAATTTTTGACTGACTTGGACATCAGGCCCCCGCCGCTGGAGCAAAGAAGCAAAAGAAGAAGTGGTATGTATAAGGCGTACCGTCATCGACGATGTTCAGAAACTTACGCATCTCCAAAGGTCCAAGGGAAAGGTCAAGGACAAGGCCCAACACGCCGTCGTTCTCGACAAGACCACCTCTGAGAAGCTCTACAAGGATGTGCAGTCTTACCGTCTCGTCACCATTGCCACCCTCGTCGACCGAATGAAGATCAACGGCTCTCTGGCACGACAGTGCCTTGCCGACCTCGAGGAGAAGGGCATCATCAAGCCTGTGGTCACTCACAGCAAGATGAAGATCTACAGTATGGCCTCCTCCCCCTTCTCGCACGAACATTCTGGCCCCGATGCGCTGTATCCGACCAACTGCTAACATGACTCCAGCCCGTGCCGTCGGTGGTTCTGACTAAATGCAATGAACGATAAACTTGAGTCTCACGATTGTGCGTCTGGGCGGCCTGGACGATAGACAGGCCGCATGGTCGGAGGGTGTTGCAAGGCGAAAAACAAAAGCCTGGTTTAGGACGCTATTCATGCTCGGTTAAGCATTGGGACGGAATCGCTTTAGCACATATGGCAACGGAATGAAAAATCTTCGAAACGACCAAACTATAGTTCCTTGTGATGTATAACCATGTGTCCCGATAGTATGGGGAGAGCTACTACTGTCTTATTTTCCACAACCATTCTGCAACTACTTAATGTTTGATAGCCCGCTAACATTTGGTTGAGGTATGAGCGCTTGTTGGACCAAGGCTTGACTGAACGATATTTGATATTGTAAACCCAACAGCCGTTGCATACAATTTGTCGAGGGTTACCTGGTCACCCGCACATGTGATAAGTTGATTCACTGGAGCAGGCGGCCGTTGCTCTGGCGTCCTCAATCACCTTTGTCAAAGGCTCATGTAGAAATCATTGTCAATGTGTTCCCTTTTGACTCAGAGATCTGGGTTTGGTCACCGAAATTGCCATGCTGGCTTGCAATTGAACTTGGGGCCTCCGACAAAACTGAAATTCGACAGTATGATCACTGTCGACCTAAAAGATCTAACAGTGATTCTTTCCAGAGCACATCTCTTATGATCGTGATCAAACAGCGTGTGACTGCACTACAAGTTGTTTCATGCTAAAGCGACTGATGAGTCCGCTTGCCAGCGAGGCAGGTCAGTGAGGCTTGCGAAAAATGACTGCCAAATTGTGGCCGGGAGCTGTTGAAATCACGACTTTTCTGGTCCTTTGCACAAGTAGGAGAATTGGTATTCAATTTGCAGCCTTCAGCACTTCACCAGGAACTTCATCGCTTTCCATCTCACTCTACAGTAGCTCAACGATGCGTTCCGTTTCTGGACTAAGACAAACACTTCATATGCTACAGCCTGATGAGATATGAAGTAAAAGTCTCTGTCAGCACCCTGCAACCGCCCCCAGAGATATCGAGTCATGTCGCTGGTTTTGGTTCCTTGGATATTGTTTTAGCACCCAGTACTGCCAGTGTAGCCTTGTTTCTCCCCGAGAATTCAGTTCCAGCCTAACATACAATTACCAAGCTGTCAAAAAGACAAGGCTCTCGCATTGGTAGTCTAGCATCATGCGCAAGAATAAAATGCGTTGTTGTTGAAGCTGTTCGATATGTAGCACGTGACCTTAGAAACGCAGATTTGATAACCACGTGCTACTATGTTGAAACATGTTCATTATTTTCGCTGCACTGATGAGGTTCATAGAAGAAGCTCTTGGAGCACAGCATACGAACGCGTGGTTGCTGTAGGTTGTGTTAATATATATGTTGATTCGGAAAGGCATCGAGTGCACAATCCCCTGAAAACAATTGAGGCAGTCCTCTTGCCATGACTTTCGCTTGGTGACCAGGGAGGGAATACACCCGAGAATGGACGCAGGTAATACACTCTAACCTAGATGGGATGTAGCCGTTTGGTCTGCGGACAGATAGTCCATGGCATGTATATTTTCACATCGGCTATCCGTGGACGAACGGCAGAGGTTTGGCCACTGATATAACCAAACGACCGTGAAATTGAAAGACCGGACAGCCTGGATACGGTAGGGCAACAGGTATAACGTCAGTGATGGTGTCTGGTTCACCTTCGTGGCAGCGCGGCGTCGAAAAATTGCAATCTTCAAAACGGAAGACAGGAGACTGGACACCGTGGTTTCTGTCCTTTTCGAGAGGTCGGTTTTTATAGGTCCATGGCTCCAAAGAGGGTCATCAGAAACATTTGGCAAGATCCTGAACGGTTTATAGTTAATTGTTCAAAATGGCCCTATATTAAGTCTCTAGAATGAGAAGACAGAGCATAAAATCATTAGGTTTATAATCATGAAGTTGTCGAATACTACTTACTGTTCATGGATTGGATTGCCTCGAGGAAACGGGCGTCCCGAGAGATAAGCTAGGGACAAACGACCATAACTGGAGAGAAAAAAAAGTTAGGTAGCCGAATCTGCATGACGATAAGCCCTTGTTCATACTGTACAGTACAGTGCATTTCAAAGGAGACACGAGTGAGGCGGTGGCGGATTCTTCATTCGGCTCAAAGGGTATGAGCTTGGTTTCTTTTGACCGAAGCCTCAGGAAAGCTACCCCCGGAGAGCGAGAAAACTTCAGAACTTGATATGAGAAGCTAAAGCAAACCCATCAAAAACCCACTAAGCTTATGCATTTTTATCCAAGGCATTTTATCACTGAGGAAAGAGGCCCTTAGTGTTCTTACCTGTCTAGAGCTGTAATCCCTCTACTGGCCTCTATTAAAGAAGCGTAACAAGGGTAGACTTCTCTCACGATCCGGGTACTATATATCATGAAGCTTCATAAACCAGAACCAAAGAATCTCTAATAGGAATGCATTTTCTCCTATGGTTTCAACAAATGCACAAGCCGTTACCATGATTCTCCTAAGACGGCAAGAACTATACACTTGATTTCATTTCCCAGTCTCGCCAGTATCACAAGTTGTCTGCAACAGCATGGATTCAATTATCCCCTGAAAGCGGAGAAGGTTTCTATTCAAGAATTGAACCGTTATAGCTCAGCACCTTTCTTGTGGATCTTTGGTTCCGGTGTGGGATATTACTGCCTGTAAATTTATGATGGACAAACGACGCCAGGACAGTTGGCCACAAACATTTAACTCACAATTTACGACTATCATAGTGAACAATACATTCAGGGACCCGGTTAGTCAGGACATAGAGCCAATTGAGCCGGGGCGTACGGCTACTCTAGGAGATCGCTGAGCTGGAAGCTTCCTCGGTTGCTGAACAGAACTGGACCCGAGCAAAATTCTGAACAAGAAAAAAAAAAAAGATTGTTCCCCGTATTCCTGGACAGCTCAAACAAACAGACACCAATTGGACGGATAGGCTGAACCAGGGGGTGCAAACCGGGGGAGGCGATGAGGAAGACCCAACCCAAGAGGACCAAGACCAACACAGCGTGGCTCACCTTGATTGACGCACAAAGCTTGCGCACTGTGCCAGGTGTGCAAGGCTTATTTCGGGCGATGCGACCAACAGTCTGTGGAGGGACCGGAAGCTAGTGGATTAGAGAACGAGCTGGGGGCTAGGAAAGGTGGGTGAAAGGATGTCATGATGGAGGGAGGGATGGCGGAGAGATAATATCCAAAGTAATGAGAGACTGACGACATTTGATCGAGATAAGCCAATTGCAGCACATGATGGCAAGGGCGGCAAGAGAAATCATTGGAAGCACAATGGACTGGAAATTGGTTCGAAATGATTTATTTAATGCTGTTTCTCATAAATGCCGTACACATAGAAAACTTTTCTGCCTGCAGGGCAGTGAAGTATCATGGATGCTTCTGGGGGTCAGCTAATCATGTCAGGAGCCTGTAGGTGTAGCCTACAGCCTACAAGCACCAAATCTACCTACTGTATTGTACAGTACCCCATACAGTAAAAAATGACCCCGAAGAGAGAGCTCCCATGTCTTAGAACGGGTCTAGGTCTCGGCGCTCGACAAAAAATCGGGGTGAACCGGCATCTCATCTTGCAGCCGGGCAGCAAGCTCAAACCTGGATTTGTGCCAGAAACTACCCACAATTCAGTTCACTGATTGCCACTGAGTGGCCACTTATCCACCCCCTGAAAAAAGCTCAGAGGCACTCTGGGCACCTGGGGCACACAGACCTGGGCGAGGCTGTGGCCTCAGGCTTCCAACCCGCACTGTTGCCGTGGAGAGTACGGGTTGGCTTGGTTTTGGTTGGCTGGGGTCCCAGCTCCCTTTAGCGCGGGCCCGGAAAGATTCGCTCAAAAGCGCCTTTCATTCAGATCCGCCGCAATTTTTTTCCCTCCCCCCAAATACCTCGCACCCCCCGTCGGCGCAGATTTATTTTCTCTCGACTCCTCCATTCTCTCTCTTTCTTCTTTCATCCTCAATCTCCCCTCAATCCTTTCTTCTTGTTCAAGGGAAAGACCTTCACAACCGCTACCATGTCTGCTGAGCAACCCCAGAAGGTCTTGGGCATGCCGGTAAGTTTCTTCTTCCTTTGATCACAGATCCCCTCGACCGTGAAATGCCGCGGCATCAAAAGACGGCATCTTCATCAATTAACCGCCCGCGAGTCTTGCTACATAATTGATCATCAAATATGGATGTGTCGATTGCAATTCACTCAATGGGCACTGGTTGATGAAGATGTGGTAATTTTTGCTTAGCTGGCATCTCCGCAGGACTTCGACAGTATTCGCAACATGTCAGAGTAAAATGCTAACATGCTTTTAGCCCTTCATGGCCGACTTCTTGAGTATGTACCCACGTCGCTACCGCTTACCAGTATTAATTCATTGGGCATCATGCCCTTTGTCGTGGTTGACGAATAAACGCCTCGTTCATCATACTAACAATTCATAGTGGGTGGTGTTTCCGCCGCCGTCTCGAAGACCGCTGCCGCTCCCATTGAGCGTGTCAAGCTCCTCATCCAGAACCAGGTCAGTTAAACACGATCAAGCATGCTCAGTCCCATCCACTAACCCCCAGCAGGATGAGATGCTTAAGACCGGTCGTCTCGACCGCAAGTACGCCGGTATTGGTGACTGCTTCAAGCGCACCATGGCCGATGAGGGTGTCATGTCCCTCTGGCGAGGAAACACTGCCAACGTTATCCGATACTTCCCTACCCAGGCTCTGAACTTTGCTTTCCGTGACAAGTTCAAGAAGATGTTCGGTTACAAGAAGGACAAGGATGGCTACGCCCTCTGGATGGCTGGTAACCTTGCCTCCGGTGGTGCCGCTGGTGCCACTTCCCTCCTCTTCGTCTACTCTCTGGACTATGCCCGTACCCGCCTTGCCAACGATGCCAAGAACGCTAAGAAGGGTGGTGACCGTCAGTTCAACGGTCTCGTCGATGTCTACAAGAAGACCCTCGCCTCTGATGGTATTGCCGGTCTCTACCGTGGTTTCATGCCCTCCGTTGCTGGTATCGTTGTCTACCGTGGTCTCTACTTCGGAATGTACGACTCTATCAAGCCCGTCGTCCTTGTCGGTAACCTTGCCAACAACTTCCTTGCCTCTTTCGCTCTTGGCTGGATCGTCACCACTGGTGCCGGTATCGCCTCTTACCCTCTTGACACCATTCGACGACGCATGATGATGACCTCTGGTGAGGCCGTCAAGTACAAGAACACCATGGATGCTGCCCGCCAGATCGTCGCCAAGGAGGGTGTTAAGTCTCTCTTCAAGGGTGCTGGTGCCAACATTCTCCGTGGTGTTGCCGGTGCTGGTGTCCTCTCCATCTACGATCAGCTCCAGGTCCTCCTCTTCGGCAAGGCCTTCAAATAAGCGCTTTGTATAACATACCCTGTATAGACGAGTGTGTGGGGATAAGGAATCCGGGGGGATCTTAATCTGCGGGCTTGACATGGTGTCCGCTGGTTGAAACTAAAAGGCGAGATCGAAGTGCAGGTTGAGGGAAGTTGTCACAGATACCCGACGTGGTCCTCTGAAACAGCAGCTCTTTGCGGGTTAGAGTGGCATAGGCACGGCGTCTTTTTCTAATCTTGCTTTGCCTTCCGTTCTAGGCCGCTGTAATTTATACACCAATGCAATTTCCCTTTACTGTCCATACATTGTCCACTGATCCTTGTGATGTCACATCGTCGTTCCTTGCTCTTTTGTTTTCGTCATCATTTGATTTCGTGACACTGAGGGGTTTGTTGTTTTGTTGTCTGAAACTTGACGTTGGATGCTTACTAAGCCACCAGTATTTACCATGTAGGCTCGACGCGGTTACCAAAGTAATTCTTGCGCGGTGCAACAACTTTATGACGTTGGACCCTAAGTGTCCCCTTGAACTTTTAACATGCCTCCAAAGCAATCATCAGGTACAGGCCGTGGCCGACCAAAAGCAACAACCAAGAAAGGCGCCAAGGCATCAGAACCCGAATCCGAACCACAATCGAGTAATCCATTTGAGCTCTCAGATGACGATAACAACCGACACGGGACCTCAACGCGTGAAGCACAAGCTGTAGAAGAGGAGGAACCTGACAAGTTGATCCCGCCAGAGCTGCTCACACGGCTGCTGCACGAATTCTTTGCTAAAGATGCGACGCGGATATCAAGAGATGCAAACGCCGCGGCGGGCAAATACTTTGATGTATTTGTGAGAGAGGCTATTGCGAGAGCGGCTGTCGAGAAGGATGGCGGATTTCTCGAAGTCGAGGACCTGGAGAAGGTATCACCACAGTTGTTGCTGGATCTTTGAGTGGTATCAATCGGTATCTCTTCTACCTTCGGGGTGAACAAGAGTCGAAGTGTTCAATGGGTATGCATCTGGAGAAAAGCACTGGCGACAACCGCGCATGACTGACGCTTTCATACATAGGGCGTATGGTGGCTCTCCGGGCCGGTGACTTCCTATGTTGCACTTTGACGATAATACGGGCACGTGTATCTGAAAAGCATTCGACCGACTCTTTGTTAAACATTAACACTATAGCAGCCGAGACTTTGGTCCTCGAACGCTCATTATCGCAACACGATGTCTCCCACTACGCCTGGTATCCATCTCAAGCTCAAGGAAGTGAGGACGGAGTATCATCCGATAGATGCAATGGCCGCCTGCACTGCAGCCTGGTGTCTTCCGACTGTGTCAGCCCAGATTGTTCATATTGGCGTTGGCGATCGCACCGCCGGTCTTCTGCCACAAATCCGTGAGCTTTCACCAGCTATGTACGAGGATACGGAATCCTTGACTTGGGGCTGTCTGGCAGGTTGCCATATCACGAGACATTGATGTCGTTCCTAGTCAATACACGTCATTATAGTGACCTAGGAATTGTAGAGAAATAGGGGAGATCACTTCTATCTGTAAATACCCGCATAATCGGGATCGGAATCACGAATTTGAGTTCCAAGCGTTTTGTTAATGTGAAAGAAGAATCAAGACGTATTCGCAGAGTCAACTAGATGGAGATGTTGTAATGCTCATATTTCCAGATTGTAACAGGTTATATTTGCAATGACTCCTGAAACCTCATGCTCTTAAAAGGATCATGTAATCCGCGGCCCTAGATCTCCAAGCCGCTCTAATGCCTACAATAGTGGCGAGCTAAACGTGGCGTTGTGCTACTCTTTGTCGTTCCTGTTTGTTGCAGGCAGTCTTGGGTTTTGGTAAATGTTCTCGCACATTATGCAAGTCGGCTTCTCGTCTGAGAAGTTCCGTTGTGAGTCATAAAATCAAAACTCGTTAAGGACGATTTTTAGCCGCCTGTTGACCAAGCTGAAGTTCATCGAAGATTTCGTCTAAATACAATCGTATTAGGAAATTAATCATAGTAAGTTGGTAAAGCTGGGGTGTTCCAAATGGCAAAACTCCAGCAGCTCGTCCCCCCCCACATAGGTACGTTTAGAATCTGCAACCAACACGAAACGTCGCAGCTGAAACCCGACAAACCAATGCAACGTCAGCGCGGACTCGAATAATGTTATTCTGCATCAAGAGAAAGCCAAGGCTCTCAAGTTTCAAATTACCGTATGGCAGCTTTGCACCCATGTGCCCCTTAGGCCCTTTAAGGACCAATAGTGGCAGCGAAACTATATTCGTCTCAAGATATTACGGATGAGGCACTTCCGAAGCAGACGAACCCCTGGTCGATCTGCTCCGACACGGTTGGGCCTGGAGCCGAGGCCTATAGCCACCGAAAATATCTGACTGTTAGTCTGTTATGATATAGGTCTGGATAGTAGACATGCTAAGCGCCATGGGTTGATTTCTCAGTTGACTTAACCAACAAAATGAATAACCTCATTTTGAACAGAAAGGCTACTAGATCAATGTTGACAATGGAAACCCGAATAAGAGGAAGAAATCATAATCGTTTGTCCGAGTTGCGATAGTCGCTCTTCTGTATTTAGTTCCGAACATTATGTCGTTGAGCTCGATATCTGAACCTGACATATAGCCTGGGTAGTTCCCAAGCCTTACCAGAGCTAGCCAAGACATACCCAGCACTATTTGTTTCATTCCACAACTCTTCCAGCGAAGCCTTGTCGATAGTGTCTCATACTACGCCTGTCCTGTAAGTCTACCGAGGAGCCGAGACGGAAGCCCCAAGATCCATCTTTCGGCGCCGTTGAGAGGCGTGCTTCAGATGTGCTTCGAAACTCGTAATCAGGGTCAAGACCATCATAGGCCAAGCCCTAAGATGGATGTATATATACCAATCCGTCTCGTCTCTTTTGTTTTGTTTCTCCTCATCTCTCCATCTCGTTCCATAATCAACAGTCTGGTCCTGTTCCCATTGGACGCGTTTCCTTTGTCCTTTCAATCTTTCATTAATTCTTCTTGTTACTTTCTTAGACGAGGCTAGTCCTTGAGAGCGCAAGTCGCTTCTTTTCTTTGCTCCCATCTCTGAACATCCCTCCCAGAGTGCCCTTCCTTTGCCTCTACCAAATACCCACAATCCCAAATCTCTAATCATTATGTATTTCTCTCAAATTGCTATCGTTGCCCTTGCGGCTGTTGCTGAAGGTATGTGCCCATGGAGCCACAAAAGAAGAATCAACTAACAGCCTCTTTAGCCGTCGATGTCCAAGTCGTCTCGGTTGGCAGAAACTCGGCAACAAATGCCACTGGCCTCAAGTTCTGGCCTGAAAAGATCACAGCAGAGCCAGGAACCATGGTTCAGTTTCAATTCTGGGCTGGCAACCACACAGTGACACAGTCTACCTTCGACGACCCTTGTGTACCTATTGGCAACGTTATGTCAAATGTCACTGGCATCTACTCTGGCTACCAGCCTGTCGAGGCTAGCATGTCCAAGGGCATGATTCCCACTTACACCATCATGGTCAAGGACAAGAAGCCTATGTGGCTATTCTGCAGCAAGGCAAAACACTGTCAGGGAGGAATGTCGATGGTTATCAACGAAAAGTGAGTCTGCTACGATCTTCTGTCAGGGTTCTTTACTAAACGCCACCCAGCACATCTGCCAATGCTACAAGATCGCTCAACAACTACAAGAGCCTCTGCAGTTCAGCTACAGTCTCCGAAGTCGTTCCTGTTCAAGGTGGTGGCTCCCCGCAAGGCGGAAATGGTGGCAATGGCACCAACACAGGCGGTTCTGGAGGTGGCAGCTCTGGAGGTGACGGCTCCGGAAACGATAGCTCAGACGGCGGCAGCAGCTCCGGCGGCGACAGCTCTGATGGCGGCAGCTCCTCCGGTGACGATAGCTCCGATGACGGTAGCTCCGATGACGGTTCCGAGGATGGCTCTGGCACGCCAACTGGCGTCGCGGCCCCTGGAGCTACTGGCACTCCCACAGCTGGTTCTTCGGGCGATCCTGTGGTCACTGCTGCTGCTGCTGAGCTCAAGGCCCCTATTTCGATGCTGCTCGCAGTCGGTGCCGCTGCTATGTATGTACTATAAGCTGAGAGCATGACGAACTTGTGAATGGATAGACATAATGCTGGGAACAATTAATGGGGATATTTGTACCAATTGCTGGAACGGTTGGGCAGCCTCGGGATAGGCACAGTCATCAACGGTGTTTACGGCCAGGTTCAATGGGAAAGTGTATCAAGGTTGAACGTTTAGATAACAACCAAGAATACCCAAAAACTATTAGAGAGATCATCTTCATTATCCCTTAATTTGAAGTTTTTAACGTGTTCACGGTCATGTATATCATGCCTTTTGAGCTTAGTTGGGTTTGAAAAAGGATGGATATAGGCTAACCAGAAATACAAACATACAACATTCCCAGTCTGAGTAAAGATCAGTCCTTCTTAGGAATCTTTCTTGTCTTTCTGCTTCTCTGAGCCTGGTCGCAAAGCTTCTTGGGCTTCTCGTTCTCCAGCCAGTCGGGTTCCCGATACACATATCCCACCTTGGTGTACTTCTTGCTGTTGGCAAAGAAGTCGACCCAATGCTGGAGCGCGGCATCGGCCTTCTTTTTAGCCTCTTCCCTCTCTTTGATCTTGAGCTCAGCAAGCTCCTCGGGTGTCCAGTGAGAGTCAACTTCAGGATCGTCGAGGGGCAGGAAAGTCTCCTCATAGCCACGGAGGTCGGCGGTCTGGTCCTCAGCAAAGCAGCCGGTCACGAAGCCGCGAGCAGCATCAGTGGCAGCGAAGTAGCTGTATGAGCCCCCTGGGCCGTACATGCGGCGGCCGTTGGAAACATCATAAATCGTACCATTGATGGCAAGAAGAAGAGGTCTATCGGGGTCGGTACCGTCGTGGAGAGAGAGTTCCTCCAAAGTCATATATACAGGCGGTGGCTAACAGAGAATGGTAGTTAGTAATAGTCCAGTGATCATCATAGATTTAACGTACAGGTCCAAGAATCAAGTCCTTGTAGAATCTCTGGGTCATCCAGTTGGGCTTGTTCTTGTGTCCCCACCAGAAACTCTCCCCTCCGCTAATAACATAGCTTAGACCCATTGAGGCCACGATAATGAAGCTGATGACACGAACGACATCGAGGTAAGGGGAGTAGCCATCCCATGGGTCTTCTTCATCGACCTGGGCCGAGGATCTTTTCTTGCCCTTTTTTGTCGGAGTCGAAGGCTGAGAGACTTCAGATTCGGTCTCGTTCTTGGGCTGAGGCTTTCGCTGTCGCAGAGTTGATTCATCGGCCATCTTGACAAGTAACAAATATGATCTTTAACAAGTTTCAAAGAAAATGCAGAGAAAAGAATTGAAAGGAGACAGAAGCAGATTTATAGTAAAGAATGTTACAATAGGGGCGATCTTAATATAAAGTGGCGTGTCCTGTCACCTTGACCTGGCCTCTGCTCGGGGTCGGAAGCTTCAACTTTTTCCCTTTTCCATGGATCAATGGAGTTAACTTGCGACGTTGGACAGCTTTATCGTGATTCTGGCACGCCTTATCAGCCGACTCACTCCACTTCGCGGGGTCAGCATAGTTGAAAGCAGTTGATTGGAGCGTTGAGGTTAGAATATGCTACAGGCACACCACCAGGGGTAAGTTACAAATAAAACGGCCAAATTGCTGGCATGAGGTCACCTGACGTCGTCTTGATCACCACAGCAACAGGTTGCTCATCCAATTGATACACACCAAAGTGGGATGGTAAACAATCGATACTACACCAGCACCACTTTTACTCAACTTTGCCTTATCACAACACACTATTAACCTTCAAGTCAACTGTCGACCCAGCTTAACGGCAGCCACTCGCGACAAAACCCAATCGGTTCAGTTTGATACTTCATATCCGCCTCCGCGTCTGCATCGAAATTATATTCAACAACAATGGAAGAGACAAACAGTCCACCCGGCTCTCCGGGCGGCCCCCTTCAGGCCGTCACTGCGGACCGTGTGAATCAACAAAGAGAGCGGGAGTCCGTGTTCTCTCACCTTCGTGGCGGTTCAAGAGATAATTCCGTTCATGATAAGATCAGCCAGTTCAACAACCTTAGTGTTACTATGCAATCAAAACAGTTAGAACGCAAAACAGCAGATGCTGCTTTGAAGCGCGCCATGCTTGGCCGCGAAGAGGCCGAGACTGAGTTGCGCAGATACAGAGAGGAGAACAAAAATCTACGAAAGGCCATCGATGAGGGTAAAGACCGTGAGCGAAAAGTCGGAGAACGTCTGGAGTCGTTAATGGTACGTATCCTCTGAAGCCAATGTAAACATTGCATGTTGACCATGTCACAGGAGAACTATGGCCGAGCAAAGGAGACCCATGCACACACACAAGCTCTATGGGAAAAGGAGATACGCCGCGCACGAAAAGAGACATTCAAAACACAATCATCAATCGTCAAGCTCCAAGAAGAACTCAAGTCAGCACGCACAAACGCAAAGATGATCGACGAAAACCTCAAACGAGAAAAGGCTAGGAGCAAAGTCCGAGAGCAAGAAGCATTCGAAGCGCGCTATCAGATCGTTGGTGTCCAGGAACAACTAGACCAAGCACTGGAGCGTATCAAGCTCGTCGAGCAGGAACGTGACGCCTACAAGACTGCGGCCAAGAACGAGGAAGTTGCCCGTATCGCTGCCGAAGGTCGTATTCCTCTACCGCCACAAGATGCCGACGATGAGTTTGGTTCTCCTAACAAGGACAAGAGGCGGGTGTCAAGAGATCCTCGAGTATCTCTATCGACAATGGACATCGTCTCCTCGGAAGCTAGTGAGGTTGAGATTGAGGAATTGTCCATTCAATTGCAGTGGGAGCGCCAAAGAGCAGACCGTGCCCATGAGATGATTGAATTCTTACAGGCCGAATGCCATCTCCGTTGCTGTGCTTGCTCTAAGTCAACCCGTCGTGCTAGTGCTGAGGCCCCTCGCCAGAAACGCCGAAGCTCTTTTGGACTAGAGGGACCAAACGACAAGGTCCTGAAACTGGATAATGAGGCAGTAGACGGCGAGAAGCGCGCTACAACTCCTCCCCGTATCGAGGAACCGCAAGCCCGGACTGAGCCCGAGACAGGAGCAGAGCCTGATGTTCAGCCTGAGCCAGTCCAAGAACAGCACCTCCAAGAGCCCCCTCAACGTATCATTAAATCCAGGAAAGAGCCCCGTCGAAGCACCATATTCTGTCCCAAAGAAGGCATTTTCCGGACGGTTTCGGAGCAAGAAGCCGAGATCATTGAGACGCAACGCAAAATCGAAGAGACCGAGGCCGCTGCCAAGGCTCAGCGAGAAAGTCATGCTGAGAGCGAATTTCAGGATGTTGACGAGGTTGTAATTGAAGAGCAAGTTGAGGCTGAAACCACGATCGGTGATGGCACTGAGATGGAGCCCCGTTACTCCGGCGAGTACGATAACTACCGGAGATACGCACGAACCCCTTCAGTCGAACCTCCAGCCTTCGCCATGCTTGCTCAAGAGAGAACATCACTCGCCTCACTTCTCAACGCTCCTCACAGTCACTCGGCACCTGTTCCTTCAGTACCAACCATGCCAGACGTGGCCGAGGATATACTTGTCTCTCCTGACACTCGACCTCACACCACAAATGCCTTCTACACCGTCACCACTACGACAACCGTGCCAGTTCACGACGACAAGGTCAGGAACAGTGCCTCCTTCAACGAACGTCTTCGCACACCATCCCACAACAGCACAGGCACCACCTTTGACATGTCAAATCCTGCTCTCACCCCTACCATGACACGCGAGCAGGCTCTCGCCAAGATCCGTGAACGTCGTGGCCGTGCCCGTTCAATGGCGCAGGGCACAATGACACCTAGCCGTCGAATGGTCGAGGGCGTTGAACGACGAGATATGAGTGCTCCCACAGGCAAGGTTGCTGGCAAAGGGCGATGAATGTTGAACGACCAAATTGTATGAGCCATGACACGACCTGACGAACACCCTACTACTCTTCACATTCACTCCTATTCCCCCCTCCTGAAATTCTCTCTTTTCCGACCCGACCCGACCACACATAAAAAGTTCTCGCTTTTCACCTCTCCTGATGGGCCCCTATCTTTCCGCTCACCCTTTAGCCCATCACTTTTTCTCTTTTCCTGCAGGGCGAAGGGGCGTTATTGTGTTTTCTCTACTTTAAACTGTTGTTGTCAAGTCACTTGGGACTCAAGAACATGGAGCATCATTCAGCGACTTTCCATCTTGTTTCTATGGCCGTTTTAGGGATGGTCTCATGGGTTCTCATGACATGTGTCAGACAAAGTCTTTTGTTGGTTTTGGTCATAATTAATATGCGTTGGCTGGATTGTGTACAAATTACTTGTTCCGTATTTGCAATTCCACTATATCAACTGTGTCAAATACCCCCGTTTCCATATTTTCGTGTGGCATCTCACACTATTGGACGTCTCATAGATGTCTGTTATTATCCCCGAGATGCCAGTTACAGATCTGATTCGTAACATAAAAGCATTTTTCGTTCTCGCTTCACTACGGCTGCAAAGACCAGGTGAAATATACTGAATTAGCTTCCCAGAAAGCTCCTTGACATGTTACGTGACAATTGCGAGCTCATTGCATCAAGCTTGGCTGCAACAAGAATACATTCAACACCCCTGCCGTTTGGTGCGTTCTGAATGCGCAACCTCCATTGCCCTGTCGTGACAACCCACTCCTCATCGCCTGAGTCACCATCTGCTCGCTTTCGCTTCCGGGGATATTCGTTTGTGGAAGATTCGGACGCCGCGGCATTGATGAAATCCTCGAGATAGTCCTTCCCATCTAGAATAATGGCTGATTCGGGCTCGAGGGCTATACGGACAAGATCTTCCTTTAATAGTGCATTTCCGAGGTTTGTCAACTGTCCATGGTTGGTGAGATGTTCAGTTTTGATCGCCTGGGAAAAGTTTAGCTTTGACGAGACAAGCTCAAACAACTTCGCAACTCGTGCTTTGGTGTCCCTGAAGAACTCCGCCCTAGCATTACTTCCTGAGAAATGAAGCTTTGTTGTTTCGCCACCAATTTCGAGGACCAGCTCAGCAGGCTTCTCGTCCACATAAGGTCGAGCGTATTGCACAAAGCCGGTCAACGGGTCTGTATTGCTAATAAAGACACTAACGCCACTCTTCTGTATGTTCTCAAGGCGAAGGACAATCTCATCACGTCTCGTGGCTTGGTTGTAACTTAGCGAATGCGGGATAAGGCGCTGCTCAAGGCCCTTAAAATGGAAGTAGCGCGCATCGCTGAGGAGATCCTGGCGGTGGGCTTCATCACGTATTCGAATAGGATATCCTCGGAGAAAGTGTAGGAGCTCAGCAAATGTATCAGCGCTGCGCTTCGGAACCGAAGGAGGGAGGATCGAGGGTGGACGTATAAGGCCTTCGCGGTCAAGGCCAGGGAAGAGATCGTCCGGGCGTGAGAAGAAAGCAGCGAAGCCGAGGGAGAAGTAGTTCGGAGAATTTCCTGGGTCGTTGAAGATCTCACGAGGAATCTGAAACTCGCGATGGCCGATGGAGATAAAGATACTCTCCTCGTAGAGCTGAGAGATTAGTTTGGGCACTGCATACCCGAAATGTCAGTTCAGAATTTGGGTCGCAAGATGGAGGCGACCAACAGCTATAGAATTGCGCATCTGAAAACAGACGCACAAAGTGCTCGCCGTCGCGAGGCTGAACATGGTAGCCCTGAAGATGGAGAGAGATGTCGCGAAAGATGACTGGGTCGCGATCAATGTAGAGCGTTCGGATAGCCGAGCTCGACTCGTCGTTTCGTTCCTTTGCCGATTCCAACTGGCAAACGAAGTATTGGGAGAAGTATGAAGGTGCTGCGAGGGGTTAGTCAAGAACTATGAGATAGACAGTTGCACCAGCGCAATGCGACAAGTCAGTTGTCGCAAAGAGAGTCGTGAAGTCAAGACTCACCGTCAGAGGATAACGATGCCCCGGAGAGCTTAAACAATTCGCTGCCGATTTGAATTGGAAATACGCGCCCATGAGGAAGAATAAGCGGGATCCGAGAGACGTTGCGCTCTGACAGTGGCTCAACAGTTAAATTTCCAGCATCAGAGGAAGCGATTGAGGTCATTGTAGCCGTAATTGTATGGCGGTCTTGCTGATCTTTCAAACGTACAGCGATTTCTCGGTGAAATGCGACAGCAAGTCCACAAATGCAATGCCTCTTGGGCCCTGGAAAGTTGAAGTCGCAGCGGACCGTTTTAACGTTGATAAGCTACCGTTAAGGTGTAAATTTATCCGGTGACAGCTCTGAGCTTACACGAGGGTTGCATGAGCTTGCGCCACTAGACATGGATAGTGGCTGACAGATACATTATTAACAACCTTACAAAGTTGCGGCGTCTGGGTTTAAAATCATTGCCATGATGCTTAATTGGTTCCATCTATGTTCTATAAGAGGCTTTTGATGCTTGTAGCACAGTTAACCGTCGTGTAACATCGTACGAATATTCAGCCTTCAATGTCAATCAACTCGTTACGTCCTTGTGCAGACGCTCGGTATCCCGTAGAGATTCTGAAATTATCGGCTCATCAACTCAACTCCGTTTCGGACAACTCCAACGACTGCCCCAGTCTGGATCAACTCACTGCCTCCACCGGCGACTCTATGCTCGATATTGGCGAGACCATCCAGCCAGGTGATCATCACCTCAGGACCAACCTCTAGCTTCACTAACTCCTCGGAGAGCGCTGTGATAATATCCGCCAGCGCAAGACCTCGCGACACCTTGAGAGCGTTGATAGTGTTTAGACAACTTGTGACATCCGATGTCTTAAGCAGCGTCGACACAATCTCTTTGATGGCATCAGGTGGGGGTGCCGCGATGCAGTTATAAATAGTCTCCGTTGTGATATTTTCGCGTTCAATTTCGCTGTCAGGCACTTTGGGTGCATCCTTCGCTCGCAATGGTGTACCTGAGCCTCTGTTAGCGCTTGCTTTGGGAAAGATGAATGCATGCAGACTCACTTGATGCGTGACAGGCCTGTAGAACGTTCAGTGCTCTTCGCATATCACCCTTGCTCAGCTTCACCAAGGCATCAACCGCCTCTCCGCCAATCCTAACATGCTCCTCCTCCACCACCTTGTCAACTAGCACCCTAATATCGCCCTCCTTTAACGGACTGAAGCGGAACCGTGTGCATCGACTCAGAAGCGCTGGGCTAAGCTTGTGGGAATAGTTTGCAATGATACAGAACCGTGTGTTGGTGGTGTACTTCTCCATTATTCGTCGTAGAGCCATCTGGGCTGTGCTCGTCATAGCATCAGCCTCATCCAGAACAATGAGCTTAAATCCAGCCATCGAGTTGCCTGAGCGGGCAGATGCACCACCCATGGAGAAGATCTGTTTGGTACTGGCAAATGTCTTGATCTGCTCTCGCACTACATCGATACCACGGTCATCTGAGGCATTGAGTTCGAGAACCATTTGCCGCATGTTCGCAGCTCCATAGATACGACGAGCAAGGGCCAGAATTGTCGACGTCTTTCCAGTACCTGGAGGACCGTAGAGGAGTAGATGAGGGAGACGGTTCTGGTCGATGAATTTGTTGATAGTAGCGAGGATATCTTGATGGCCCGAGACGTCGTCGAGGGTATTTGGGCGGTACTTTTCAACCCTGAGCTCCGTTAATCCTGATCTTTGATGACGTTTCTTACAAGCACCTACCAAGGGAGGCTATCCTCAGCCTCAACTGGCAGATTGGCAGCACTTCGCTTGCCTTGCTTGGCTTCGGAGGAAAATATCACATCTTTGCTGACAACGGGGACATCAACGTCCATCTCATCCCCAATATCGGACATATTTGCGCTTTTTTTTTGTTGTTTTCGGTCTTTGCAGTTCCTTTAGTGATGGATCGTTTTCCGGGGTTGCTCGTCCGGTTCAATTCTTGAGCTTGTTGCGCTGTATGGAAGTTTGAATGTTGAGGTCAGTGAGGGACACGCGCTAGGTTACACCTAAACGCGTCTAAGCGTGTCAGTCAATTAAGACCCTTGCACATAGCAACAGCCAATCACAAGGGCGAAATCGTCAACTTCACACTTCCACTTAAACCTTGTAGAGTATCGTTTTTCCTTCAGACGTCAGTACATCTTTTTGAACGGTATTGTTTCCAAATAAAAGGTCGTTATAGCACTGATTCGGATATACTACGGTGAATACAACTCAGTATCAATTGCAACTCTAAAGTTGTCTAGAGATATATCACCCACAGAAACCCGACGGTTACATAACCAATAAACCATTCCAGCGCCCATCATTCATCACCCTATATGGTCATTAAAAAGAAGAGTATCTAATTGTATCCTGGAGGCCACTAGAAAATAATACAAGGCGGTGACCTCTCTTGTCTCATTTCATCTCATCACTCATCGTTCACGTAACTGATTCGTCCCCAAGCCCACAATCTCAAACATTATGGGGATAATAGCCACCGCAAACCAAGCAATGCCTATCACATCAGTCAGCAAGGCATTTCTCTGGTCAGGAAAAGATTCCAGAAACTTACCAGTGTAAACCACGAGCTTAGTTACGACCTCGACGTCGTATCGCACACGAGGTTTGATTAATTGCGAGAACATCTCCCGCTCTCCCAATCCGTCCTCAGTGCCCGTAACAAAGATCTCGACCCGATCATCATCGGCGGCCGGTGTTGTCACAACCTCGCCGGTTCCCATCATCTGCTCGAATTCGACGATTCGGTTTGCCTGTGCACCAGACGCCTGAGCTCCCTTGCCAGAATAGTCCTCATGCGTGGTCTGGAGCTCCAGGTTGCTTGACTTGCTCTTCAAGCTATGGTTACTGCTGACACTCTCGCGTCGCTTGCGCTCTCTATACGCCAAGGTCTCGTATGCATCTGCGGCACTCTGAGGACCAATCGACACAGAGCGACCTCGGGTGGTAGGGTTTCGGATACTCTCGACCATGCGTGGGAAGTCGGAGGGCGAAGGGAAAAGAGTATCGATACGAGAGCCTGTTGGTACAGTCTTGTACTTACTAGCAGGCGTGAAGAATCGTCGAGGCATGTTCACGCCAACCTGTTCAAATATTCGGAATAGATGAGGCAAGAGCTTAAGCAGTAGAGGCTTCATCGTCTCGCGCCACGCAAAGACGACAAGAACGCCGAAGACGATCCTAGCCACGTTGGCAGCCAATCCCAAGTGCGTAATATCCACCGATCCTCCACCATGCGCATGAGTCTCCCAAGGATCCAACGCAATCTTGCCGTACGTCCAAGTGCCAAATTCGAGACCAATGACAACACCAGCAAAGGCAACACTGTCATCGTAACATGGACAATCGTCTGCCGGCTCAGGATGAATGCGCACGAGTACAAGGATAATCAAGGCAGCTACGAGAGGCGCAGCCCAAGAGCTGGAGTGCATATATTCATCCAGGGGAGGTCCGTAGTAGAATTCGAGCAGAGAAATAGCGGCACCCATGATAGACCCTACAATTACGTCGAGGAAGCCATGCATGCCACAGTACAAGCGCCCAAATATGATCGAAGCAGCGTAGAAGTATGAGAGACATTCGAGTGCGAACTTGGTGGTTGGAGCTAGCGTGTTATCGGGACTGCGTAGTATCAGAAGCGCATATACAGCGACGGATACGGCATTGGCGCTATGGGTCGAAGGGAAACCATATTCGAGGGCTGCAGAACCAGACATTGTGATTCGGTGCAAAGGAGGCGAAAGTGGTCGCGGGAGAGAGTAGAAGTCCTTGATAAAGCCTGTCCAGAAGACACCGAGCGCAAGAATATGCACAAGTCTACACGATGAAGCATGTCAGTACCTGTTAAATCCTGTAATCTCGAGATTTGTTAATGCAACAGCAGCGCAACATCATGCGGCGCAGCGCAGCGTATGTAGACGATGGAACATGGTGTGACTTACCCCTTGCCAAATGCTGCATAACCACACCAGAAGCAGATGGGTAATCCGATCATGAAGAAGGTATGGGTTCCGAGGTTGGCAGTAATGGCGAAGTAGCTATCGAGAGCTGGAGTCCGTAACTTCTCCTGCATCCACGCAAGGTAAGGTGTCTCCCAGCGGATCAGAGGCAGCATCTGTTGGCGCAGATTGTACCGCCATTTCGGCAGGGCGCGCTTGTCTGCGAGAAGAGCAATCAGCAAAGCGCGCGGCGCGAGAGAGGTCGATATTGAGGCGTACAGTGATCGAGACTTCTCAGTCCGGCATCGGGAACGTCGTCGCCTTTGGCAGAGCCGTTTGTCGTGGGCAGAACCGTCGTGGTCGTAGTGGCAGCGGGAATGTTGGCGCTCAACGGCGGGGCATCGCGTTGAGGGTCGCTCATGGTTTTGCGGCGGGAGTAAAAGTAAGAGATACGTCAATTGCGACGAGTACAAGATCCAATACGACGACGAAACATTGAAGTCAAAGAAGACCCGATAAGGAATGTCGTGAGCCTGAGTGCGGCCTTGGGCTTCAATGGACAGAAGCCCTGCTGAGAATGTAGTTGCAGTGTAGTAGTTTAGTGGGAATAGTTAACCAACGATGGAAGCGGCGGGAGTTTGATCAAGTGGAGTTTTGCACTATGTTACATGAACGGAACCAGACCAGCAGAGGCCAAGGTTCAAGTGTAGAAGGCAGGTAGGTGGTCAGCTATTTGTATATGTATCGGGTAAGGAACAACAATGGTCAATTGATCCTTGTCGTGGGAGAAAAGGGTCAGATTAGGTAGATATTTGTCCGCCATCATCTTGTTTGACTGTTCATCGAAGTCCGCTGCGTTTGGCTTCAACCCTTGGCACTCGCGGAGGACAGCAAGACAAGGCGGCCAAAGAGCCACACAAAATCAGGGTTTAATCAACGGATCGGTTACCTCGCTAACTTAAAACTTCGCGGTTCTCCTCTTCAGTCCCCTGTTGATACCCCAGAAGCGAAACCCATCGTGGAAGCTGATGAGATGCACTAACAAGAAAGCCACTGGTTCATAGGCAGGGGGTTCTGGTCTTGTAGGTATTTACAAAGGCCAACATGGGCGTACTCATAGTTACAAGGAAAACGTCTTGGGTGTGTGCAACAGAGCAATTGCTACTAGGAGACGAATATCGGCCATGACATACAGCCAGCCAGGAACCGATTGCTTGGTCAGGGGTGCTTCGATGGTATTGTCTGGGGCTAAAAGAAAAAAACCAAACAGTCGTACAGTGTGGCAATGACATCGGTGCTGCATGGGAGGTTGGCTAATTAAGCATACAATTGAAAAGCTGGGAATATTCGGCTCGCAACGATCAAAAGCAACCTGAAGAATAAGGAAAATGAAAATAAATTATAAAACATATTCATTTTACAGTACATCGTGGATTTCGATGTATACAGCTTTATCGTAAAGTAAAAAGTCGGGCCTTGGTCTCCATCCAAGTTAATATTTACAGTCTCGACTTCAAATTTCATCACCACATCAAACTCACTATCTGTAAATCACCTCACACATCCCGCCTCCACCACCGCCCATGTCCTTCTCTCTCCGCGGTAAACATGCCATCGTGGTCGGAGGTACCGGTACGCTGGGCTTCCGTATCGCGAGCGCGCTTGCAGACCGCGGCTCTGTTGTGACCATCATGAGCCGTAATGCCGTTGATGATCGCCAAGTCCTTGAGCCCAGACTCAAACCTTTTGAGCCTCTCCCGTACAGGGAGGACTTCGACGGCGGGAGACGCCCAACAGAGCACCAGTTCAAACGCCTGGATGCCCAAAGGGGAGACATTTTCAAGGGTCTATTTCCCACTCTGGGTCCCGTTGATGTCCTCGTCAACTGCGCTGGCACCAGTCAAGCGTCAGCTCTCAAGAGGACCGGCGAAGAGGAAATTCAACGGATCCTTAACCTCAACCTCCGGGCGACTATCCTCGCCTCTAAATATGCCAAATTAACCAATCATGGTGTGTCCCACCAGGCAGTTACTTATCTTCGATAACATCTTCTCACATGTGCTCATAGGATGCATCATCAATGTTTCAAGTCTTATGGCTACCAAAATGGGTGCTGGTGCTACAGTATACGCCGCTTCAAAGGCTGGTGTCATTGGTACGTTCGTGATATATCCCTAATCTTATGCTAATGAATCCCACATTATTATACATGCCAAAAAGAACCTGCTGACTCCATATCGTCGCAGCTTTCACCCGTGCCCTAGCCCTTGAGTATAAAAGTCGCTCTATCCGCGTCAACACATTGCTACCGGGTTGGATACAGAGTCCAATGTGGAATGGTGAGTCTCCCCTTCCTGCGCCTTCAATCCCTGGCGCCTATCACCCTTGCGAAGACGAAAGCCAATGTTAATGTACAATGCCCTGTTTTAGAACTTACTGAGACTGCTCGAGAGGCTTACCTCAAGCAGTGTCCCTTGGGTCGTTTGGGAACGCCCGATGAGGTAGCCGACGCTGCCATGTTTTTGATAACCAACCGCTTCGCCAACAATTGCGTGCTGAACCTGGATGGTGGCTTAAGCGCCAACTAGTAAAGCCATGGTTCCTAGGATATACGCATCGTCCTTTCAACCCCTTGAATTACCCTTCAATCGTCAATGACGATAGCGCCGCCGGCGGCCCGACTTTGGACTTCATCCACATCTACAATATCGGTTCCGGATTCGGTGATCTTGAGTTTCTTGAGAGGTGGTTCACCGTCCTCTCCATGCGGTCTCTTGATACCCTTCGGCTCGGCACTAACGGCCTGCTCATCGTTGAGTTCTCCATTGCCATTCGCGGCGACTGGCTGGAGCTTCTTTGGTCGACGTGGAATCTCAGGGATCTCTGAGAATGTAGCCTTAACCGGTTTCTCGTCTTCTTTCAATGTACTATAAATTGTAAGCCTAGTTCAATAACAACAGAGACAAGGACAAACCCTTCTTGGACATTGATAACCACATTGACGAGCGTGTCTTCGTCGTCCTGGTCGATGACAGTCAAGAATGAGCCCTTCTTGATACCTAGTAGTTTTGTCAGTCCTCCACGAGCAATTCATTTGTCCTTTCAATGAGGCCTTACCAAGATCAGTCAGCTTTTTGGGTAGATTCTCGTCGTCACCGTCTTCAAAACATTCAACCAAGGTTCCTATGTCATTGTTCACGACAAACTCCTTGCCTTCAAATCCCAGTTTTGACATGACGATGTCATCAACGAGATCCTTGAGAGTCGCCCGAGACAGGTCTGCAACAATACTTGTAAAGTAAACACTACATACGGGGCATTCGGGATTTGGCTCTCTGGACCTATCAGGGGCCAGAAGTCGAGCTGGGGCAAAGGGGGTCAAGAAGACCTCCTTGGACTGTGCATACTCGCCCTTCAAAACTTTGAAAGACTGAAGAACACAGAGACCAGCGACGATTGCGTTTGTTGTGGCAATAGCTGGAATAATGTTACCTGCCATCTGTTTGGTATCGAACCGAGACTTCTTGTCAATTCCAAAAATTGTTGAGCGAATGTTGGCACTTGCTGTCACAAAGTCAAGAGTATCAATATCATCCTTGTCAAATGTGATTGTGGGGTCGGGGTCTTCAGGTTTTTTGTTCTTCTTGAGCTCAAGGATTCGCTTGCTTAGTCGGTCAAGACTGTCATTGAAGACCACTAGGCTCTCTTCCAGGGACCAAACCCGCTGATCGTCATTCAGGATCTTGTCCTTGTTGGCGATAGCCTCGCCAGCCTGCGCGAGAATGGTCTGATATTGAAGGGGCTCGGGAGCTCGCCGGGATGTCCACATGCCCTCCACGGAGCGTAGTCGCTCAATGTCGGCGTTGAACACCTTGTCGAATAGCATCTGAGGGAACTTAGACGTGCCAGTAGCATCCCGAATCATCTTGAGAGCTTCAGACTCTTTCTTCAACTCTTCAATCTCTTTGGCTGGCTCTTGTCAGTATGTGCTGCCCCTTAACACAGCATCTCACTTACCGTTGTCGGCATCAGTTGAGTGGTCAAATGCGGCCTGATCTTCACTTGTGCCAAATATCTCACTAAATTCTTTGTTAGCAATCTTTCACAAGTCGATATCTGTATACATACTTAAGCAAATAACTTTTACCCCAGACAATGCAGTGGATGGGTTGACTGGGGGTGCTTCGAATTGTACACACAGGGAAAGACTTGGGTGCTTCCTTGGGAGTGCAGTCGTAGCATGCAGTAACGCCTTTTTTGATAACCTGCACCTGGCCATTGAATCCGGTGGTGCCACTCTCGATCAGGGGTACATCAGCTGCCAGGCACATCTTATTGACGTGCCTGCGCGCTTCGAGGTTATCCAGAGCATTGAAAGCAATGCGGAATTGCTGGAACCAGGCCACAGTGAATTCGTCATCCTTGATATTGGCATGGTGTGCGACAATTTTGACATTGGGATTAAACCGTTCTGCTGCCTCCTTAGCCACCTGCGCGCTGATTAGTATCTAACCAAACTCCATCTTGGGCAGAATGACGCACTAGAGCCTTAGATTTTTTTATGTGTTCGTGACGGAAAAGAAACTGTCGGTTCAGGTTCGAAAGGTCGATGGTATCGAGGTCTACAATATGTATTTCGCCAAAGCCTGTGAGGACGAGGTTCTTGAGTAACTCGCATCCAATTCCGCCAGCACCAACCATGAGCACGCGAGCCTGCGCGATCCAAGTTAGCATACCCACAATGATAAGAAGTGGTCGAGCAAGATCGCCGTGTCGCATCGCATACAGTCCAGTCCTAGATACATCGCTCCGCTCCTGAAGCGTCGGATCGCCTTGGATCCTGGTGCGAGATCAAGGCTGAGAGGCGATATTTAGTTCCATGCATAAGAAACGTACCTGCTTGACAGAGGTATTGAGTGATGCGCCTAGCGACTGCTGGTTATGTCGGTCACGCGTCATGGCCAGCGTGCGTTTTGGGGATGCGTTCTTGGATGGGGCAGTTTTCTTTTGCTGCTGCTCTTGCTGTCGTCGTACTTGTGTTTGTATTTGGGGTTGCTGCGTAGAAGCTGGAGCTGCAGCCGCATTCTGTGTCTGGGCCGGAGCCTGATCGGCGCTTGTCGCATTCATGGTTATAGTGATCGCTTTCTACACGCGGAAACGGGATCGAAAGAGTGGGATAGCCCGATCCGAGGGCTGCGCATCAAGGTCGAGTCGGTGCGCTTGTTGGTGAAGAATGTCGCGATCAGTTGAAGGTGGAAAGGTTGAATAGGATGTTAGTGGTCAGAGAGCTAAGATAGAGCACTCAGCAGGGGAGCGGCGTTGCAGGGCGACCAATCGGACGGGCCTATCACAGAGCTTCGAGCTTCTAAAGCCGGGAATTCTTGGTGTCAAGGCTTAATGATTGGGCTCCGCTGTGTACCTAGGTTGTCAATGAGCACACCACTAACCACCACAACTGGAGGTCCTCGAAGAGCAAGAAAACCTCACACCTTTACATAGGATGCTGAAATAAACTCACCAAAAGACTCCTCAGTTCCTGCTAGCCCAACTGAGTCATTTTATTACTTAATGTCAAGGTTATAGGTTGCTTGCCTCCCCCTAGAAGGCTTGACTTGTTAGCACTCTGACTATTTGTTACTGATGGGTTGGGTGGGATGGTGACGTGCAGATGGACATGCAAGGACAATGAGTGCCTACCTACCTATCTAAGGGGCACTCCAATGAAAGGGTGTTACCAAGTCATCCATTTAGTGAATATCATGTGAATCGGTTGCCTCCAGAAGCATTTGACTATTCACTAACCATCATACAATTCCTTCCTTTGCCGTGTTTCAGCCATGGCAAGCTGCAAGGGACGAATAATACACTGGGCTGTCGGTAGCAGTTATGCGACCGCGGGGCCGCTCCCGGGCCAAAAAAAAAAAAAAAAATTAAGGGATCTGGATACTCGACTGGCCTTGAAAGTCTAGACTGAATCATACAAAGAAAACTGTCCGCCATTGTCACTCTTTGCTTTTGTTTCTCCTCTACGCTTTCTCCTTTTCGCTTGGCTCATTCTCCTTTTCCCTGACGTGTAACAACCCATTTCTCTAGCGATGTCTGACGACGAGGTTGACACCGAACTCTTGGAACTCCTCCGCCAACACCTTCAGGGGAAGATCGATATCCAGGAGGAGCCCGAGACAGGCGTCCTCGAGAGCGCTGAATATGTCTACGACAGTTGCATTGATGTTGCCGTTGACATGCGTGCCTCTAAAAAGGCAGCGGAGAGCATTTACGAGCAAATGCAACAGAAGAGTTACTCAACTGCCACCTGGTCAGAGCATGAACTTCACCCCAAGGCCAAGGACGAAACTACTGTCAACTTCATTTTTACTATGGACTTGCTAAACTTTTCTTTCTGGTCTGAGCTGCCTGATGATGAACGCTTTGCTATTGAGTATCGCGGGAAGAGATGGACTGGTTATTGGAGTTTGGTGGCAGCTCTCCAAAGAGCAATTGATGAAGGTCAGTTATCATTCTTCGCGATGACTCACGCATAGCAAGCTAATACTTCGCCTCACTAAAAGGCATTCCTATCACAGATCCTTTCTACTGGAAGAACGAAGAAGAGTGTACCCTGGAATCCCTCACACATGTTTTCCGGTCATGCACAGAAGAGGAAATTCCCCTCCTTGAGGAACGCTTAGACTGCCTCCGAGAAGCTGGCCAGGTTCTCTTTAAGGTAAGCCAGAACAACTTCAATCCTGACATTTACTAGTAATTCTGACCACATATACCAGCACTACGATGGCTCTGTTGCAGAGCTCATTTACGCTGCTGACGGTTCTGCGGCACGCCTGGTGAATTTGCTGGCGCAGGATTTTGACTGCTTCCGTGATGAGCATCGTTTCGAGGATGGCAAGATGATTCGGTTGATGAAGAGAGCACAAATCCTCGTTGCGGATCTTTGGGCATGCTTCAACGGCGCGTCATACGGCGAATTTCGAGACATCGATAAGATCACCATGTTTGCAGATTATCGTATCCCTCAAATTTTGATGACTATGGGCGCCTTGTATTGTTCTCCAACAGTTGCAGCTGCCATTAAGGACAAGAAGATGATAGAGAGCGGATGTTCATGGGAGCTACAAATACGAGGTAAGTCGTTCAAACTGCAGTCTTATTCTTTTACTGAACAAATTAGCTTGCAGTATCTGGTGTGTTGAGCTGATTCGACGAGAGATTCTGCGTCAACACCCTGACGCTCATGTCAACGCCATCCTAATAGACTTTTTCCTCTATGACAGTATGAAGGAACTAGAAGCGGCGGGTAAGGAGCCCATTCCGCATCATCGGACAAGGAGTATTTGGTACTAGATGGAGGCCGCGAGGCCTGTTCCCTCTAGATTTTTTGTGTGTTTTGAGAGCCAAGTTTAGATCATAGATTTCTTATTCGGCGGGCTTTATGCGCTTATCGAATAATTGAGACAGCAAATAAAGCCACACCGGCACCTGAATATCATTCCCTCAAACACCTTACTCCGTAAACAGCCTCTGGTGACCAAATAACAGGCGGAGACATTTCAGGCCCCTACAGCAGTTGAATTGAGGATCTCATCCATGTGAGCCGTTTCGACTTTATCGTTACCCTTGCTTTCTTCCTTGAGAAGAACAGCGAGGACTTCAACCGGAGGGTTGAGACCCAGACGTTCAGCTCGTTTCCAACGCTTGATGCGAGGCATGCCTATACAGGGCTGTGCGGATTAGCTACGGCGAATCCATGATAGCTCAAGCTGACTTACACCATATTGTGAGCTGACATCGAAATACCGAAGAACCTTCTCACTCAAAGATACACCTTGCTGGTGCAATCGCGGCGTAGTCCATTGGTCTTCAATGGACTTCCAGTACTTCTTGATCTGTGCGTCTGTGACTTTCTCTGCTTGCAGCTCCAATTCAGACTTCGCAGGTTCTGGGACTACCTCAGTCTCTGTCGCTGCCTCAACTTCTTCTTCCTTATCAACTTCTATGGACTCATGGTCGTTGACAACAATATCTTCAACTTCACGCTGTGTAGCATGCTGGCTGGGGTCGAGCTTTGTGATAGAAGCAGAGATGGCAGACTTCTTGGCGCTTTTGGGTACTGGTTTGGTGACTTTGTTTGAGAAACTCAGAGTAGACTGTCCCTTGGCTGGCGGGCCCCTGCTGCGAGTGCTGGCAGCGGATCGTCGAGTTGTGGGCATAGTGGGCTCAGCTCCTAAAACGAGATGGCGCTGCTGAATGCTGAGGATGACGCTTGATGAATTGTAAGTGAAATCTATAGAGCTGTAAACAGGCGCTGGCTGGGGCTGAAGAGTAAAACAAGTTGCAAGCTTAACGGTTAACGTTGAGAGAACGGATGCTTTATGGTGAGTGATGATGATCGAAATGTGAGGTCGTTTATTGAACACAGGCACAGGGTCAGCGACTAGGTTGGGTGGCTCTAATGGGAAGGCTGGAAGGGACCAAATGCATGACGTGCAAGCCTTAAGATTGGCAGGACAACGCGAACTTAAGCGCGAGATCACGTGCGTTATATCATACCCTTTAACACTGATTATTGGCGCAGTTTCATGGCGAAGCAAGAAGTCTCTGTTTCGAATGACATGAATTGGCAATGATCTTTATTTAAACTCACAACAGCCCAGGCCGGTCAATTAGGTACTGCTAGAATTCCTGGTCTTATCCTCAGCTTGTGGATTTCATTGCAACCCACTTATTGTATTGATGCCATCAAGTTCACATATACAAGCTGTTGGTCAAACGTGATAATATGAGCTTGTGATGTCAATCTTTTCTGGCTTTGTCTTGGTGATCGAATCGTCTCATCACCGAGAGCTTCCCATTTCTATTATACCATGATCAACCACCAGTAGCCTCTCGGTAGAACGAAAGGCTCCTGTTTGCGCCAGCAGTGCAGAACATCTCGCTTCTGACAGTCTTCGGTAGCCACTTTACAGACCAAAGAGCTTTGTCCGTCTCACTATGGGTTGCCACACACGCGCTTCGCTCAATTGACCACACCTTGACCTTTCCATCCATTGAACCACTTAGCAGGTACTCTCCAGTATCGCTCCAGTCGAGTGATGTGATCCACGAAGAGTGTCCAGTCAGGTTCCCAACATGTTCTCCGTGTTTCATGTCGTAGAGGGCGATGATTCCAGCGTCACCTGCTGCAGCAAGTCGAGTGTTACCAGGAGAAAAGGCAACTGATCGTACAGGCTTTGCGAGACCTGGCAGCACATGTCAGCAAAATAATATGTAAAAGGTGTGCGAGGCAACCTACCAGATAATGAGTACAGGACTCTTCCTGTATCATTGTTGAAAATGTAGACAGATCCATTCTGGTGGCCGCTAGCAGTGTATTTCCCATCCCGGCTCAAGTCCACTGACATGCCAAAGCTACCAGATCCAGCACTTCCGGTTTCGTACTCACGAATCTTGGGCTTCTTCTCATCCATAACATCCCAGACGTTGACTCGGCCATCGTTGGTAGTAGTAGCCAGGTAAGATCCATTCTCACTCAACGCCATAGCCCAGGCTTCGCCAGGCTTAGATGAAGATCCTGTAATCTCGCCATTCAAACTCCATTCGCCAGTGTCGCTGTCGACTTTCCAAATTTTCACCTCGCCCCCAAATCCAGCACTCGCTGCGACGTTGCCATTCCGTGAGGTGCACACGTGATGACACCCCAGCTTGTGTGCATCTGAGATGGACTGCTTGAGTGGGAACGAAGGATCAGTTGTGTCATGAATGTGAAGCGTAGAAGATCCACTGCCTGATATCACAGCTTTAGGTGTCGTCGCAATGGAAAAGATGTCGGTGATGTGGGCTATACACTTTTAGTAAACTGCGTTCAAGCTCTTGCTTCATTGATTCACCCCGCGGCGGGGAGGTCAAGCTCACCATTATCCACGGTATGCGTGGTCAAATATTGTTTCGACTAGTGAAATTAGTTACCTTTCTATCAATGGCTGAGTCTCCGGTCGGGCTTACCATCTCTCCCACGCCGTGTCAGATGTCGTGCTTCTCTCGCTCTTCAATATGACGTTGTATGAATGAAAGTGCTTGGCTTGGACTGAACTGCGGATGTATGCAAGTGGTCTTGGTGGGGCAACACAGGGTCATAAATATAAAGCTCCAAATCAAGACAAAACATTCAAGATATACCTACCTTAGGTAGGTATGAAGCAATACGGCAACTCCTAGATGACCATTCACCAAATTTTATTAATAGGTAGGATATCACACTATACTCTTGCATACTAAAACCATGTTGCTTCAGATGTTATATACATAGAGTTAAAACACAGTTCTCATTTAGATCTTCGAGCTGCCAGAATATTATTGTGGGAGTTAAAACTTTTACATAGTATATTGTTCATATTCATACAAGGCTCAAACTAAGCCAAAACGCCCATGGTATGCATGATTCCGTGGTGACTATACAGTGGTAAATCATCAATGTTCCATATCCTTTTCTCTTTAGATCGACCTATCATTAGGGTAGTCCTGACGCCAAATTTGTCTCATTTCTATAGTTTGTTAGATTGCGATATGGCCTCGATTATGTCAAGAGGGCAACAATATACCTTCTAAGCAGGTTTGGCATAATCGGTGTGTACGCTTGGGTTGACCACATCCGGGACATTTGCACAAATTGTTCACATCCTTCAGCGCCTTGCCCGCCATTTGTCTGTGTCGTTTTCTCGAATGGGAGACCTTGTTCTTAGGTACCGCTCGTAGCACAGACTCCCAGATATCATCGATAGTGGGGAGGTTTAAGGAAACGCCAGGGATCGCAATCGACAACGACGGGAAGAGCTTCTGGGTGAACTGGCGAAAAGACACCGCAGATAGTACGGTCGGAGAGTAGATTCGGGGGAGAAGCGCAGCAGCCATCTTTACAGAGAGACGTTAATGGGCTTGAAGATGAACGATATATCGGCTTTGGTGGTCCAGTCCCAGTCGAAGTTCCAAGGCCGGTGCTGGGGTCTTTGAAACGAAACGAATTGAATTGATAAATGTCTCAGTACTTCGATGGTAAGTGATTGTTCCCTGATAGAGCTGAAGCGTCTATAGGTCGTCGGGCTCGAATTGGGGTCGCGATGATCAAAATGCGCAAGGCTCCAAATTCCAGCTCAAAAGTCTGATGGCCTGGGCTATCTCGAAATGCCGCCAGCCAATCATCAGCTAACCGACGCACTGACCTACTTGAACCAATGAGAAGCTCGAAACGCGCTTTCCCCCTTTCTTTGGGACCCTGGACCTCCCTGACACCTCCCTTCCAGTAGGGAAATTGTTTGCTAAGGTGGCAGGAAGCCCAGTGCCCGAAAAGTTCCCCCTAGGATCGGTTTCTACGCCGCCTCTCCTAAACCTCCAACTCCCAGCTTCGCTACATCTTCAGGCGTCACTTTGACCTTGCCAACTGTTCGCGCTCGTGTTGACCTTAGTTGCTTCCAGTCCAGTCTTTCTTTCTTGGAATATTCACAACATTCCCGAGCTCTACTCTTACCTTCGCTCACTGTTTTAATCGAACACTTCTCTCCCGTACGAGTTATTCAAGATGGCTGCCGCTCCCCCTAACACTATCTATCCTCAGAGCCATGTCGGTTTCGACAGCATCACTTCTCAGATTGAGAAGAAGCTCTTGAAGCGCGGTTTTCAATTCAACGTCATCTGTGTTGGTAAGTGACGACTCTGTTTCGATTGTCCTTATGGTTTAACCTGCCATGGTGTGATTGCTCGCAGCCCGACTGCCGGTCTGCATTAAGTTTCTATACTAACATGTCTTGCGCATTGTAGGTCAGACCGGCATGGGCAAGTCAACGCTCATCAACACCATCTTCGCTTCTCACCTGATCGACTCCAAGGGTCGCTTCCAGCCCGACGAGCCTATCCGCCAGACCACTGAGATCCAGGCCGTTTCTCACAACATTGAGGAGAACGGTGTCCGACTTAGACTAAACATTGTCGATACTCCCGGTTACGGTGACCTGGTCAACAACGACCGCTGTTGGGACCCCATCGTCAAGTACATCAAGGATCAGCACTCCGCGTACTTGCGCAAGGAGCTCACAGCACAGCGAGAGCGCTACATCCAGGATACCCGTATCCACTGCTGTCTCTTTTTCATCCAGCCATCGGGTCACTCTCTCAAGCCCATTGATATTGTCGTCTTGAAGAAGCTGTCTGATGTTGTTAACGTGGTGCCTGTCATTGCCAAGGCCGACACCCTGACCGTTGAGGAGCGTCAGGAGTTCAAGGAGCGCATCAAGGAGGAGTTTGCTTTCCACAACCTCAAGATGTACCCCTATGATAACGAGGAGTTTGATGATGAGGAGCGTGCTCTGAACGGTCAGATCAAGGTTTGTCTACGTCGCTCGAGTTCAATCAGATTGTGCACATACTAATACGTAATAGAATCTTGTTCCTTTCGCTGTTGTCGGTTCCGAGAAGTCGATCATCGTCAATGGTAAGCAGGTCCGCGGCCGCCAGAACCGATGGGGAGTCATCAACGTTGAGGACGAGACTCACTGCGAATTTGTCTACCTCCGAGACTTCCTTCTCCGAACGCACCTCCAGGACCTTATCGAGACCACCTCTCAGATCCATTACGAGACCTTCCGTGCCAAGCAACTGCTGGCCCTGAAGGAGAGCAGTGCTCACGGTGGGGCTAGCAGCCGACCCATCAGCCCTGCCGCTGACCGCGAGTTGAGCCGAAACTCGCAACGAATGACGATGAACGGCTACTAGGCTGTCTTTTGTTTTTGAAGTTGTGCTGGCGATGGAGCAACGGCGTCTCTGGGCAGCTCGATAGCCCGCATTTGTTACGACCCTCCATATCTTTCACGGCCTGATGTAGAGCAACTCAAAAGTAAATGCTTTGTCAGGAGGGGTTCGCTGGTCGACTTGACCGTAATAGAACCAAGGCCTCTTACATCATTTCGATGATATCGGCATGCGAGCAAGGACAGGGGTAGAATGTTTCGAGGTCCAAAATGAGACAGGAACTGGTCGAATATGACCAGGCTCTTCCTGGCTGCGTACCATTTGACATTTCTACCCGTCAGTCCATATCGAAGCTGTACACGACTTTCTTCTTTTTCTTTCAGTGTTACCCCGGAGAGCTATTTGGCCTTTTTCTATGCTTTAATAAGACCGATTACCCCATACTCTAATCTAGAGTTAGTTTCCTGCCTACATAGTGTATCAATTCCCTTGGAGTTTCTGACGAACTTGTTGTGCCCAATGAAAATGGGTTGTGACTTCGAATGCATTTGCCTGGATCTGTGAAGTCCTTATAACCTTCTCTTGATGGATGTTGGCGTGATATGGCATATCTTAAACTTCGGATAAATCCCAGTTATGTGTAGAATCCTATTGCTTTTGTTGGTCTATGACATCGTGACCGAGCCATCGCATTCGATCATTGTAAAATGTAGCTACATAGAATTCCATGAGCATAGGGTAGCCTGAATATTATAAGTCGAAGATATAAATGAAGGTAGATGTCTATGAAGCCCAAAGCTCCTCTTGGAAAGCTGGTTTTGTTCCGGTTTTCTGGTAGAGTCCTGTCTTTATCCTTCGTCTATTTACTCTGAAGCAATGGTAAATGTTTATCTTGTGTCTCTGGTTGGCCAATATTGAAGTAGTGTTTTCCAGCTAACTATGATGAACAGAAATGGAGGCATTCTCCGCACTGTGGAGATACAGAACATAGTTCATTGCTCAACTTATATTTCATGAGCCGATGACATCAAGTATAGATGGGCTTCCGCCCAAATATCAACATGCCCGAGTCTTAGGACCTCATACTGCGCGATAAGCTACCACAAATAGAAATCGATGATCTCTACGGTACCAACGACCATGGTATGAGACCCCGGTCACGAGGTATCACGGAAGACTTGATCAATGACACAGAAGCCCTTTGAAGCGTCGCCCTGAGTTAAGTGCTACTCGTGACCGAGTATGTATGATACGTTCCATGACCGGGGCATCTTCATTAGGTATGACATGTGGTTTCCAGGTGAGCTCCTGTTATACCATTGGCTGCAGGACTGCATCCCTAGACGACAACAGTGTAAGTCAAATTCCCACGCTCACTTGTCCCCATTGATGGCCAAACTGGTATCACTACTCTGCATTTCAACCCACTGTTTAGCTGCAAACATCCGGTGACCCAAAGTATACTACAACTGTAAGCAGCACGATTCATTTTAGGGAGCAAAGGTAAAGATCGCCTATGGTTTACCGACATAGCTCCCTGTCAGCATGGCGATATTGATGCCAAGAAAAACGCTGTTACAGTCAAAGCTGCCAGTAATTTAACTTCTGCAACTAGAGATTGCAGTGGTGCAAGGATGTTGAGCGACAAGCGCACATTTAAAACGTGGTGGGACCGTTCAGGAAACCCTTCAACGGTCATTTGTCATTGAGCAACAGTGAATGGTTGATCGAACCAGATCAGATCTGAGTGGTTTAAGTGGCTTGACAAGCAGATGTGATTCACCAATGGCTGTTGAGCGTCCCGTATCTTTTTTTTTTTTGACTTTGATATCTGTCTTATAAACAGTCTCAGATTCCTTCTGTTTTGTCCACCCATTCCCGTCAACCTGCCTTCGAGACCCCGTTCTCATCGTTCAGTCGCCGAATCTAGACTGCAAACAGCAAAGTGAGTTCCCCATCCAGCGCCAACGAACCCCGGCAACGACCCGACTAGGTCGGGGATCCTTGTAAACACAAGGGTCCTGTAATTCTTCAGTTGCTCGTTCGGGCAAGAATAATGAGTGAGTTAGATGACTTGCAATTGATGTTGATTGATTATCATTCCTCTCACCTTCTGAGATGATACAATGACATCTATCTAGTACTACCTCAGTACGGTACTGTTTGCTATCCATATTGGAGACCTCGTATAGAGCATTCTAAACCCAACACTTAACTTGTTTACGTATCTTGGCTTCTGCCGGAACCTGATCTATTCATGCTAAAGCCAAAATGCCATGGCCGGTCTCCCGATAGTGGTGTAATAGACTGCAAACGGTCCAGGTTTGCGGCGTTGATGTCTTGTGTTTATTGTTGATTTTGATGGGATCTATGCACCAATCCCCTTTCCATCAATTAAATGCTTGGCCTCGGTATCCTTTCTTATTTGAGCTTGCCTCTTCCGCTGCACTGGGATTTCGTCTGAATCTAGATCGTACTGCACCTGCTCATATCTGTTCCCGTCTAACCTTCTCGTTTGGTTGTTGCATGCCTGTGACACTTCCGCCTCCACATTGAAGCAGTATTTGCTGGTTGACCCATCACTGTCAGTCGCTGACATTTATCCTAATCTTCTCCCACTTCCACTCTTACTCTCCTCCTCCACCACGTTGCTTGCTCTTTCTTCCAATCCCATACGCTCCTTCTTCGCCAAGCGATTGTTCTCGAATTGTGGTCCTTTCGCTTCTTATCGCTCTTTCTCATCGAGATCGGTTCATTTCGTGCCTTGATTTTACCTACTACCTAAGGTTCTCCTTGTTCATCTTCGCTCTCCTCACCAGCACCATCAGTCAACAACGCAACCTTTTGCCGTAAATTAAGCTGTTTGCGTTGCGTTCTTCCAGGTCTACAATTGACTCTTGCACTATTACCACGACTTTTGAGAAAAGCCAATACAGAAAGATTCAGTAGCACGTTATCGCTATGCTTGTATGTCCACTCACCTCGCGCCACTGTACATGGCGCATTACCATTCGTTACACCACATATTGACAGGCGTACTAGATCAAAGCCGCCCTCATGGCCCTTGGGGCCGCGGTTGTCGGCGCCGTGCCTCCTCTGGAGATCAAGGGAGCCGACTTCATCAACCCCGAGACTGGCGACAAATTCCAGATTGTTGGTATGGCCTACCAACCTGGAGGCAGTGCCGGTTACGATCCTTCCAGCGGAAGAGATCCTCTCAGTCACAAAGACGAATGCATGCGAGATGCTGCTCTCATGCAGATCCTTGGTATCAATGCGATCCGTGTTTACAACCTGGATCCTAACATCAACCATGATGAGTGTGCTAGTATTTTCAATGCTGTAAGTGATCTGGCTCAGCCTACGTGGGTGATGATCTAACATACTTTGTTAGGCCGGCATGTACATGATGATTGATGTCAACTCTCCTCTGCCTGGTGAGGCTCTTCACTCGGAGAAGCCATGGGAGAGTTACTACACTGCCTACCTTAATCGCACCTTTGCCATCACCGAGGCGTTTGGCAACTACCCAAATACCCTTCTATTCTTCTCCGCCAACGAGGTCATCAACAACCAGGCCACTGCTGAGTTTGCCCCTCAGTATATCCGTGCTGTCACCCGCGATCTCAAAAACTACATCAAGAACAACTTGAAGCGCCAAATTCCTGTTGGCTATTCCGCCGCTGACGTCCGCGATGTTCTGTGGGATACTTGGAACTACCTTCAGTGCGCCGATTCGGAGGACAAGGGTGATATGAGCCGTGCTGACCTCTTTGCGCTCAACTCTTACTCATGGTGTGGACCTGAGGCCACCTTTGAGACTTCTTCTTACGACGATCTTGTTGCTGGCTTCAACTCAACCTCTATCCCGATCTTCTTCAGTGAATATGGGTGCAACAAACCTCAACCTCGTTACTGGAACGAGACTCAAGCCATGTACGGAGACGAAATGACCCCGGTCTTCTCGGGTGGCGTCGTGTACGAGTATACTGAGGAGGACAACAACTATGGCCTCGTCAAGATTACTGGAGACAAGCTTCGCATTCTCGGAGACTTCAACCGCCTCAAGAACCAGTTTGCTAGGATTAACTGGAAGGAGGTCCAATCTCAGCCTGCAAGCAAGAGCTCTCCGAAGGCTCCGGCTTGTAAGGCTAGCATCATCGAGGATAGCGGTTTCGACAACAACTTTACTCTTCCAACTATCCCTGACGATGCACAAAAGCTGGTCGACAACGGTATTAAGAACAAGCCTAGCGGAAAGATCATCGATATCTCGGACTGGAACGTCAAGCTTGATGTCAGTAACGCTGATGGCAGTGCTATGAAGAACCTTAAGGTCATTCCCCTGAAGGACGACGAGTCCAATGCGTCTGGTAAGAACGACGCAGACACAGGGAGCGAGACTACCGATGACAATAACAGTACCAACACCGACAACAGCACCAACTCAAATGGTGGAGATGCCAAGGATGATGAGGATGCTGCTATTCTTAACCGCCCTTTGGCTTGGGCTATGGCCCTACCTTTGGCCGCCATGGTGTTTGCGCTTTAGGGGCCTGTCTGGAACAGGCACAAGAAGCAAGCGGAAAACGAATAATGTGCTGCATTTGGTACGTGGAACGGGAAGTCACAACACGTTTGATTTCTTCAGATACGAAAAGTATACGATACCACCCGCCCCACCATCTGGTGACATGACGACTACTTCTCAGGCTCAGATTCTGAGCCTGCTCACTGGAAGGTTCTTGAGATCCTCTCAATTTGAGCTTTTTATACAGATACACTGTTTGTTATTGACTTAAGAATTACATGGACTTAATTGCTCGGGATTGCACAACTCTGCCAGGCTGTGGCATGTGAAAGTAACTGAACAGTAGGGCATACTAAATGTCAAGTTCCCAATGCCATCAGTACTTGGTCGACTCAGCATTATCATATCCTGCCGCCATTTTGATCATCGTGCCTCTATTGCCCAGTATCTGCATCCATATGAAAGAGGCAGTACAATTCCTTTCCTATTGCCTTCTTCAACATGAACCGCAAAAAACATTACTGCACAGCACACATTTACACCTATGCCTATAGACCTCCTTCGAGGCGATTACTCCGCACCCTTATTGGATGCGTTGAAAGACGTCGGGTTTTCATCAATTTGCCCTGATGCTACTTTTTCAAACAAGACTCTGCCTTGATGTCATTCTACGCGGTTCGAGTCTCTCCTCGATTACGTCAGAGACAATGATTCGACATTCCCCTCTAGATATAGAAAGATACAACGAACCCAATAAATCAATCTGGCTTGGTCAACAATAGGAAGACAAACTATGGAAGAAAACCGCACGTAAGCGGATGATACATTGAAATGTATTTAATATCCATGCAACATCAATGGAGCTTGCAACACAGCATCTTATACATAAGCATCTTGGATAACTAAGAGGCTCATCAAATCCATAAGTGTCATCAGATCTATTAGCTTTCTTTCCGTTATAGCTCAAATACTGCCGTACACGGCTTGTTCGACCATTTTTGGTCCCAAGCCCCAAGAATTGCATCGCACCACCTGGTACCCGTTTGTCTATCTTGCAGTACAAAAAGTCGTTCATCCCTTCATACTATACCAATCCCCTGGTAAAGTTTTCAACCCCTTAAGCCTGGAACTCCTGTGCCTTGCTCTCCTCCCACTTGCCAGGGACGAGGGCCAGAGGCACAATACCAGAGACGTGCATCTCAGGGCCAAAGATCTTGGCGTTGAGGCCGAGCTCCTGAGTGGCGGCCTTCATGTTCTTCAGACCCTCTTGGTAGTTGGGACCGGCACGTCGCACCCAGATAGAAACATTGTGCTCGATCAACTTAGGAGCGAAGTCTCGCAGAGCCCGGATAACACCCTTGAAAGTGCTGGCGACGTTGGTGAAGTTGGCAATACCACCACCGATGAAGAGAACCTTGCCCTCATCGCTTTGAGGAGCACGGAGGAGGAGGTCAAGAACAGTTCGAGCGTAGTGGTAGGTCTGAGACTCGGTGGGAGCACCGGAGTACTCACCGTAGTTGGCGAGCTCGTCGGCGAAACCAGCAGAGGCAATGGCATCGGCGTAGACGACGGAAGCACCACCACCAGCAACAAGGGTCCAGATACGGCCCTTGGCGTTCAGAACGGTGAGCTTCAGGGAAGCACCAGTCTTAGCGTCGAGGTCAGCGATGTAAGCCTCCTCCTTGGTCAGCTCACGACCGAAGGGGGCGGGGAACTCCATAGGAGGGCCGGCATCGATGTTGATCTTGCCATCAGCAGAGGGAGCAATGTTGGTAAGACCGAGAGCAGCAGGAGATCGAGCAATGGCCCACTTGACACCACACTCGAAGTCGGCAGTCTGGTCGAGCTTGGCAGCAAGATCGAGGAAGTGGACAGCGGCGGAGGTCTTGTCCTCGTTGGGAATGACAACGAGAGGGTTGATCTCGAGATACGTGAACTGGCAGTCAACGTAGACGGCATAGAGGCGGGTGATGAAGTCAACAAGGACGTTGTGGACGCCCTGGGGAACCTTCTTGAGAAGAGTAGCAGCAATCTCCTCGTTGGAAGGGTACTCGGCGAGGTCCACGGGGATCAAGAGCTTCTCAGCCTTAGCGTCAACATCGCCGACATCAACACCGCCCTCGTGGGTGAAGAGGATCCAGTCGCCCTATAGATGAAGGTATCAGTAAATTAGGTCCAGATAGTTTGGCAGTTGGATGTAGGCCGGAAAACCGGTACTGGCTGTGGGGTTGGTCGCGGAAGGGTCCGAGAAGAACGGGGGTTGTTTCCGACGATTTCTTATCGCGGCATCCGTTCGCCCGTTTCGGTACAAAGAAGGATTGCCGGCACAGGTAGAACGAGCCCACAATTAGACTATGCAACGCCGAGCAGCAAATACAAGTTGCTGCGGACCCCTTTCTTCTCTTTAGATTCTTTCCCTCTCTTCCTATTCCCTTATTTCGATTTCAAGATCTTCATATTGGGAATATCTAGCGCCCAAGGAACTCATCCAAAATCACAAGAGGGAACAATGCTTCAACTTACATCACGGACTGAGTTGATGTTGATGTAGTACTCAGTGTCTTGAGGATGAGGAACAAAAGGCTCGACGAGGAATTGTCTCAACACACCAGTGGTGTGCTCAACCTGCTGCTCCTTACCGGCTCGCTCAGCGACCCAAGCCTTAGCCTCAGGCCAGGTCTTGTTAAGGGCCAAAAGACCACTCTTTCCTCGTCGCTTGATGAGCTGATCGGGCTTGGCAACGAACTTGGCGTCGGGCTGGAGGAGCCAAGGGTAGGTGACCTCAGCCTGGTTCAGAATATCCTCAACATTGGCATCCTCGGGGAAGTGCAGCGAGGCGAGTCTGCTGGGAGGGTTGTGAGTAGTAGGCGCAGGAAGAGGACTGGGCTTGATAACGGGAGCGCGGGTGAGGTGGTAGTTGAGGATGGCCTTGCCGTCGGCCTCGAGAATCGATTTGGCGGACATTTTTAATTATGAGGAAAGGAGGAGAAACGCAGAGTTTAGAATGAATTGGCGAGTGTCGGTTTATTCCTTTTCTTCAATTCTGGTGGAGAGAATCTGGTTAGCAAATGCTGAGTCTGGTCTGGTTCAAGGATGATCGGTGTTGTCTCGCAGGCATAAAATCGATTCGAATGGTTCAGCTCAGGATTGGAGTTGAAACAACAGCCAGGGCTGACAAAACTAAACAGTGGATTTCACAGCGGTTTATACGAGCGCAAGACTCAATGCTCAAGTGAAGCAGTCATGATTGCGATTGACTTTGGCTCTTTGAAGAGAGTTGACGACCGTTCGGCGGGGGAAAAAGCACACACTCACCACTGCACACGAGCTCAAGTGGGCTGCAACAATGAAGTTGAAATTGAGGATTGGAGGGAGAGATGAGATTATGACAGAGAGACGGGCAAAAAGTAAGGGAAAGAGAAGAGGATGAAGATTGCTCAAGACGATGAGAGAGGTGAGAATGGAGGAGCAAATAGAAGCAGCGAGAGTTTGGAACGAGACACTGCAAGTTGAGGAGTGTGTGAGTGAGGGTGAGCTCTCTCGAAAAAACCACTGGTCCTGAACTGAAGGAAGCTCAATGGAAGGGGAAGACACCCGAAGCGGGTGGAGTGGAGGGGTCAAGTTGAAGGGGGGAGTGGAGGGGCGCTCGACAACCTGGCCTGGCGTGGCCTGGGCTAGGAGCCTGGGGCGGGCGGTCAGTGGAGGGTACCTGGAGCTACAGAGTCGATCAGCGCGTGGCGGAGGTACCTGGGCCCTGAAATCCATTGGGGACGGGGTCCAAAAAGCGATGAGGGATTGTCAAGTACCGGTACATGGACAATGTCACTCCGACTCCAAGCTGTTGAGGACCAGGGTGGACCAGGGGGAGACGACCGACACCTTGAGTTACGTACGACAGGTCGATTCGAATTTCATCAAACCGCCGAAAACCGCAGCAGCCAATTTACGCACCGCACGCTACGATCCGATTCTTATCCAGCCCAATCGATTCAGAATTTCGGAAGCTTTCGTGAGTTGTTCGGCCACTTCTTCTCGTGAGTCTTTTTCATTGCTTTTTGGGGAAGATCATGATCCAGACATCAGATACAGCCTGTAGATGGCCTAAGCACCGGTTGGCTCCGGGGTACGCGAAGCGAGTCGCCTGCCCCAAAGACTTGGATACCAAAACAAAAATGGAAGTCTTCCATTTGATGAGATTGGCAAAGATTGACTCGGGTTCCGGGGAAGTGCCCATAGCTGACCTTGCGGTGAGTTCGAGGACGTACCTCAACTCAAGGTGAAGCGAGCCTACGAGGTGACACCAGCCCAGTGGCTGTTTTGGTTTTGGTGGTCAGCGCCTGGGCTGGACGCCACCCCCGACATGGTCTAAGCTTGATTTCCTGCCCCTCCATTCCCCTCCATGATGGACCTCGCCTCACCTCAAGCTCTTGAGCTATCCGATTCTATTCAGTGCTATTCACTCCGAACCCACAACTACCGGTTGGCTACGGGTTCGGTATCCATCAAATCGCATATCCAAGCTTCCGATGTTCGGTGGAGAGAAATTTCTTTACAGGACAGGCTGTGCAAGCATGCATGCCTTTTTGGAACTGCAGACCATCTGTGGAACATCAATCGGACAGTCTAGATAGTCCAGGAGGAGGAGACCCAAGATGAGAAAGTGGCTTCATTTTGACGGGTAGGGAATTTCAACGCAGTTACAGATGCAAATGCAGGCTGTTTAGTGACAGTCAAAGTTTCACTTGATTCATCTTTCTAGCCTTGCTATTGTACCAAGGCGGTAGGGCTAGCTTCAGTCCAGCCGCCCTTGGCCAATGTGAGCATGTGTGTGTCCCACTCAACAATGATTCCATGCCGCCTTTCCATTCCCCTACCTGGGAAAGGGTCTGGTAGGATTGGAAGGCTGTCGGACCTCAACATGATACCACCACCAGCCAAGAAAATCACCGACTTGACCAAGGGCGCCTGATCATGAGCCTGCCAGTTTCCTGAAGCAGAGGCTTACGACATTCCGAGTATTACTGTACCGTCAGCTGTACGGACTTGTGAACTCAAGTGTCATGTCAGTTCATGAGATACCGATGATCTTGCAAGATCTTCGACGGCACTCCGTATGGATAATGCAGGGCATGGGTTGGCTGCACACGAAAACACGGGATGACTCCATCCTTTCACTGGACCACAGTCGACATGTCTCTTTTCTCTTGGCCGCGAAAAAATATGCACTGATTCTTTAAGCATTACCAGTAGTTTTTACTACTTGATGGTCTCAAATTTGGCCATTCATAAACTTCTCGGGGCCATAGTGGGGGATAAGCGCCATCACAACGCCTCTTACAAGTGTAGACTTGCATGGACAACGGCCCCCTCATGGTGTGGCAGCTCCAGTCTTCAAGCTCAATTGCAAACCCGCCTTGACCAGACAAAAAAAAAAGCCCGTTGATTCAACAGATCAACAAGAAAAAAAAAGAGGACCCTGCAACAAGCGATATCCCCAAAGAAAACACAGGCTTCTTCCCCAACTGGCTGGTTGATCAAATTCAACTACATCAACCCTTGCCGTCTAGAGACATTGGATGCACATTTGGTCGGCCGAGGAATTCCCCATCTTGGCAATTGAGTTTCTCAAGAGAGATATCACCAAAAAAGGCATTAGGCAAGACCCAATTGTTGGCTCTCAAAAAGTGAGTGAGTGAGCTTGTTCCCGTCCATCTGCTCCAAAAATATGGTCTGGGTGTGCGGGTATGGGCGATGGGTTGCGTGAGAAACCTGGCGCGAGCGGTGGCTAGTGATGTACCGGGAGGTGGGTCAACAGGGGTAAACTTCCTGCCCCTCGATGTACTGTACCTGAAGTACCCGTTACTTGAACCCCAAGCAGCGGTCCTTGCAGTTGCAGAGGCGTCAACCCCACTAAGTTTTTTGGGTGTGGTGAGACCTCAAGCAGGACCCGACAGGACATAGAACCGCGGTGAATTGGTGCTACAGCTGTCCACTGCTTGCTGAGAGAAGCCTCATCAACCCTTGAAAGTCAACCAAAACCAAAAAACCCAAGCCCAGTCCAGCTCTCACCTGCCCACCTCCCAACTCACCAGAGACGTTCAGTCATTCCTCCTGATTTCTAGGTACCATCCCATCCACTCACTCCCCTCCCCCTCGTCTTGTCTCGTCTCCGACTTTGTCTCCTTCAACTGACGGATCTTCTCGACCGTTTCTTCTACTCATCTCAATTCCTTCCCCATCTTCCTCTTCATACATCTCCCCCCATACCTAATTCCTTTGAGCCAACTTCTCCCCAGAGAGCTCAGAGCGTTTCCTCTCCCCAGCAGCTGACACCTTATTTGGTTCCTCCAGCGCTCTAAACCTTCAATTCTCCCGCCTCTACTCACACCGTTCAAGTTCGATATTCACAATGGCTCCCGCTTCCTCCAGCGGCCTGTCGGCCAACGACAACATTCAGCGTTTCCCGGCTCCAAGCCGACCTCTGAGCCCTCTTCCCGAGCACGCTCTCTTCACCGACAAGACGCGATGCTTCGTCTACGGTCTTCAGCCCCGAGCCGTCCAGGGCATGCTCGATTTCGACTTCATCTGCAAGCGCTCTAAGCCCTCGGTCGCCGGTATCATCTACACTTTCGGTGGTCAATTCGTCAGCAAGATGTATTGGGGAACCAGCGAGACTCTGCTGCCCGTCTACCAGCAGGTTGACAAGGCAATGAGCAAGCACCCCGATGTCGACGTTGTCGTCAACTTTGCTTCTTCCAGAAGTGTCTACAGCTCCACCATGGAGCTTATGGAGAACCCTCAGGTCAAGACCATTGCTATTATTGCTGAGGGTGTCCCTGAGCGAGTAAGTACATGCCAATTGCGATGTGCCAAAAAAAAAAAAAAAATAGCTAACAATTACTCTCAAGCGAGCTCGTGAGATCGCCCACGTCGCGAAGAAGAAGGGTGTTACCATTATCGGACCTGCTACGGTTGGTGGTATCAAGCCCGGCAGCTTCAAGATTGGTAACACTGGTGGTATGATGGACAACATTGTTGCCTCCAAGCTTTACCGCAAGGGTTCCGTTGGCTACGTTTCTAAGTCTGGCGGTATGTCCAACGAGCTCAACAACATTATCTCCCAGAACACCGACGGTGTGTATGAGGGTATCGCCATCGGTGGTGACAGATACCCCGGTACCACTTTCATTGACCATCTCCTGCGATACCAGGCCGACCCTGAGTGCAAGATCCTTGTCTTGCTCGGTGAGGTCGGTGGTGTTGAGGAGTACAAGGTCATTGACGCTGTCAAGCAGGGTATCATCACCAAGCCCATCGTCGCCTGGGCCATTGGCACTTGCGCCAGCATGTTCAAGACCGAGGTTCAGTTCGGTCACGCTGGTTCTTTCGCCAACTCTCAGCTTGAGACTGCTAAGATGAAGAACGAGAAGATGAAGGAGGCCGGCTTCTATGTCCCTGCTACCTTTGAGGATCTTCCCGCCACTCTCAAGGAAGTGTATGACAAGCTCGTCTCACAAGGCACCATCGTTCCCCAGCCCGAGCCCGTTGTTCCCAAGATTCCTCTCGACTACTCTTGGGCGCAGGAGCTCGGTCTCATCCGAAAGCCTGCTGCCTTCATCTCCACCATCTCCGATGACCGTGGCCAGGAGCTTCTCTACGCTGGTATGCCCATCTCGGACGTTTTCAAGGAGGATATCGGCATTGGCGGTGTCATGTCTCTTCTGTGGTTCCGCCGCCGTCTGCCTACATACGCTTCCAAGTTCCTCGAGATGGTTCTCATGCTCACTGCCGATCACGGCCCCGCCGTCTCTGGTGCCATGAACACCATTATCACTACCCGTGCTGGTAAGGACTTGATCAGCGCCCTTGTTTCTGGTCTCTTGACCATTGGCTCCCGATTTGGTGGTGCTCTCGACGGTGCCGCTGAGGAGTTCACCCGTGCCTTCGACAAGGGCCTCAGCCCCCGTGACTTCGTCGACAGCATGCGCAAGGCCAACAAGCTCATTCCTGGTATTGGACACCGTATCAAGTCCCGAAACAACCCCGATCTCCGAGTCGAGCTCGTTAAGGAATACGTTCTCAACAACTTCCCTAGCCACAAGCTCCTTGACTACGCTCTTGCTGTCGAGACTGTCACCACCTCCAAGAAGGATAACCTGATTCTCAACGTTGATGGCTGCATTGCTGTCTGCTTCGTCGATCTTGTCCGCAACTGCGGTGCCTTCTCCGCCGAGGAGGCTGAGGATTACCTCAAGATGGGTGTTCTCAACGGTCTCTTTGTTCTTGGCCGAAGCATTGGTCTTATTGCCCATTTCCTCGACCAGAAGCGTCTGCGTACTGGTCTTTACCGTCATCCTTGGGATGACATCACCTACCTCCTCCCCAACCTTCGGGAGGCTGGAGCCCCTGGTGCTGAGGGCCGGGTGGAAGTTTCTCTGTAAGAGATGGAGAATGATAATTCAAATGGGAAAGGAAGAAATAAGGCGTCGAGCATTTGATGATTTTGTGCCGGCCTGGACGCGTCGTGGGAAAAAAACGACGGTCTGTATGAGGATTACAATACAATGTAACTAGTGCTGGAGGCCGCAAGATGGACCTCCATATTACTCGCTTGATTCTATAGACATGAATGTTGATGTTTGCTATAAGATCTTTTCGCGTCACATGCCTAATTTGTCATGATGAAAATGATATGGCGGTTTGAGAACCCTCATCTTTCCAATTCGAATCACTCTTGTATCAATCCGAATCTCTTTTAGGTGTGGAGCGTTCCCCAGCTCCCGAATCTTTGATGATACCGATCATATCTGTAGCGAAACAGTGCGACCATAGATGTCAGATTAAGAGGAAACGAGTCCCGGTACCTCAGGAAACCCTTTGAAGCAATGAGCACGTCTTGGAGAAGACGTCACCTGAAGTTTGATGTGTTTCTGAGGCTGATGACTTAACTCACGTGCTTCATCATGAGAAGTCCTCGGAAGGTGGTCACATGACATGCTAGGAATCGGTGACGTTCCCGAAAAGGTTTGGCGTACCCAGGGATTTTGACGCCGATTCTTGAGCTCATGCTTCTTTGACGACGACCGACGAAACGTGAACGGCGGGTTGGTGTTTCTTCCTGGGGCTTCTTCGATTCCAATTGCAAGCTATCTATGGTAAGTCACCCACATCTCCCATTTATAGGTAAATCTCGCTCACGCAAAGCACAGATCCTGCGCTCCATTTTCTCCCAAGGATCAACCACTACAAACCACCTCCAACAATGTCTTTCTTCCGCATCACCCTTCATCGCTCCGCCATCGGTCTTCCCGAGCGCACACGAGGTGTCCTCGCCGCTCTAGGCTTGCGCCGTCGTATGCAGACCGTCTTTCATCCCGTTCACCCACAGTTCGCCGGTATGATCCTCAAGGTGAAGGAGCTGGTTCGTGTTGAGGAGGTGGATCGCGCACTGAGCAAAAGAGAAGTAAAGGCTGCGCGGACGCCGGATCCCGGGTTCTATATTGAGAAGGCTGTGCCAAGAATGTAAAAATATGTGATGATACCAAGGAAGAGAAATGGGAGTGTACTATACTATAATGACCCTTGTATAAAAGCTGGTGCAAGATAGGACGAAACTATAGAAGTGCGATCAAGACACATCAAGTTTTAATTCACAAGTTGCTTTGGATGGAGAAATGAAATACAAGAATTATCGCATTGAGACCCTAAACACCCTGAACACGATACTCATTACAAGATGTATCACGAATACCCCAACTATCTCACAATTGCGTGTCTAGCCCTCCTTTATCCCAACCGCGAGTCATATTACCCCAAAATGGGTCATAATGTGAGTGAAACTCCTAGTTTGTCCCTCGCTGCCCATCTACCAGAGCTTACAGCCTGATATTGCCCCAGGAAACACAGTCTGAAGTGGTGGAGCAGACGGCGCCCAAGGCAAAAGCCCTGGTACTAGAAACTATGGTTTCCTTGGTAAATTGTGCTGTTCAGAAGCTACGAGCCTTGTCAATATACTCCTGGCTGGGAGTCTCGTACTCATTGACAAAATATGTCTCGCAGTTACGTCCTAGCCAGACGTTGAACTTTCCTATCTCCTCTCGAAGACGGGACACGGACTGCTGGTCCATGTTGGTCTGCGCCAACAGTTCGGGGAGAGAGACTGGTAGCATCAGGTCAGCAAGAAATTATCTATAAAGGGGGGTGAAGGGAAATAGGTACCAATTAGTCGAGCAAGATGCTCAGCGCCATAGACATCGCAGACATTGGTGATTTCTGGATTCGCCTCAGTGTTCTCCCAGAGCTTCTTGAGGTCCATGTACTGATGGCGCTCGAAACTAGTCACAGTCAGCTATCTGAACCGTTTAAAAGCAGTCACACTTACCGGTACAGCAGGATTCTGCTAAGAGCCTTCTCGAAGTACTCGCGGAAGCCTGCGACGACTTCCTCCAAGATGTCCATGCTGGACGATCCCTCCTCGCGGTGTGGACGCTCATGGGCAAGATAGTCTTCAAATATCTTGGTGACTGGCTTATTGTGAGGAAGAGGGACAAGCTGGTTGTTCTTGGTGATGTTTTCCCAGTCATCAACCAGCATCGCTTGAATGTGGTCGGGCACCGGGAGTTTGATCATAGGTTTGTTGTGGAAAGCATCCTCCTAAAGCAAGATTAGCACATGACGGATTGTTCGAGCGGTGAAACAGCTGGTGGCCACTGTATAGGCATATGAAATCAAGGAGTGTATATGGGATCGATATACCGTCTCGAGCTGGTCGCATGAGCGCGGCTTGGGCTTGGCACTAGGCTTGAGGGGCTTCTGACGTGGCTGCTTTGGCTCGTCTTCGACAGTCAGGGGCATAACGTAGCGATCATCATGGATCAGTTTACCCGACTCGGTTACATAGCGGTGACCACTAGAGGGGAGAAGAGTGAGATGGTCCTTGGGTTCTTTGAGGTCGGTCAACTTGACCTTCTTAGAGGACTTGAAGGAATCCATCGACTTGCCAGGCTGAGCCAAATCAGGAGAGCCCCGAACATTCGAGACAGGGAAAAAGCCTTGCGGAGCAGAAAGGCCGCCCGTCGGTTCCATGACGCCGCAATGTTTTGCTGTTGATGAAGGGCTGGGGGTGACAGGGGGCAAATGCTCAAGCAAGGGAAATGTTATGATGAGGGGGGGGGGGGAAGAAAACTAGGAGACACGAGTACTTTGAAAACGGTAAAGCAAACAAAAGCTGTGGGAGGGAAGATGTAGTGCGTAGAAATGAAGCCTTGTCAACGTGGAATTTTGATGCTGGGACAAGGGCGAGTAGTCACAAGAAAGGAATCATGAAGGGGGGAAACGGCAGCGCCATAGGCAGTGTTGAATGTAGGCTGAGGCTGGATCACAATATAGGGCTCGGTATGGCCCTGGTTCAACCGATCAGATGGGAAAACACACTTTGATACAATAACAACCTTCTCCCCAGTTTTGAGATAAGGAGACATGGATGAATAGTGTAACAGAGTGTAGATGCCTCTTCTTTCAACCTGTCTCACCAAAGGGCCAACTAGGCCAAATTTTGCATATCACAACCCAGAACTGCCGGAGAACACTCGCAACAAGAACAAACAAAGCATTGAGTGGGATGATCTGGGTAATATAGCAAGAACCATCAACAAGCAAAGAATTTCTTACCTGTTCCAATTCCCAGTCTTTGCCTCGTCTTCCTCCCCTGCCTCCTTGAACAGTGGCAGAGCCTGATCGCTCCTCGCTGACTCTAGCAGACTCAGCACCACTTCTCAGGCCCTTTTTCGGCTGCTTAGTGCTTCGTTGGATGTTATGCTTCAACTGCGCGTGCAACTGTGCAGCCAGCTCTTTGTGCTCATCGTCAAATGGCCGGATACGGTCAACCAGCACCCAGTCGTCCCAGGTGTTCTTCCACCCCTTGTAGTGGACTTTGTACTTGTATCCGTCACTGGGCTTCTCACCTGGTTGAACATCCATAATCTTGGCTTCGTAGAGCATGTCCATGTGGAAACAGAGCACTTTTTCATCTTTGCTGAACGGCGGTGGCGCCGGTTGTTGTCGAGCAGGAGCCATGTCTGTGATGTAAAGGACAAAAAAAGAGAAGAAGTTACAAGAGTGGTAAAGAAGTAGTATGAAAGCAAGGCTAACAAAGCACGGATGTAGTTCTTCAAAGTCTAGCCAAGTCCAAAATCGATGAGTGTTGATAATAAGAACAATGGGTATGGGAATGGATGGGTGGATGGGTGGATGGATGGATGAGATTGAATGCTCAGATACAGTGCAGGTACAGGTTTCTGATGACAATTTACGGTAAGGTACCCGTACTTTGGAGAGGGTACACACTTAGTTCGCGTTAATGAGGAAACAGGGGATGTTCACTGTGACCACGCGACGCGACAGCCCCCTTAGGTTGGTTTAGAGTCAAAGCTGACGGAAGTGCTTCAACGTGATAAGATAAGGGATTTGGTAACACAGGAGTGGATAGTGGAAAACCAACGCTGACACTGGGCTGAATTAGTGGGAGGCGACCCCTCCATGCCCGCTCTTTAAGACATCCAATCCATATTGGAGCCAGGCCAATTTAGGTTCTTGTCACTGGGAAATGGCCCTGCACATTGTACCTACTGAAGGGTACCTCTGAAGTTCACTGGAACTGACATGAGTAGACTGGACGTCGTCTGTTTTTTGAAACCTTCGACTTTCTTGAACTTGCAGTGAATCACACGCATAGACTACACTCGAATCCCCTAGAGATGCCAACACACCTCCATGAACAAACATTCTCCTTGATCTCACCTTCTCCCGTCTAGCTATCATTTAGATGGCTCTTCATCATGGTATCTAGCCTCGAGTACTTCGGATATATATCTCTCGAGGTTAGGTACATGTAGTGGAAGGTTGAGCTGGGGAACTGTGTTGCTGCTGGCGGACAACAGAAGGGTTATGAGCAGTATGCCTTATGCCTTTATACTATTTCTATATAAATCATCCCAGCCGATACAAGAGTCCCTGAGCTATTCAGCTTCAATACTGTTGTGATCCTTTCACATACCGAGCGCTAGCACCAGTAAGAAGACATGATACTGTATTTCGTGAGTAGACGTTGGCCGTTTCCTCGGATTTCTGGCAGGGACCTGATTCGTTGACCTGCTGGCACAGGATGGCCAAATCTCGAGGTCAACTTGACAGCAGCTCAGCTTCGAATATTGCCATTGTTATTAGTCGTGATGGAAAAGGGGCGCCGGCGGGCACTCCGAGGTTTAAACAGAAGCCCAAGAAACATAAATGTATGATATCATGTAAAATGGATGTACCTACACTGATGCATCAAGCTGTTCCCAGCTTGTGTTTGTATGAAACTTGATTTATCAACAGAAAGAGAAAAAAAAGGGAAGAAGAGGAAAAGAGCCAAGGAGGACGCCGAATGGTATTCAGCAAGGTCTATCAAAATCTCCCCTATTGTCTCGTATCGAGGCATTGAAAGCTTGAGTAGTGTTCCTGAATAACGTCCTGTTGTGTAAGCTGGGGTTGTATGATTTAGGCTTGGGCAATGTGGGGCACTTAACGCGCTTCATTTTCAAGACGCGTCCCGATTGTATCCTATGGTAAAGCTGAGCATATCGATCCAATACCTTTCCTAGAATCAAGGATCCTTTTCAACAGTTGCACGAGGGATAACTCAACTCGAAACCATAGACATGGCACCAACGGAAGCAGAGCTCCTTGCAAATTACCTCATCCAGCCATCTCCTTTGACCGCTATCGTCACACTCGAGCAATTCAAAGCCCTCTTTCCCCGTCCACTACAATCCTCACCTCAGGTTCGATCACTCTTTCGAGATCTACAGGCTCAACGCACAGATCTTCTCGACCAAGTCGCCGAGAACATCGCACATGAAGCGAAACGAGGGATCACAATGCGGCGAGAAGTCGTGCGGGCTAAGCGCGAGGCAGAGCGAGAGGATATAGACGGCGAGATTGAGATGGAGCGAGCAGTATGTCCAAACGAGTACACATCATGGTGCGAATACTGACCGACGCTGCTTATAGCTATTTGGAGATGCTTCAGGTGCAGCGAGTGCCAAACATACTCTCAACTCTGTTATTCCAGAACTTGAGGGTGCCGCAGGTGCACTACATGCCGAACTTGCACATTTGAAAGAGGAAGAAGCAACTTTACTCGACTCTGTACAACAGACTATAGGAGCATTGAGCGATCTACGATATGGGAAATTCGCTAATGGTCGAATAAGCGAGGGGGTTATTGATGGCCTCAAAAACGTGGAAGCAGCTTGCGAAAACAAGTCATGAACGAACAGATCACTTCAAGGGCGTCTGCAACTTCACGAGAATAATCACGATCTCTCCGAGCCAGAAACTTCATATATTTGCACGACAAATCAACATTTTCCCAGACATCGAACAATTTGACGGTTCCATCACTAAAGTCTGTCAAGTGTTTGCTAAGACCGAATTATTGGGCGCGCTGAGCACCAGCCTGGGGGGCACCGTTGACGCCTTGCATGCGACGGGACCTGGTACTATTAGTATCAATGTTTATTTGGCTCAGGGGTTGAGATAACTCACATCATGGCGCGGCTACCGAAAGAGACAACGAGCATGAAGAGCCAGTTGGGGATGAGACCCATAGCCCACATGAGGTAGCCGAAGGGAACAGCTACGCCGTACTCGGCAAGCTTGCCGTTGAAGGGATGGAACCAGCTGCTGTCAATGCGATGGAACTGGTCCTTGCTACCGGACTCGTGGAAGGCAACCAGAGTGTCGGAGGTTGTGGTAGTCAAGTTAAGCCTCTTGCTGTAAATCTCGACGGGCGCAGGTTCGGGGAGCATCTCAATGATATAGAGGCTGGCGGGACCCGCAGACCAGGCATTGCAGAGAATGGGCTGGTTGTCGCAATTCAAGTAGGCCATATGGGGGGTGTTGTCGAGGAGCGCAAACTTGGCAGCGGTCTCGTTGAAGGCCTGCTCGACAGTTCCGCATCGACCTGTAATTGCATGTTAGTAAGAGTTCATTACGACTGACACGATGGCAATAAAAAATTATGGCATAAATCATATAGTGTAAATTGCTGGTGAGCAAACGTACCGTAGCAGGTCTTGTTGCCGCCAGAGATGAGCAACCACCACTCCTCAGGAGTAGTAGCACCAGCGGAAACAGGCTCGTAAAGGGTTTGCTTCCAGTTCTCAAGGGTCAGGACGTTGAGTCTCATAGAACCAGCCTTCGCCTCAGCGGCTGCGACAGGGTCATGGTGGCCTGGGTTGGGAATATATGAGGCGAACTGTCCGATGACATTTTGGAACTGGGCCTTATACTGGTCGATAGGCGAGTCCTGAGCGGCAGCAAGGGCGGGCAGAGCCGCAAGAACAGTGGAGGACGAGAAGCGCATATTGGCGATTTACTTCAATGAGCTTGTGATAGTTGACAGTGAAGTATGGCGCAAGCTAATCAACAAATATCGACCTCGAGGAAACGGCTGGAGAGGAATAGAAGAGAGGAAGAAGAAGGAAGGGAAGATAAGACAGGCAGGCAATGGCCAGATGGAAAGATGAACGGGCTCCGGTGGAGATGAGTGAATGGATGGGCTAAGGTAAGGGTAACTATGGCTAAGCTTGGATAAAGACCCCGGTGAAATTGGATGCATGGGGAAAGCTGGACCCTTGTAATCGTTGGGGAGATTCTTCAGTGGCTTACTTTGTTAACTCCTCTTTATTACCTTGGCTGCTGACTTATACGTAAGGTAAGGTAGCTAAGACCTGGAAACCCCGAACAGGAAGACAACTGGAAAGTCAAAGGTTGAGAAAGAGAGAGGTGAAATCAACCAGGTCAATCAACGCACTTTGGCGCATGAATGATACTCCAGAAATCTGGTTCTTGATAACGCTGGTAATCGACGTGTTTATGGTCATATAACACGCTGAAGTTTCCATCCGTATGGCGTATTCCCCCGCGCAAAGCCAACCCCCCGACCGACAATTTGAAAACCAATGATGACACCTAACGAGCAACGATTTGATAGCTCCAGCCCATCCTGACAGACGTGCTCCAGAGCTAACACATGCCAGGTGTCTAGGTACTTGTTAGTTAGACCAGTTCCACTAAATTGAACAATCCTCCTGTTCAGTCACTCCACTGAAGACAAGCTGTACTTCCCCGAGACCCCAACAACAACTACCACACCCCAGTCATGATCACAAATACAAAGACACGGACCGACACTTATTCCGTGTCATTCTCACGTCCTCTTCGACGCGCGCGTCTGTGAAGTGATTCACGACACTACCAGATTTTAACAATAGGTTCTATTCTTGGTCTTGAAGTTTCTGATCCTCTTATTTGTTGTATTGTACACTTGTCTACTCCAATCCTCTACCTACGTAACGTTTTCCAATTCGTATTATCCTTGTGCCCATACCATTCGATCCGTCCCGTAGCAACGACCCTGCCTCCGGTTCTATTCCATCATATTCATTATGAATCCTCAGATGGCCCAGCAAGGCCAAGGCCAAGGCCAGCAAGCTGGTGCTGGTCAGGCACAGCAACGCCCACCACCTATGTATCAGCCCAACCAGATCAGGAACCTTCCAACATTGAGTGACGAGGAAAAGTCCAAGTACGAGGCCGGATTGCAGGGTCTTTGGAACAAAGCCAACAACTCTCCCCAGAACAGCCCGGATCACATTGCTGCCCGTCAAAAAATCATAGAGTTCTCGAAGATGCTTATCACAAAGATCCAGCAAAGACGATCCCAGCAAATGCAAGGACAGAATGCCCAGAACCAGCAGGCTCGCCCTCAGCAAATGCAACAGAACGCTGCTGGGCAAGCAAATCAAGCACAGCCTCAGCAACAAGCTGCCGGGGCTGCTGCGGGTAACCAATCAGCTGCCGCTGCTGCCGTTCGACGAAACCCGGTCCCCGATCATATCCAGCAGCATGTTAATAAGATCAATTTTCGAGCACCTCAGTCCGTCATCGATAAATCCGCTGCCGAGGCTACCAAATGGATAGAAGAAATCAAGGAACGTTATACCCGAGCCTTGATGACTATGGATGCGAGCAAACAGAAGGTTGCTCAAATTGATAAAATCATTAATGATAGAGCCGCGGCTGGACAACCGTTCAAAGAAGATGAGCTTCGACAGCTACAATTGAAGAAGGATCAGCAGCTCAAAGCCCATACGGATGCCCACAAATGGGTTGACAGTGTCCGCAAGCAACAGGGAAGTCTGCAGGGCACTGGCCAGGCCCAAGCACAAGCTCAAACTCAACCGCAAGCACAAAACTCTGTAAGGTTGTCGCAACAAGGAAATCAGCCAGTGCAGCAGGCTGCAGCGACACCACAAAATCAACCCCAAGCACAGCCGAGGCCACAGCAGCAACAACAACCCCAGGCAACGCAAAACCAACCTCAAGCGGCTCAGCAACAGAACAACGCGCAAACTAACACTGCCCCTATTAACGCGGCTGTCGAAGTTGCTAAACAGCAGTTAGCCGCCGTCAGTCGAGCTTCCCCAGTCAACGGAACACCTGGAGCAACACCGGCGCAGGTACGTCCGGCGCAAGGGACACCTCAACCAGGACGCCAGCAACTACCAGCGGCGCAAGTTCAGGTTAAACAGGAACCTGGTGCTGCCCCCATAAATCCTGTGATGGCTTCGACAGCTGCACAGAATCAGGCTGGGACGCCAACCCAGCAGAACGCGCCACGGATTCCTACGCCCCAACAAGCGGCGGCGGCGGGTCCTCAGCAGGCTCTCAGTCACTCAGCTGCGATGGATCTTGCAAACCAGAAGGCTATTAACACTCCAGGAAGTGCCTCGGTGCCTGGCCGGCCTGCCGCAACTGGAACACCTACACCGGGTAGTGCAGTGAATCAAGGAGTGATGGGACCTAACGTTCCCCAGCAACCAACACCACAAGGTCATCCACATGCACATCCTCCACAACCTCAACAAACGCCAATGCAGTCTAAAATGCCTATCCCCAAGGTGCTTCCCGAAAAGGCCACAGCCGTGCCTCAAGGTGTTTCGGTTGGTGGCGGTGTGAACACTGGCCGGCCTACAATGTCCCAAGGAAGCGGAACCCTTGGCGGCGTTATGAACCAACCGGCGATGGCTAGAATTCCCGCCTACAACCACGAAGCTGAGGGAGATCACGTTTTGAGTAAGAAAAAATTGGACGAACTTGTTCGGCAAGTATGCGGAGGCCCGGCCGAGGGGCAAGATGGAAACCTGCTCACTCCTGAAGTGGAAGAGGTGAGTTTATCGCCTACTGCAGTTGAGATGAAATTACTAACTTAGTCCTAGAACGTCCTGAACATGGCAGACTCGTTTGTTGACAGTGTCCTTCATGCGGCGTGTCGAAACTCAAAGGAGCGTGGTTCCAAGGTGCTCGAGATTCGCGACATCCAACTTGTCCTGGAGAGAACTTACAACATCCGTGTCCCTGGATACTCGTCTGATGAGCTACGTACTGTCCGCAAGATTCAGCCGTCTACTGGATGGATTGCAAAAATGAGTGCAGTCCAGGCGGCGAAGGTCATGCCTGGCAAGGGTGAATAATGGTCTGGCCCTGGGAGAAGTGGTGGTGGTTATGAGAAGGCCTATCCGCGAGCAAAAAGAACATCGGGCATGGTACACTTTGTGTTTTGCAAAAACAGGCGTTGGGTGTATACCCGGAACAAATCGGCGTCAAGGGGTATTCGTTTTGGTATGATGAGGTTATTCTCGGAAAGTAGGTAGGCCAAGATTATATGAGGTGCCTCTCCCATTTGCAAGAGTTGACCTTCTAGGTTATGATGCAAATAATATACGCCTACCTAAGTATGACTCGACACTTGCTATAGTCCTGGAACTTGAAGTGTCGCCAAATTGCCATCTTTCTTGCCAACATGATGAAAGAGAAGTCTTGAAACCATACACATTTGTTCCCCTAGGCGATACTTTTTTGAATATCCATTTTTGGCTAAAGAGCCTTTTCTCGATTTTGGAAGCTGCTCTGTAGGGTCTCGTCACTTTATCACTTAGGCACCTAGTCGAAAGATTGGAAGTGACTAGCATAATATCTGCATAATTTACATAAGCATCGTGATATTCTCAAGGTTGTGCAAAAGGCTGCAGGCAACATCGAAACGTCACTGCTCCTGGCCCCACAAGGTACCAGCTTATTAAGAATACCTGGGCGGTACAGTGGAGCGCCGCAAAATAAGATGTGAAAACAAGTAGCTTTCCAGCCCTTCCAAGTAGTCTCTCAGCAGTCGCCTCAGTTGCCCACTGGCCAGTCACCACGCCCCGGTCTCCATTTGGTGAGCTAGCACGAGCAAGCAACCAGCAGCATCACCTTGAACCTCCCTCAATCCAATACAGCACCAAACTCCCCACGACGACCACGGTCTTAATTCCTATCTCAAAGCGTGTCTTGCTCTCTCGGCCTCGGCACCGTACATTCTTCAAGCCAGCACCGCCCGGGCCCAACCAACTCGGCGCCACGACAAGCTGAGGCGCGCGCACGACTCACGGGGTCAACAGTATTCTCCCACTACCGTCATCAACAGCTTCTGCAGCTTCAGCATCATATTCTCGCAATACACACAAATAAACCCATCGTCATGCCCAGCAAGACGCCAAACAACAACGGAAAGAAGCCTGCCGGGAACAACGTTCAGAAAAACAAGGACGTGGAGATGACGGACAGCACAAAGCCCAAGGGCAAGAAGTCCGCCAAGGATGGTGATGAAGAGATGACCGTTGTTGTTCCTCCTTCAAAGTCGAAAAAGTCCGACAAGACAGCGGCTGACGCTGAAGGTGATGTGTCAATGGGCGAAGAAGAGGAAGAGGCCAAGGTTGACCCTGTAACACAGACTATCGCAGGTTAGTAGTTGTCGTCGGAGCTTGACCAGCCCAAGCCAAACAGTCACTGACATGTCTTTCCAAACGCAGATATCAAGAGCAACTTTGCTTTGATAGACCGTGCGGTTTCACTTTTCGACGCCAGATTCTCCCTCCGCGCCTTACGATCTATCTCCATCATCCGCAAGCGGTTGACCCCCGATATCATTGCACAGGTCATTTCCGAGGCTTTCCCAGCTACCGCCAACTCAAGTGCTATTGTTAAGCCGCTCCTTTCTGCCATTGAGCGCGAAGATGTTATCCTGGGCCGACAGAGTGGTTCAGAGATGGAAATCGATGAGGCGAAGACGTCTGGCAAGAACGGTGCTAAGAAAGAAGCCAAGGAACCCATTCCTGAGATTGATATTTTCCTTGGTATTCTTGTCCAGGTCTACCTCTTTGACTCCAAGCAGTTCCAGCGCGGTGCCGACTTCTCTAAGTACCTTTCGGACAGAGTCCAATCGCTCAATCGCCGTACACTCGACTCTTTGTCTGCCAAGGTCTACTTCTACTACTCCATCTTTTGCGAGCACATTGCACCTCTTCCCCCTTCTCCCCAATCCCCCGTCGTCGCTATCCGGCCAACTCTCCTCGCCGCTCTTCGAACCGCCGTGCTACGTAAAGATGTCGACACACAAGCCTCGGTTATCGTTCTACTGCTGCGAAACTACCTATCAACTTCGCACATCAACCAGGCTGATCTCTTGGTTTCGCATACCCAGTTTCCCGAGAACGCTGTCAACAACCAGGTAGCACGATTTCTCTACTACCTCGGTCGCATCCGAGCTATTCAGCTGCGCTACACCGAGGCTCATGAGCATCTCACTGCTGCCACTCGAAAGGCTCCTTCCAGCAGCTGCGCCCTTGGCTTTGCTCAGACAGCCACCAAGCTGCTCTATGTTGTTGAGCTGTTGATGGGTGACATTCCTGACCGATCTATGTTCCGACAGCCAACAATGGAGGTCGCTCTCCAGCCCTACTTTCTCCTGGTCAAGTCGGTCAGAGTTGGAAATCTTGAGGACTTTGAGACAGCCATTGCCGATCATGCCGATACCTTCCGACGAGATGGCACGTACAGCCTCATCCTCCGTTTACGACAGAACGTCATCAAGACCGGTATTCGCATGATGTCTTTGTCCTACTCTCGCATCTCTCTTCGTGACATTTGCATTCGCCTGCATCTCGGTAGCGAGGAGTCGGCTGAGTACATTGTCGCCAAGGCTATCCGCGACGGTGTGATTGAAGCTACCTTGGATCGTGAGAGAGGTTTCATGAAGAGCAAGGAGGTTGGTGACGTGTATGCTACTCGTGAGCCGGGTGAGGCGTTCCACGACCGAATTCGAGCTTGTTTAGCTCTCCACGATGAGAGTGTAAAGGTTTGTTTCCCATTCATTCATGAGACAGGATAGAGACTAATTCGCACTAGGCTATGCGATTCCCTATGAATCAACATCGTCTTGAGCTCAAGAATGCCCAGGAGGCCCGCGAGCGTGAGCGTGAGATGGCCAAGGAGATCCAGGAAGGTGACTTGGACGAGGATGACCTCGGTGGAGACTTTGATGGTATCTAAACTTTGTATATTGTCTCGGCTTGAGAGCATTTGCTACCTATTGATCAATGCCTGTGGTTCCTCCTTGCCGACATCGTTAGGTACCGTTAGCTGCAGTTTCTTTTAATGACCCGCTTGTCGCTTAGAGTGACGGTGGTGGGTAGTCTGCTGGAATACGGCGATAGAAAGGGGAAGGGTTGAGGTGGTTTGAACGTCTTACCAAGGCTTCAGTGTATGTGTATTAGATGCTTCGCACGGCGGGAATAAACTTAGAGGCATGGAATACTTTGTCATTCTCATTGACACAGGAATTGAAACACCGTTTTCTTCAGAGTGGTATTCTAAAAGCAACACACTGCTTCTTTTAGTGAGTAGATACGAGGTTTCTTTCCAGGTGGCGGCAAGGGTACCTTGTGCTGAACCATTTGGCGGGGGACTCAGGAATATAGTATATCTTTGATCCACCATTTTCAACAGATGGGGAGCTGGCGCAACGGTAGCGCGTCAGATTCCAGCTATTAAGCACGGAGATTCCTGAAGGTTATCGGTTCAAATCCGGTGTTCCTCATATTTTTATCTTTTATATATAATTTCTCTATCTAGCTGTCTCCTAAACTATTAGGATTCTTTTTAAATTATATTTCCTTTAATAAATATAATATTAATTAACAACCTCTTTTAATTTTTATTATTTATAAATAAAAGCTATATAGTAACTTACTTTTTTATATTATTTTTAAAATATAAGGTAATTTATATAAGCTGCTGGCCTAATAATGCCACTCTGACTAACATCTTTGTGTATATACTTCTATAAAGACGAAGGTAAGCTGAGGCTACCCATATAGCGTAAGATACCCATTTAGTCTAGGACTTCATGGCACCTAGTTGTCAATCTTACGCCCTTGGATCGACAGGTGTGGGCCATATCCATGGTTGCCTTACATGTTGCATGATCCAAGCCACGATCTAGGATTCTTAAACCTCCACTCTGTTTATATCCGATCAGTATCAAATCGATACGTATACGGCAAACACACAAACACAAGGCGCTGGGAACATTAATCAAGATCAACAAGTCAAGAGTGGAGAGAGGTGATTACAGTGTTGCTCTTGTCTTGGTGATACTATTATTTTGCTCCAAACCACGAAGATTAGACTCAAAGTCAAATCGTGAATATTTTGACTGTCATTCATCTCAGGCAACTTATACCTACTCGACTTCAAACTCGGAACCGCATGGTCACCAGAGTCCTATTCACGGCCCTTTCCTGAACACAAGTGGAGGCCACCGCCAGAAGCTGCTGGAAACACGAGGGCATGTTCAAAGTTTGAGGTGAGGTTGACTCACTCGGCAAACAAGCCGCCAATTGTGCACTGCACAGAGTACGCCCTGCGTTCGACAAGGTCTGAACAAGCAGCAAGGCAGTGCCAGCCAGTGCAAGGCCCCCTTGGAAGATTTGTTGCAGAGTTTGGGTGTCATCTATCGGTAAGGCTGAGCTTAACTCAATAGCCATCTCCATTGTGTAGGTATATAAAAGGCTCGATAGGAATAGTGGGAGCCCTTTCTTCCTTTTCGTATCACACACAAGCCTGACTGCTTTGATTTCACAAGTACACCATAAAACCTGAATCCAAAGTCGCGCACTTGGAAATGGCTTCCGCTACCGAGCTTTGGCCTACTCAGCCGCCCTCATTTTCAACACATCAGCACGCAACACCATCTTTGCCTTCGGTACCATCGACCAAGTACCACGACGAGGTAGAAATGGACCTGGCTATCCATCTCGCGACGCTCTGCCGCAAGAGCCTCGTCGAGCTCGACTCTCATCTTCCCGACTTCAAGCCTTCTCATCCTTTCACTGCAGATGAAATCGTTTCTCTGCCGCTTGATAAGCATCGGATCGACGATACTCTTCATGAACTCCCTCGGCGCAAATCTGCTCGTCATAACCTGGCCGTCGCTATTTCTTCCTGTTTGTACCCTGTGCATCAAGGTTCGCTAACAGCCATCATACGCTACGAGGAAGACCGTGTGCGCCTCCGTGCTTGGGCTGCCTTGCAGCGCAGGTATGACATGCTGAAGGCCACTATTCGCAACGGTCATACCGCCCGTGGCCTGTCCAGCGGTGCCGCCCCTGGTGTCCAGGCGCCTGTTTGGGCCTCCCGTATCACATCACAGGGAGTTTGGGGCCCTGCTAAGCATCCCATTTCTCTTGAAGGTGTGCCAGCAATCCCCATGCCTGTTGAGATCGCCCACGAGGCCGATCTTGTGCCATTCCTGAACCATCTTAGGGGTGGGGGCACTTCCAAGCTGAATGGTGATGAGAAAGGCTTCGAGCTGGATGATGGACGAGGTGAGCCTTACTATGGTGTGAAAGGCGCCGAGTTCCGCAAAGGCGTTGTCTATGAGGATGGACGCATGGATCTCTGCAAAATGGTCGTTGGACCTGATCACATTGGTAAACTGATGGACTCGCTTCGACCTAATGAGTTTGTACGCCACTTCCTGCTGGGCAATAACATCATCGGCCCTGTAGGTGCTCATGAGATCGCCAATTTCATCCACGATCTCCCTGGACGAATTGATACTTGGTATCTCGCTGGAAACTGCATCGACGGACCCAGCTTCAATATTCTTGTCGATGCCATGATCGAGTCTGATGCTATCACCAACATTTGGTTGAAGCGAAACCCACTCGGATCACATGCCTCTGAGGATGTCTATCGACTCATAACCGGAGTTCGGAATTTGCGAACTCTTGATCTCGACCAAACCCAGCTCGGTGACCGAGGAGTTTCGGACCTGTTCAACCGCTTGGCAGGTCACGAGATGCCCGAGGGTGCGAAACTACCCCTGAAGCATATCTATCTCAACGGCAACGGCATCTCAAATGAGGGTGCACAGGCTATTGGGAAATTCCTCGTGTCTCCGCACTGCGGCTTGACGTCCATTTACATGTCATCAAACCCCATGGGGGATTCTGGTGCAAATGCCCTTGCTCAAGCACTACCTAAGGCATCGTATCTGACTCGATTGCTCTTACAGTCGATCGGAGTCAGCACCAAAGGTGCCGTTGCGCTGTGCAAGGCTGCTACTGGTCATCCCGCTCTCGAAGTGCTTGATCTTGGACAGGCTTATGCCACCCATGATCTCGGGCAGGCCTACAACTACATCGAGGATGGTGCCGTAACTGCCATTCAGGACCTTGTCTCGGCCGAAAGCCATCTGTCCTATCTCAACTTTGGACATATGGCAGTGACACCTCCGGCAATCAATCTTATTTCAGAGGCAGTGCTCAAGAGCCCGTCGCTCGTGTACTTCGCGGCCTACCCAATTCTGCCAGATCCAGCCCTCAAGGCCGCAACCTTCAGGCCAGCAGTTGACACGACTTTCGCCAACCCAGCTGAGCCGACCAGGCCGCAGATTCTGATGAGCAAGGCTGTCCAAGAGCATCTTTCTGCCAATGTCAAGGCTCGGTATGGCGAGGAAACCTCGTACAGTCAGTTCATGGAGGAGGACAGGCGCTGGCTCGTAAGCGATAAGACCGATGTGCGCAAAATCGACAGCGTGTACCGTAATCGCGATGCTGGTCTCGCCCGTCGCCGGCTCCTGACTCTGGTCAAGAATTGGGAGGAGGGTGATGAGACCCTTGACCGTGTCATGGCAGCTCATGCCCCAACCTGCTCTTTGCGCCGACACTGAGTGACAAAAGGGGTCGAGGAGCAGTTGCTTACTTTTGTCTGACTTCACAAGTCTATTTCACTTTTTGAAATGTTGTTTCTGTTACGTTGTTGGAATGTAACCAGGAAGTGGAGGACAGGGGAGCATTTGCTCATTCAACTTGGAGATGAATTTATTCGCTCCTTTGAAATGTTGTTGTTGCTCTTAGAAACCTGCACTTCTAATTGAGCACGTTGAAACATGTCCGTTCTAACATCATGCGTGGTATAGTGTACTTGAGAAATAATGTGATATAACAGAAGACTGTAGTGCTGTGGGTGGTAGTAAACTCAAACACCATGAGACATGTTACCCAATAGCTATAGCACGTGATAGACGTGATTGTGACATGATAGGAAGCATCCGCGACATTTGCCGTATCCCCCGCGTCGCGTCTTGCCTACCTACATTACCTACGGAGTATACAACTCAAGCCTGCCTTACCTAGCCGTAGATCTGATCGCATGACGTTCCCTTTCTCTTAAAATAACTCACGGACCCAATGTCGAATCAGCCTTAAAAGACATAAATCTTCCAGTCATAAATAAACCATGTTTCTACGTGCGTAACTTATCAGTCGCTAAAAACGAAAACCACTTGACAACACCTCCATTCTGGCTCATCGGCCCCAACTTCTTAGTCTACCTTGATTAGTCCAGTATACCAGAAACTCCACGTCCAAGTCCTAGTGCCCTTCCATACTCGCAAAGCTCTATCAACCACCATATTTCTAAATCGAGGCTCGCACAGCGATGCCTCAAAAGCGGAAGCGACCAGACCAAGATCCCTCCGAACAAGAATTGTTGCCCGCATCCGCACTCAAATCAACATCTTCTGACTCTCAATCAAAATCCGCCAGCGCGCGCCGGGCGACGCGTCAAACCCCAGTCATTCCACCAACACCACCAACACCAGTGACGCAACTACAACCTCAACCACGCACAGAAACGGCTGTACCACCTCCTATAATACCTACACTATCATCAGCTTCTTCGAAGCCGACACCCTCTCCAGAGCAGAAGCGGAGTCGTGCCTCCAACGGTCGTCCTCAACTACCTCCATCGCAGCCCAAGGCGCAAAGTCAACACCCCCCTTCTGTGCTGCGATGGGCTCCGCTTGAACAGCCAGGCCCAGCAGTAAGGCCTCCCCCTCACCATCTCCATCCAACAACGATGGCAGCCATGCCCCCACCTCGGCCGATTGCCGCTGGTCGTCCACCATCGGACTTGGTTGCGCCTGAGATCACCTATCATGTGCCCCAGTCGCATACAAACTCATTCCAGCGGACCTCAGCTCTTGTCCGACCTCATGGCCCTACGGCACAACCACCACGTATACTCGAACGACCGCCGCCTCCAACAGTCACGTCAGTTCACCCTCCGAAGCCTCCCGTCCCACCCTCTGTACGGCCGCCTCTGCGAGCCGATCGCAACATTGACAAAGTCGTGTTGGGTAATATGTGCTTCAGCACGTGGTATCCTAGCTACTATGGAAAAGAAGTGCTTGGGGAATCATCAGGCAATCTAGGCAAAACAGGCAGCAAGGACCTGGGGGCCAAGGATCAAGCTACAGGCGGTAAATCATCATCCCGGCGGGATCGCGAACATCACCCAGTAGTTGATCGCCTCTACGTGTGTCCTACCTGCTTCAAGTACTCCAAGGAATTGGTTGCCTGGTGTCATCACGTCCATGTGTGTGAGAGGAAGACTCATATACCTGGTCGGAAGGTATACGTTCATCCACGGGGGCGTAGAAAGATTCTTGTTCCCCATGATAATAAAACCTCTGGCCCCAAAAGACGGAAAGGGGAAGGAAACATTCGGTTGGTAGAGGAGATCGTCCAGGACGAAGGAGAATGGAGCATTTGGGAGGTTGATGGTGAAAAGGATGGGGTACGGTTACCCATTATGTCAAGGAGAGCCCCAATGCTAACTTTTGCTCTTAGCTCTTTTGCCAGAACCTGTCACTCTTCGCAAAGCTCTTCCTCGACAATAAATCCGTCTTCTTCGATGTCACAGGTTTTAACTACTTCCTACTTGTTTACACCCCTCCGACTCGATCTTTGCAGACTGCGACCGAGCCTGAGCCCCCTTCGCCTCGAATTACGGGATTCTTTTCGAAGGAGAAAATGTCATGGGATAATAACAACCTCGCTTGCATCCTTATATTCCCCCCATGGCAGCGAAAGGGTCTTGGTGCGTTGCTGATGGGGGCCTCGTACGAGATATCTCGGCGGGAGGGAATTCTGGGCGGGCCGGAGAAGCCAATTTCTGATCTTGGTAAGAAGGGCTACAAACGTTACTGGGCAGGTGAAATCGCGAGATGGCTATTGACTATCAATATGGACTCAAAGACGCCCCAGAATGAGGTCCTTGTGGATCTCAGCGACTGCAGTAAGGCAACGTGGATTCTTCCCGAAGATTGTCTCCAGGTGCTGCGAGATATGGGTGTTGTCGAAGAGGCCGGTTTGGGCCCAAGCAAGCCTGAGGAAAAGCCTGTCGCCGAAGCCGAGGCCGAGGCCGAGGAGAAGAAAGGCGAAGAAACGACAAGGACATCGCCTACTGCTGACGGAGGAGTTAAAGAAGAGACCGTGCCAGTTGTCAAGACGGTGCCACGGGTGCGGATGGACAAGCAGGCGGTCCGTCGATATGTGGCCGAGAATCGGATAAGTCTAGAGCGGATGTGTGATCCTGCTGGGTTTGTCGAGGGCTACGCGATCAAAGCACCCGAGGTAGTGGAAGAAGAGGTGGTCGAGGCGGAGGAGTGATGGAGTCGAGATATTGTCGTTGTACAATTTGCTGACATGTACCTATAGATTAGACGCTTCGGCGATAGTGATACCCGTGCTCGAATTAAATGAGCTTCCTCTCATCATCATCGTTCTCTCTCTTTTTCTCTCTCTCTCTCTCTCTCTCTTTCTCTTTGGATCTAGTAGGATCATCAGGGTCCTCTGTTCGCCTGGTTCTTGATCGAGAATCATAGTTTTATGCCACAATCCTGGTGTGACTTACAAGGGACTCGATCATGCAGTTGAGCTCCTGCAACTATTGCGGTTTACATAATGTGTCGGGATGCATGTTGACTACCTACCTCTGTCATGCCATTTTCCTCAGGTCGTGCCGAGGTCGAACGGGAAAACGTTCTCGATGCGGTCGGAGGCACTCAGCATGGAAAGGCGGTTCAGCATTGCATCAGGGAATTCAGAAATGGCGTTCGTATCGTAATTGAGACTTCCGGCGCGTATTTGAACGGTATATCGAGGTCAATGGCTCTGAAATAGCCTTTATTCTCATACCTAACTCTTGACAACCATCTTGGCCCGATCTAACGAGCTTTCCCAAAAGGGTAAAGAGCTTAGACAAGCTTGTGTAGTTTCGCACAGGGTCGAGTTTTTTCAAGCTCGTCCCGATTTTGCCCTTGCCCAACAGTGTGAGTACTGGCACTGGGACTGACACACCCCCTTGGGCCGAAAACTTTTCGTCAGCCTGGAAGTCAGCGACTTTTACAGTGCCTGCCTACCTAGGGGTTAGGCAATCCCAATCTCTCAGGCCCTAGTTGCCCCAGACTCCCAAGTGTTGTCCGTTGCAGATTTGAGATTCAAGATGAGATGTGAAATATGGGGAGCACTCCTCTTCTCACAGACGTGGGTATAGGGACAAGGCTGGAGCTACCGATATACAGTGTCAGTCTTTATTTTCACACGCAATTATTAGACGTTCTGTGGCTGCGGAAGTGGTTATGTCAAGTTTCAACGCAACTTGACCTCTTCATGCTTTTACGAACCTTGATTGGCAAATGGCTCTGTTCTTTGTAGCAAAAAGAGCATAAGCGGTGCCATATTATCCTCAAAACGATATTGCTACAAGGCCAATTGTCGCCCGTAAGACCTGATACATGAAAGGGAGTGTTTGACAAATTGAGTATTTAGCCAAAACGACATTATTCGTCATATCAAACCTTTCTGACTTTCTTCAGCCTCGCTGCCGTGCAATTATTGCAGGAGGTTGAAGGCTGCAGCCACCCGTTGCTGTCCATCATTTGATTCGCGCACTGTCCCAACTCATCGACGGCCAAACCTAAATTCGATCTGGGCTGTTTGATCGAGCGGGAAAATTTTTTCCTTTCGCCCAACGATAGCTAGTACCTAGCTAGGTAGGTAGTAAAGGGCTGATCTACTGTCATGTCCCAGCTCTTCAGTGAAACTACAGGACAGATCCATTCGTACCGCATATGACTTTTGATATACTACGTACTCAGTTTGTAGGATTGTTCATTATCATAGAGTATAGATCAAGGGATCGTTCTCTATTCGCCTGCGATCGTTAAGAAAAGTCAACTCAAACTCAGTGATCGATAAGCAAGAGGCAGGGTGTTCAGCGACCGCTTCCGCGAGATGATCGAGAAGACCAACGCTCAAATGGTTGATATTGCAGTAACCTGAACTTGTCGAGACAGGACCCATTTGTACTGTACATGTCTTTTTCAATAAGGCTTTGATTCTGGTCCCCTCCCTCACAGGATTGACTTTACCTTCACTTGACGGTATCAAATGCATCCTTCGAAGTGTCTCTCACCATCCACACACGTGGGAAACTCGTCCCTTGATTCGCCGATTAGGCTCTGTAAGGGCCACCGAGAGAAATCTCAGCTCGTACTGTGTCTTGTCACTGTACACATTGCTCTCTTTATAGGTGGGTGTGTTGCTGCGCTTGGCTCAAGCCTATAACCAATCAAAATCAGATCTCGGCAGCATCCAATGTCCAGGTACGGATACCAGCTCTGATATCAACTCTGTTGTCATTCTGTTCTAGCCTTGGCTAGACAAGCGTCAGCACTGTAACGGTACCTCGTGTCATCAAGATAAAACTTCTTGACGACTTTTGCGTCAAGATGCTTTTCATAGTTGGACGATTTTTACCATTTCGACGGGTTTATGTGATTGAAGGCGACCTCAATTACCTACTTGTTTAGATGATACATCTCATTGAAGCTGCTGGCTGTATTGTCTCGGAGATCCGGTACGACCGTCGTTGTCCGTTGCCGCAAAATATCTTTTTTAGTCTTAGCTGTAGGGGTTCTCGTTGTTCCGGCTTTGTCCCTCCTCCGTACCGAGATTTCACTCAATGTTGCGCGTTCCATCGCCGGCCCAATCTATTTGCTGGCGCTCCTTGTAGCCCTTCAACCATGATTCATGGTCCACCGCCAAGTGTGTCCCTCCGACTGTAAAAGCCTCAGGCCTGAAGGTTTCTCAGTCCTTCCAGAGCAATCACAGCTCAGCATTGTTGTATCTCACTCCACCCGATTCCCTCCGACGGCTAAGCAGCCCGTGCAGAGCTCAATCCCTTTGCCTAATTCGCACCCGTGATATCATCCCCATTCCCATCATTTTCCAGCGGTCCTGGACTGCTTAATAGCGGGCAAATATCTTGTTTGTGGGAGGTTTTCGTCTGTTCAAGTTCGTGCTCAAGTCACATTCTCACCCGTGTTCGCCGTAACCATCATCTCTCCCATATCCATCGTCGTTCCCTTCTTCCCAGCGTTGCCCCGGCTGACATCCTCACCCCCCTGACAATATCCACCCGTGTGGGCCCACCTATCCTCACTTTCTTCCCGGCTCCAGGCGCTCTCTCTTCCCTTTTCCTTTTCCCACTACCGTCCTGTCTCGTGCTGAGCTCCGTATCTCTTTTCTTTAAACCTCCCATCAGCCTCTCCCTCTTTCAAACATCAACCATCTCCCCTCACACATCAATCACAATGGCCTCTTCTCGTGTCTTCGCCTCTCGCCTGGCCTCCCAGATGGCCGTCAAGGCCGCTCGCCCTGCTGTCCGAGCCCCCGTCGCTGCTGCCAGCAAGCGAACCATCTCTGGTAAGTTTCTGATGCGGCAAAAAATTTTCTTCGAGCTCAATTGAGCTGGTGTCGAACCCGACTCGATCGAACTTCGCCCATCACGATGAATGAACAATTCGCTCACAATCGATTCAAGGCGCCAGCCCCCTCCAGGCCATGAAGCGTCAGACCCTTCTCCAGGCTACCAGCCGCAACGCCTTCCAGGTCCAGCGCCGTGCCTACTCCTCCGAGATCGCCCAGGCCATGGTTGAGGTCTCCAAGAACTTGGGTATGGGTGCCGCCGCCATTGGTCTGACTGGTGCCGGTATTGGTATCGGTCTCGTCTTCGCCGCCCTCCTTAACGGTGTTGCCCGCAACCCTGCCCTCCGTGGCCAGCTCTTCTCTTATGCCATTCTGGGTTTCGCTTTCGTCGAGGCCATCGGTCTTTTCGATCTGATGGTTGCCCTCATGGCCAAGTTCGTAAGTCAATTCCCTATTCTCGCACTTCTATTCCCTTTCGAGCATGAACTAACATGCTCCACTTTAGACCTAAGTTATTTCCCGGCCAATTGGGTAGGCTCGTGCCGAATGATCGAGTCAACGAGACAGAGGAGGCTGCTGAGCGCAGTGCATTGTGCCATGTCTTGAAAAATTTGACATGGGTGCGCTTGATGCCAGCTTGCACGATAGAGGGGAGGTTGTCTTGTAATAGACGGGATAGAGATCTGGGAGTGACATTGGTCATAGGCACTTTCCTATGATTAGAATTGGGGAAATTCTGCATAATTCCTCCCAGGGATCAATTTGTAAAATAAAAAGCCTCATTCATCCCGCTTCTTCCAATGCATATGGATATTTTCCTTGTTCCACCATCACAAAATACATGGTTCATCTGATGATCGTGACTTCACGTATTGATGTTCCAATTGACGTCTCAATTAACTTTCAGTCGATGACATCGTTCCGAGTAGCTTTATCTGCTGCATGATAGCTGTAAACATGAGGCATTTGCTGAGCTCCCGTGGGCCGGTGCCGGGGTTTGGCGGGCTAGCCGGAGACAGGCTTGAAGACACTGTTCTTCCAGCTTAGCCGAATTGACCCGGGCGTGACCATGGTCTGTAACACATAATGGATCTCTCGATGCTTGGTGCCTGCGTTTCAAGGCACACAATTCCGATCGAAGTTTCTTCATGATATGGAAAAGAGATCTCCACACGGTGTAAATTCTACCCTCGCTAGCGTCTGTCGCTAGCCGTAGCGCACAGCGAAGACCAATAGGGCGGGCATGAGCGAGTCGTTCGAGTGGGTTAAGAGGCAACTGAATGATCTGTGGGATTTGATAGTGGAGCTGCTGAGAGGGTATGTAAAGAAACGCAAATCCACCTGACGACAATGTCACGAGCTGGTCTGAAGTGATCGCTGGGAATACTGGTCAAGATGCAATGTTTTCAAGCTCCAGGACAGTCAACATACCACTTCCGATGGGTTTGGCGGGAAGGCTTTGACTGCCATCGAGTAGCATGATCTCCATGAGTATTGCTAAAAGTTCAACCATTGTAGTCTGACCAGTTGCACCACGGGGCACTGACAACAGTTTCGACGAAACGAACGAGGCTATAGCCGACGGGGTCCTATGCAAGATTCTTCAATCAAACAAAGTCGAGGTTTCGAGGACGGCCAGGGCGGCGTCTCGAACGAAATGATCCCACGAGCTCGAGTGAGCACCAATATGTGAATTAGACGACATCTGGACGCGCGATGTGTTGCACAAACGAGTTGGTATCGACGGTTGATTATGGGGCCATAAACACTTTCCGGGCTCGGAAGGCTTGGGCAGGTTGAACAGCAGACGATGCGAACGACGACATGCCAGGGAACTCCGGGGACAGTGGTGAGAACGGGTTCAAGTGAACAGCGACATTGGGGACGGCCCAGTATGGATCGGAGGATTGGGGTATATGTCGAAAATGTACCGGCGTCGAGGACTAAATGTGTTTTTTGCCGTCGACACGCACATAGGGCTCATTTCTCTCCCCGTTTGCTTGTACTGAAAAAGCAGGGAGGTTCGGGCTTTGGTGGGAGTATGGAAGAAGAGAACTTCATCACAAACCTGGATACAGAATCAAAAGGCCTTGGTGAACTCTCTGGGAGATGATACGCCTCTGTCTGTCTATATGTTAGTATGCCGCGACGGGACCATTCATCTCTGAGGTCCTGCTTTGACTTACTTTATAGATTATCGTGTGCTTTGGCTCAGGCCCACTCGACTCCACCGTTGTCGAAGGATTGGTGTCATTCTTGCTGGTATAGGTCGCTCAAGGGCCACAACGAAACTCAATACGGGCATAACGACTTGGGAATCAACAACACCAACAAGAAAGAAATCAGAGGGAAGAAAGAGATGTGAATGCTGCATCTTGGGTTTCATCCCGTCTCTTTCCCCTCACTTGGAATCACATGACCTGCCGGTCTTGCCTGGCCACTTACCACTCTCAAGGCATAGGCCACATCATCGACGTGATTCCGAAACCATGACTTGCTCAGGAGACAGCGGATGCAGACGACGGCAATGGTGTGCGTGTGCTTGAGACATTTGATGTCGGCGTTCTTCTCATCGTGCCTTGTGTGAAATGGAGCGAAACTGGGTTGGCGGAAGAAGCGGCAAGACGAGGACAAAGATGCAGAAGGCAAAGAAGAAGCAGAGTAGGGGGTTCAAGGGTTGGTCCTATTGTTATTGACAAAGCCAGGTTTTGAGTAATGCCACGGTGACAGAGTGAGATTATCCGAGTCACAAAATGAGGGGAAGTCAACGCCGTGGCTGCCGTGCAAGAGATGAAGGGGGCAATCAGCCGAATAGGGTCTCCTGCATTTGGCAGGAACAGCCTCTGGATGGCACCTTCCCGTTTCCTGCGATTGGCCATTACCACCCATCCACGCCGCGTTCCTTGGACGTTGGGGTGCCATCGACCATCATCCAAGCCGTCAGCAGAACCCAAATGGACGCGTAGTGGTTGTGATTTGTCAAAGCGCAAGGGGAAAGGACATTCTAGCCTACGGTTGCCATTTTAGATATTTTAGCTTGTGAAACTATGTTGTTGCGAATAGCTTCTAATTTGCTATTGCCCACTACAATGGTTTATATGATTTCTCGCGCGACAATTCTAAATATTATTTGCATTAAAGTCGGCAGTCATTACAGTCAGAAGCCATTCAAAGCGGGGAAAGTGGAAAATCCGGGGTAATTAGGGTACGGGTAACATTTGCCTCCCTTCCGTAGTGGAGCTGCATTACCGTATCGTGTCCCCGAAGGCAGGCATTGGATGTTCAATCGGGTTTCGCAGGGTGAACACCTTGTCCCCATCATTCGATTTTTTATGTCCAAGTGCTTCGATAGCCAACAATTCAGGTTTTATTCGTGCATACAGTCTCCAGTATAATAATGCGAGACGGCTGCCTACTAGGTACCGTCTCGGAGTTTATACCCTGTTCGATCGTCGATGTACCCTCGACTGTGGCTATTGATGCTAGTGTGGTTCGACAATCAAAAGAAAACATTCTCTGTATTATAGACCTAGTTAGGGGATTGACATAAGATGGTGACTGCTGGTCGAAGGGAATGAGAAGAAACCTCTTTTTTAGAATTAAGTCCGCAGCTAGTATTATTATTATCATCACCAAGTAAGGGAAGGACGCATTAGATACACCATGGTCTGACGTGCAGTGTAACTTTCCCAAACCAATAGTGATAGAGGCTAGAATAGCTACTGACATGAAAAGATAAATGAGGTACCGGCTGTTGTTTCATAAATCATGTGTTTAATATATAAGCTGTACTAAAGTAGATTTATCAGGAAAATCCTAGTATATGCGTACTCACCAACTTGTAGACGTCGAAAATAGTTAGCTTTATCAAGTTGCGGAATGGTCGACATGGCTGTACAAAAGTTCAGCTGAGGGAGAATAGCAATCCCAGAATGAAAATTTTAAACAGCAGCGAATGAAGGCATAATTATTAAGCTACTGACTAAAAGCCGAGCCTCCCTATGCCGTAGTCTAGGACCCAAAACTCCTGATTTCGCCATGGTTACCCGGCATCCGACACCCTGAAGTTAATTCTTGAATGTTGCACTTCGCTCTCCTCTCACTGGGGGCGCTTTGCGTGCTCCCTTGATGTCCGTGTCCGCAGACTTCGAGTAGGGGTCGAAAACCTTCTTCTTGCCCTTTCCGTCTGCCTGTCCACCATTAGATTCCCTGTTTGAATGGAGCACCGATGTAGCCTTGCTATAGTCGAAAGGCACTGCGTCAAACTTCTTGGTCTTGTCGTCCTGTTTCTTCTGCTTCTTCTGAGCTTTGCGAACCTTCTTCACTTCTTGTCGTCGGAGTCGCTCTTCTTCAGCCTTCTTCTCCTCTGCCTTGCGAAGCTTGCGGCGAGCACTCCTGGACGCTTTTTGGGAGGGTTCATCTTCGACAGCGATGACTCCACCACCCTCTTGCATCTCCTCATCACTATCATATTGTGATGGATCCGTGTCCTCTTCACTTGGCTCGGATTCTTCAATCGCTTGCGACTTTCGCTTCTGACCCCTCCTCAACGTAAACTCTTCGTCAGCCTCTTCAACCTCAGCATTGCCAACTGCACTCTCCACAGTATCTGTCTGCTCAGAGACATTGACCTCTTCGGCGGCTGTATCGTGTTGAACGTCTCCTTTAATCGAGCCTTGTTGTATGAATCTCTGCCAAGGGAACGGAATAAGTTCCTCCTCAGTTTCGGTTGGTCGCGTTGAAGGATCCCATTTAGAGCTGATCGGCATATCGCCAAATAACTGCGACCGAGTCAGCCTACTGACCGTGACCTCTCCATCAAGGTCCGGTAACTTTGTAGTTTTCCTAGCTGCAATAGGCATGCCATTCTTTCTCACGCTATCCGGTGCCATCGAGGTAAAGAAGTGAAGCAAGCTGAGTCCACCCTTTGCCTTGGTCTCTTTAATTTGTTCCCAGATCTCGTTGAAACGCGGTCGTGCTAGAGACGCATTCAGGGGTAACAAGCTGTGTAAGGCCTTTGCGTCAGGCGGGTTGATTCGGGCGATCTCTGTGATATCCCTGGTGCTAAGAACGTAGTTGGTACTCTCGTCCTCTTTCCTGGCAGTGTTATCTCTCCACTTCCACAAGGCTCTGAAGACAGCAAATTGTTCGCTATCGAATGCTAAGTGCGAGTTCTTAAAGATATACCCATACCAGCCACGAGAGCCTTCACCAGTCTCTTCATCGTAACCGGGATGTTCGTAGCGGGAAAGTGACTGTTCCTTTGATTTCTCCACAGCCCGGCCAATGTAGTCTTTATCAACATCACCTCTATCCGAGGCAGCAACAAGCTCGTTTCGTACCCGATCGTAGATGTAGAGCAAGTAGTGGGTGTCGGACCGAGCATAGTACATCATCTCCTCGGGCAGTGGCCGTATCCTCCAGTCGGCCAATTGATACTGCTTGTCTGCATCAAAGTCGACGAACTTAGACAACAGGTAGGCTAAGCTCTTGGCTGGATAGTGGAGTTGCTCGCACGCAAAGAAGGTATCGAAGAGACCATTCACATACAGTCCCAAATCTCGCTGAAGCCAAACCATGTCCATGTATGCACCATGGAAGACCTTTTGATGTGTTAGTTATAGTTTTTACTGCTCGGACTAAGGAGGCATACCTTGACCACATTGGGATCGGTGAAAACTTGGTTCAGAACCTCAAGTTTATGGCGCCAGGGTTGTAGAGTATCTACGATCCAGTCCTTCTCTCGCGTGCTGATTTGCATGAGCGACACAAGTCCAACATAGGACCTAAAATCGTGGTGTTCCAGATCTATCGCAATCTCCTTGGCACCCTTCAGTTCCTCCAGCATCTCCAGAACGCCCTCGTATGTGTCGACAAAAGTCGCCTCGGTTGTTTCGACCGGCTGGTACATGATGGGTTCGGATTCCTTGAAGACTCGTTTCGGATATGACATACGGACAATTTCGTGTTCATAGGGGTGTTGGTATCTGTAAAGCGAAGATTAGTATTTGACTATCACCAGTGGTCTGAAATCGCAAACGATTCATGAAGAATTGTTTTGGATATGGCGGACATACTGTGGTGTGCCAGCTTCATTAGGGACGACGTTGAGGCTTTCCTCTAAAGACAACTTGGCATTTGGTTTCGACGTAAGCATCGGTTTCCATGGAGCAGGAGCAAAGTTGTCGGGCTTTCGTTCGAAAAGGAGTTGAGGCTTGGTCATATTGGCATTTCGGATAACCTTGTTCGTGGACTTGGGCTTCTTGGACTTGTTCGCCTGTGTGAATTAGCTGTAGTACTCCAAAAAAAAAAAAAAAAAAGTATATTTGACATACAGGATCAGGTAAGGGTGGCTCCTTTCTCTTGACAAGCCCTGTGTACTCATCCAAGGCTGTGTCGGCCTTCTCGAGTGATGAATCGACAACATCGACGACGCCCCTCCATTTCATCTCGATGTCTTCCACATCTTCAAGCTTGGGCGCCTTGACACCACATGCCTTACCGGCAGTCAGGAGAAGTTGTGTAGAGAGTTCGAGGATCCGCGAAGTTCGATCTTCGAGTAGTTGGCCGACGCTAGGGTTGACTGTACGCTGGAAACTTAGGTCTTCGGCGGCGATTCGGTTCACAGTCTTGATTGTGGAAATAAGTGACTTCTGGACACTTTCCTGAAGCGATTTGAAGTCTTGAGATTGCTCCATGTTTGCGACAGGTGATGCACGTTGCGCGTGCAGTTGGTAGCTGTGCCTAATGTCGCGATGCAGTGTTGATTCTAGAAAAATTCCTAGATTTAGTTGCGCTTATCGATAAGATAAGATTTCAGTCTGCTGCGCGTTATGGGGTAAAGTTAGTAGTCTAGGTTAGTAACATGGTAGTTGCTAGAGTGAGAATGATAACTACGGGTGGGAAAGTTCAGAATGCACTTTTTTAAGATACATTTAGAAGGAGGTAAAAATATCTAATTTATTTCTTTGCCTCTATATGCCATATATTTGAGTAAAGGAGTCGCGGTTATGTCTAATGTATATATTTACCTCCATTATGTGAAAGGATAAAATGTCTAACTCCCACACTTGAAGTCATGGAATGCTCTCTTCTCCATAAAACCCAAGCTTGGTGAGGTCAAGAGGTCAAAATCCAAGATTGACACACTACATATTAGTGCCTCATAGATATCTACAATCATATAGTTTTGGCGCAGACGAAGAAAATTCAGACTGGGAGATTCCTTTCATATATGTTTACCTATGCCAAACGCCCGAGGTAAGCTTAACTTGTTTGATTCTAACATTGCCCGCCCACCCCCAGACCTAGACTCATCATCGCAGCATGCCTGTAAGTTATTGATTGTTACGGATCACCAAACAGTCTTTATAGTCGAGTAGATAACACGATGAGGAAATGTTTATCGAAAGCAGCTACGGTTCCCAGACACTCATACTTGGACCAAGAATACCTAGGTATTGGAGCAATTTAGTTGCGGCTACCGGGCCGACGGCTATGCAAACCTCGCCGATTTGAGACGGGAGGATGGCTGTAACCCAGTGATGGGTCTGGGTTCAGGCTCCCATCAATTCTCTTGTTTTCGCGCTTTATCTTTGAAGATGACAGAAGTTCAGGACGTTCTGGTCCGGCCGATGAACCCTATCAAGGATAAAACATGGCCTTGTCCCTATTATCAATTGGTTGATTGGCCTGTGTGTAGTGATAAAGCCCACTTCGTGAAAACCAGCGGCAGGCAATCTAGTACTTGGGCCTTGTAATCTATCTGATGGAACCCAGACGAAGAGTGCCCTGAATGCGTCACTTTTCCATCACTACAGCTGGCTGGGCTGGCTGTTTATGGAGTCACAGAATCAAGCTTTGTATCACAGATGTGGAGACCCGCACACTCTTGACCGGTTTTTGCCATTTACTGAATTCCTTAGTATTGATACCTTAAAAAATCGAGAACAAAGACAATGTCCGTAATGCCCGCATAGTGGCCAATGAATCGACCCCGTCTCCGGAAACACCTCCGGGCTGCCCTCGGTTCAAGCAATACAGACTTTAGAAGCACTAATAGGCAGATGTATAGAAGTGGAGAGCTAATTCACATCCGGACCTCTCGATTCGTTGCTGGCACTCTTCTCATTGTTACTGTCCACGAAAGTCGATGCCTCGTGGGTGATTGACAGGCGTAGGATGGTGTTGGGTGTCCAGTGGTGTTTTCCTTTGGCGATAGCGACCCGGCCCGTGTAAATGCCTCCCTCCACTCCATTCTCATCTTGAAGTAAACGGCCCGGATCTCGATCTCAGCGAATAGAGGACAACCGGCAGGCGGAAGCTATCGGCTTGCGGGATAATACCTACTAAGGGAAAAGAAAGCATGAGACATTACATATTGCAATGAGATCAGATCAGGTATGTGGTGATTGAAATAAAGAGGAGCACGAGAGAACGAGTTGTTGATCTCATGTTGTTCGTCTCCCATGTTACTACGAATTTGCACGAATTTGCACGAATTTGCACATGTTAAAGTGAATCGTAAGTTTGTTAGCGCACTCTCCAACTCATGAACTAAGGTATTATCAAAATCAGGCACAAGGTAAATAATAAGGGCTGCTCGGTAGGGTGGGTAGGTATAACTACTAACCTACTGACGACTGCTTGCGGGCAGGTGTCAAATGCCCCTCACTTGCCATTTCTTCTTATGCCCCTCAGCCCCATCCATGCTTCTGACCAGTTTCTGCGATATTCTTCTGTTGTCTTACTGGAACCTGATCTCTCCCCTCTAACTTCTCTCAACTTCTCATTCGTAGCACGATCTTATTGATTTTCGTTAGATCGACTCGCTCTACTGCTCCTCAACAGTTGCAGACAAATCTGACTTTTGATATCAACAGAAAGTCCTTGTTTCTTCAATTACTTACCGTCTCCGCTTACCACGCTCTTCTCCAATAAATCGACTGACCTTACGCGCAATAGCGTCATCGTTTCGCTACTCAACAGCCCAAAGCTCCTTACACTAACTCCACTACTGGGGATCTACGCCTCTCGGCTCTAAACCAGCTGCCAGGTCAATTCCCTGCCCCTCCACAATCGATAATCGATCATCGGCCATCGACCACAAAGAACCGCGACGAGGCCGACTACACTCCGACTTTTTTCTTTCTCAAGTTATCTTCTTTCAACCTTTCAATATCCCAAATCTCCCTGTTTGAGATTATTTCTTCCAATACCGTCATTATGCCCGGTGCTGTCGATGAGAATGGCCAAGCTGCCCCAGGCCGCCTGTTGCTGCTCTCCAATCGATTGCCCATTACAATTAAGCGATCCGAGGATGGTAGCTATTCATTTTCCATGTCTTCTGGAGGTCTTGTCACGGGTCTCAGTGGTCTCAGCAAAACCACCAGCTTCCAGTGGTATGGTTGGCCAGGTCTCGAGGTCCCCGACAACGAAGTCGAGGGTATGAAGCAACGACTGAAAGACGAGTACGGCGCGCACCCGGTTTTTATCGACGATGAGCTTGCCGACAGACATTACAATGGGTTTTCTAGTAAGTAGCACGATTTTGACACTATAAGAATGTTCCTGACATGATACTTGCAGACTCAATTCTTTGGCCTCTTTTCCATTACCACCCTGGTGAGATTACATTCGACGAGTCCGCTTGGGCCGCATATCAAGAAGTCAACCGCCTCTTCGCCAAGACCGTTATCAAGGACGTGCAGGATGGTGACCTTATTTGGGTTCATGACTACCATCTGATGCTCCTCCCTCAAATGCTCCGTGAGGAGATCGGCGAATCGAAAAAGAATGTCAAGATTGGCTTCTTCCTCCATACACCATTCCCCAGTAGTGAAATTTACAGGATCCTGCCTGTCAGAGAAGCACTCCTTACTGGACTTCTTGACTGCGACCTTATCGGATTCCATACATACGACTACGCTCGTCACTTCCTTAGCAGTTGCTCCCGCATTCTCGAGTGTCCCACGACCCCCAATGGTGTCGATTGGAATGGCCGTTTTGTGACAGTTGGCGCCTTCCCCATTGGAATCGATCCCGACAACTTCGTTGAAGGACTGAAGAAGCCAAAAGTGCAGGAACGTATCGCTGCACTCAGCCGAAAGTTCGAAGGTGTCAAGCTCGTCGTTGGAGTCGATCGCTTAGATTACATCAAGGGTGTTCCTCAGAAACTGCACGCTCTCGAAGTGTTCCTAACTGAACATCCGGAATGGATTGGTAAAATCGTCCTGGTTCAGGTTGCTGTTCCTTCGCGACAAGACGTCGAAGAGTATCAGAATCTTCGTGCCGTGGTTAACGAACTGGTCGGCCGTATCAACGGAAAGTTTGGTACCATTGAGTTTATGCCCATTCACTTCCTCCATCAATCCGTCACTTTTGACGAGCTTACTGCCCTGTATGCCGTATCTGACGTCTGTTTGGTCTCATCCACTCGAGACGGTATGAACTTGGTGTCTTACGAATACATTGCGACACAACAGAAGAACCACGGCGTCATGATTCTGAGCGAATTCACAGGTGCTGCTCAATCACTCAATGGCAGTCTCATCGTCAATCCTTGGAACACAGAAGAGCTTGCCAATGCTTTACATGACGCCGTTACCATGAGCCCTGAACAACGTGAAGCCAACTACAAGAAGCTCGAACGTTATGTTTTCAAGTATACAAGTGCTTGGTGGGGTGCTAGCTTTGTCTCTGAAATGACTCGTCTTAGCACTGAGGGTTCTCAGCCCAAGACTCTGCGCAACGTCTCTGGGGCTGTAATCGGACTGGAGCAGAAAGCTCAACAGGCTGTCGCTGATCTTGAGAAGAAAGCCGAGGAACTATTAACTATTGACGAGAAGAAGGAAGCCGATTCACAGACAGAGCCTTCTCAATAAAAATTGTCTTGTAGCAGGGAAGGATATTGGTGTGCAAGAACGAGTTCACGGTTTGGGTTCAAGCGGTCATGATTTGGGATCTCATTATAAACTGTTTTTCTTTTGCTATAATAAAAAAATATCTTGATGAAGTCATCGACCTTGTTTCTGAGTGTCTCGACTAGGTTTAAATGTTCATTTGGATCTGAGTTCTTGTCATTGAATCATGTGTGCGTAGGTAAAAGAATCCTCTGTTGGTGGGACTCTTTCCATTTCTGCGCATGGTAACCTAGAGTATCAATGCCGTGGGCGAATGTAAGCTACCATGGGCCCGAAGATGATAAAGTGCGTTGATTGCGATGCAAATGCATCAGCAGATGGTATCTAAACAAAAAGAGACCATACAGGTTATGAAACCCATACATTACAAATTCCAAAGTCCACCAAAACTCCGTCTCGGATCTCATCATGAAGTCGTAACACTTCGAAGTACTACCCTAATTTGCCGAATCAACCGCAATTACGCAAGTGACAATCTCTTCCACTCAATAAGGTGCATTGACAATATCGTCCTTTCCAAGTTTGTATCGGCCACTGTCTCGGGTCCCGATGCGTCCAGAACCTCGACGCGAATCACTCAGTCGAACGTTACCAATGATGCTCTCGCGGGTAGGTTTCCTTAGACTTTGTTTTGCGACCATGTTTACTTCGTTGGGCAAAGCAACAATGACGTTCTTGTCCGAGCCGTATTTGAAGTCGTCCGCTTTGACCTCCTCTTCATAACGCTTAATTTTATAAGCTGCCTTTATACCCTGAAGTATTCGCTTCAGGTTCCATTCGATGATGTAGGGACCGGTTGCAGTGATGATGCTTGTCTCCTCTGCACCTTCTCCAGTATTGAATTTGGCAGGAGTAAAATGAACCGGTTTTCCAGTCTCGTGGTAGAACTGGGCCACATGCTCAGGGCTAAGGGCGAGTCGTCGAGGATGCGGTTTATCATTGGCAGCGAAAGGCTTCTCGAAACCAAGCTTACCCTCGTTCTTTCCAGACTTCTGTTGGGCGTCAACCAGCAGGATGTAGTTCTTGGTTGTCCCCAAGATCCACCGGCCATCGGCAGAAACGTCAATACCAGTGATGGGGTCACCAAGCGCAGGAAGCTGTGTCTTGGCTCGAATGCCGAGCCGGTCAAAGAGACGAATGTCACCCTTATTACTTGCAACAGCAATATAGCCCTTTTCAGTAGTTGCGAGGGCAGAGAAGTCGTTCTTCGAGGCATATTGCTTCATATCAGCATCAACAAGCTTGTTGCCGGACAGACGGGGGTCAACTCGGTAAAGAGCGTTGTTTGAGACACCCAGGAAGGTCTGTTCAGAAGTCATCTGCGCAAACTTGTTCTCGGGGGCAAATGTGACAACGGGGATGTCATCGTGAACGTTCCACTCATCCACGACCTTTCCATACTCAAGGTCCATACGATAGAGCTTGTTGGGATCTATCTCATTCTGTAAGATGAGATCTCGATCCTCGCTATGCAGCATGACTTTCTTCGGGTTCATGAGTTTGCCTGAAGGAGTTGTGACTTTGGAAATGTTCGTGGAGAATTCGAGGTGATTGTTGGGTGTATGTTTGAATACACCGATCTTGGAGCCGCGAACGACGAATGAGCGGTCATGCTTGTAACCAACAGCCAATTGTGAGTTGACCTCACCATCAGCGTTCTTGGGGAAGCTACTATCGTTCTCCTCATCTGTGTCGTACTCCTCCTCTTGCGCGCGATCATCCTCTAGCTCTTCTTCTTCTTCTTCCTCCTCCTCCTCCTCTTCCTCTGTGGAAGGCGCATCTTCCATAGTTAGGTCGCCAAATGCGTCAAGAACATACTCGCGTTCTTTGTCTTGCATCTTCGTCCACTTGGTCTCGTTCAGCTTCTCCCAAATGGCTTGCATAATCGCTTCTTGGAACTTTTCCAGGGTGGGCTGATCCTTAAATCTGAGAAGCCATGATCGTGCAGTTCCATCACTGCTGAAATGGTTGAAGACGAAGGAGAGATATTCAAAATCGAAGACAGGGTTGAAGTCAGCGACGACAGGAGTACCCAGATACGCCTTATCGTTCGACTCAATCTGGAGCCAGTATTCCCATTTTCCAACTTCTGAGACTTGAGCAATGACAGAATCATCAACGAGAGCGAAATGACCAGGCTGAGGGTCAAAAACATGGAGTTCAGCCACAACAGCGGCATATATTTCCAGAGCCTCGGGAGGGTTGCTAGCGTCCGGACCAGTCAGGACCGGGGCTTCAATTTCCTGTTCTGGGACGAAGGCAGGCTCACGCTTAGCAGCGGAATTTGCTTGGGTCTTAGATAACATATCGTCGACAGATTCGATAGATCGAGCTAAAGTTGGGCTATGCAGGGGACTAGCAGGCGGTATCGGGTCCTCTTCTTCAAATTCGAACTGCTGAAGGTCGGAGGCAGTTGCTGTAGAATGCGATTTGCGATACTTGCGCTCGTATTGGCACTGCTGAGCAACTTGCACAAACTGCTGTACCTGGGATGATGTAACAGAAGGGTCGCAAACGAACTGGAAGAGGTCACCAGTATCACCGCTTAAATCCTTCCAAGCAAGAACTTTGTCACCACTCTCTCGAATCTCGGAACGAAAAGACAGAGCTTCGTCGAGTAGGAAGGTCTTCTCGTCTTTCTCAGATGCGAGGGCGTCGATTTCGGCGTCTTCACCCTCTTCTTCGGCAAGAAGCTCTGCCTCACCTTCTTCAAAGACGCGTTGAACAACAAGCTGGTACTGGAACTCCTGGTTTGTGCGTCGAATGCGGATAGCCGAGTCTCGAAAAATGAGTTCGGAATAGCCCTTAGGAGATAAGGGTCGAACAAGGTAGAGCTGTCCCTGTGGAAGCTCGATCAATGCCTCCTGCGTGCTTGAGCCGAATATCAGTTTGCCGACTTGAGAACGATAGCGTTAGTAGACTTGCACGAGAATGAAAAACGGCGCAGCAGAAGGGGGGAGATGCAGAAGTGGTGGAAGAGATAAGGCACAAAGCAGCGAGGCTGTTCGTCTTTATGCTCAAAATGTAGATGTTGGTTGTAAGGTGGGAGCAGGGATGATGCGGGGCAGTCACTTACTTCCTCGTAAGGCGAACATGCTGACCCTGGGCTTTCAACAGAGGAAAGAAGGAATAGGGCAAAGATAGAAAGAAAGTGTGTGATGCGACACTTGCACGGCTGGTGTTATTGTTGTTGGCGTGGAATCAGGGAGTCGTGGCGAGTATCTCCCTAAGGCTAGGATGAAAGATTAGAAAAGGAGGAAGGCGAAAGTCGACGATGCTGTCGGTACACGACAAACAAATAAAAAAGTTGTGACGTGACAAGACACCAGAGCAGGAACAGGCAGAACCAGACCAAGCACCTTCCCATTCGCTCACTAAGGCACCTTCGGTATTTCTTTAGGCACGGTAGGTAGCTCCCGCGTTGTCTTGTGACAGTAAAAGGAAATGGAAATTGCACCAAAGGCGGCCGGGATTGACTGGACCAACAGCTTAGGCAGGATCAAGCTTGAGCGTGTAAGGAGGACGAAGTGCGTCATAACATGGAGGAAGTACTGTATGAGAAAAAGGCTGTGACTGCCTCCCGCCTTTTTTCTTTGTGTACTTTGAAGAAACCTGGGTGGGAGGGGTGAAGAAGGAGGGGTCATTGGAAGTTTGCCACAACTGACGTGCGCCACTGAGGCTAGTGGACCAGGGGTATTTGGGAATAGTTACAGGTGAAGGAGGATTAGGAGAAGATTGGCTTGGGGAAGCGAGAAAGCTCGAGACCTCCATTCTAAGCGAAAAAGAAAAAAGGACCTAGGGATGCTCAGTATGAATTTAGGGGCCTTGAGACTAGTTATCCCTGGCATCGTGGTTTGTTCATAAGAATAACAAGATTCTTTATCGAGCTATTTAACATAAATGACCACATAAACACAGATAATTGAACTGCGATTCACGACAACGTTGGTTGGCTACGTCAACTGCTAGTAATACTAGTGAGATAAATCTTGATTCAATATCACCAAACGCATAACAATAGTTTACCATAGAATTTCCCGTATGTGCCTTCCAGCCAGTTGTCCTAAGATGGTGCACATAAAAGATCTCCAACAATGATTAGGCAAATGTATACATCCTTGCTTCGATCAAAGTTCACTTTCAGCCTGAACACGAATGCCTCGCTTCTCTTCGTCACCGGCTTCATATCCCTCCCATTCATTAGGTGGTTCCGGGCGAGAAATACCAGCAAATTTATCTACAGCCAACCGGGCCACATTCTTGCCCATCAAAGCACTGGTTTCCATGCATGACACGAAGCTCTCAATACCAGACGTGTAGTATACACCCTCACCGATAAGAGGGTCCTCAAATGTGACACGAGGGAGTTCAATAGGGTAAGAGTTGAACCAGTGAGGATGATACCAAGAGATAGGATTGGAAGTACTTGCATCATCCTGTAACTTTCCAGAAATCACAGAGTCTGGGATGTCGGTGCCCAAAAGACGTGTGAGGAAATCGGCAGTGACGGGTGTGGGCGAGAAGATCTTATAGACACGCTCCTTCTGACCTGTCTTAGGGTTGACGACATATTTCAATGTGCTAATAGAGTAGAAGCCAGTACGTCCGACTCCGTCGGCCCCTTTCCCCGGTTCTTCGTCTTCACCAAGAGTAGTGTAGACGGTAGCGGGCGCTTTGCTTCCGGTCTTCAAGCCAAAGAATTCGGGACTAAGCCCCAAAGGTGATGCAAAGAGTGTAACATGCAGTTTAGTATAGGGGATCTCATCGATTTTGCGATCGAGAACATCCTCTCCAGCTTTTATGTTACTGAACTGCCAGGGGTTGGCGATGATGACATTATCAAACTCGACATCATATTCTTTCGAAGTGTCGTTTTTTGAACTCGCATCTTTCGTTGTGATGACATACACTGACGAAGATGACCGCGTTTTCTTTTGGACTTTTTCGATTGAAGCCACGGTCGTGTTGCGAGAGATAGAAGCTCCGCTCTCTATCACCATATGCTCAAAGATACGCCAGTTGCCGCTCTCCACAGACATCGCGTTGTCGGTTGCCAACGAAACCTATCGTAGTTAGGCAAGAAGCATGCAAGGGGTCATATCTTCCACTCACTAGAGTCTCCAGACCATGGATATAAGCCAAGTTTGAAGCATAGTTGACACGTGTGCCAACCTGTAAGATCTCACGGGCGAAACGAGGATCAATTTCCTGTCCAGTTAGCCATCACCTCTTTTCAATTGAACAGTTTGAACTTACGTTTTGCTTTAACATCTGCTCTCCCGTTATACTTGTAATCTCGTTCCATCCCAATTGTTCGGCTCTCTGAGTGAGCGACTTGAAAGGAAAGTAAGGGGCTTCGTATAACTTGAGGAAATGTTCGATCATGGCATCCACGATTTGTTTGGACCTGTAGGGTGCGAGCCCATATCTCCAAAACATCTTGGCCAGATCCCACCATGCCCAAGACCCCTCGGTCGTCTGGAAGACGAACTCGTAGCCATCCCATATAACAGTCATATCATCCCTCGCGAGACGGTGGGGGTCGCTCACTGGGAGATGGTAGCGTTCACTGGCGTTGGCAAGAATATGATTGGCGCCAACAAAGATAGACGCGCCGAGCTCGATGGGCAGAGAAGGGTCATTATACGCAGGGACTGTCAATGTACGGCCTCCAATGCGATCCGTCTTTTCAAAGATAGTGATATTAATAGCAATATCCTCTTCTATAGCATATTGCCACAGATGGAAGGCTGCTGACGACCCAGCAGCTCCAGCCCCTACACTCCAAGTTAGTACATGCCCGGCCTGATATAGAGATTGATCGGCAACATTGTGAAGGAATACATCTGTAGCACTTAGGGTTTGTGTTCTAAACATGTCTCTAAAATACCGAAATCAACTACGAACCAATGATGGCGACGTTGTGAACATCTTCTGCTCTACACAGGACACTTGCGAGGGCGCCGAGGAGAGCCAAATGTAACATGCTGGTTAAAGTCATCATGTTTCACGATAATGAGATGAATGTGTAGAATCCAGGTCGCCTCGAGTATTTCGATGGGAGAAATCGAATGATGTCCCAAGTGAGACGTGAGCGTCCATTCACGTGACTCAGAAGCCGTTGGCTCTAGGGAAGGACAGATAAACAATGTGTCCAGACAACTCTAAATCCGCATGGAAATAAGCAGTACCTGATGGGTAGTCCCCTATACAAAGGAACGAGAACCGGTTTTGGTCTGATTGCTTACATTCGCAGCCCGAATAATCGCATTGTTTCAAAGACTGGTTTTAGTAAATCATGGATGGCATCGTTCACAAGTCAAGGCGCGCTGTCAGTACCGGCGCCCGGCTGAAATCAATCCGCGTTCATAAGAAGTAGCGTGCAACGGGTATCAAGACAACAGAATAGTGTTTCAACAATAAATTTGGTATCTCAATGTGCCACTAAGTTCCCTAGTGATTCATCCTTGTTGAATCCAGAAAATAATCCATACCTAGGCCCACGCCGTTTTGCGCAACCCTTCATCTCGTAACAAAGATTATCCAGGGAATCATTATCCATCCTCATAAACGCCAAGCTAAATGCAAAATTATGCAACCTTCCCGTGAAAGCAGAGACTGAAGGTCAAGAAGATCACACAAGACTGTACAACAAATCTTTTTTTGGCCTTCCGTATTCGTGAAATCCGTAACTCCTAATCAAGTCGTGAAATATGAAATGTAATAAGTAGGCTGAAGTAACAGGTGAAGATTAAGCGCTTTCCTCGCTACTGCTGTAACCACTTTCGATCGCTCCAGCAGTATCAACAGAACTCTCATGTGAAAGCGCCGGGTTGGCGCTATTACTCTTGCTTGCGCCCCGAGCAGTGCCAGCAGCCGCAGCAGCGCTACTGGTACGGCGTGCGGCTTGTCGGGGCCGATTTGGCAACGCCTTTGGGTCTCGATTGATGTCATAAATATTCTGATTCGGCGAATCATCAGGTTCATCACCTTCTTCGTCGCCACTGCTAAGATCAACGCCATCAGGATATCCATCTGAATGGCGTTGCACTGTTCGTTGGCCAATAAGTTCTCTTAAGGACGAAGACATGTCGACATCGTCCGAATCATCATAATCGTCATCGGCTGTAGACTCAGAAGGGCTGAACGGCGGAAAGAAGATTGCAGGGGGAGGCAGCGAAACTGGTGTCAGCCGCTTGATACGGCCTGACATGTATTCAATCTCAATGGGAAGAGAATGCGTAGCAGGAAGCGATTTTGAAGCTCCCAAGTCCGGTGAGGACGTTGACATAGTCGCCAATCTCCGAATGATACCATCCGTGTTTTCATTAAACCTTCTACCACCAACTTGCGGTAACGCAGACAAATCATCTTGCTTAGGTCGCTTGGTTGAAACAACAACCATGAAATGGTCTTCAGGTAAAACTCCTCCTAAGCCGCAAGGCTCAAGGGGGAAGTGCTGCATGTACTGCGCATTATCAGACCACGTGAAGTCCAGATCGACCTCGCTTACATCGTCGGCATCGTCGGTCAGGCTTGGTGGATCTTCACTATCGACATCCATCGCTGTACTTTGCTGACTAGACAAGGGCCCACGATCGGTCAACGGTCGATAGTTGATGAACGAACCAGAATCTGTTCGTCGGAGAGGTGATGGAGGGATCTTGAAGTTATCTTGATCTGTCTGAGTCTGACCAGAAGCGCGCATCTGCGTCGTTGGCGACATATCTCCGGGATCTCCAGATAGATCCGTGCAAAATGGGGCACCGCTATAGTAGATAATGGCACCATCATGGCGGCGCTTTCTGCGACTGGAGGCTCCTGAGCCACTCAGCCCCCATCTCGATTCACCAATATTGCTTTCCTCTGGGGGGCCAAAGGAAGAAACGGTTTCATCGAGTGATGTCTGACCACCCGATGAATCCTGCTGAGCGAACAAGGGCTTGTAATGGAAGCTTTCGGATGGAGCACAAAGCTGCGGGTCAAACTTCAAGCCATTCTTGCTTGAGCTTCCAGACTGGAACTCGTTCTCTGTGGAACGCTCAGTTTTCTGACGCTTGCGCTTCTTTTCCATTCCATCTTCGGTGTCGTCTGTAGATGGACTCTTTTGGGAGTTATATCCAGAGCTGTCGCTGCTGAATCTTGTTCCCTCTGTTCCGCCTCGCCATCGAATCTTTCGGCCATCGGGCGACAGCTGAAATTTTGTGCTTATTCCCGAAACAGCTGAACGGACAAAGTCGGGCGTCACATTGATCATATGAAGTTGAGCCAAATTGCACAACAAATTCAGATAAACCCATCCCTCAGCATCAGGGTGCACATCCTCGCTATGTTGTTCAACTAGTAGCTCCGGAGGTACCAAGCCCAGATGGCGAATATAATCCATGTTCTCGGCTGGAACCTGGGCACGGTCAGGGTCCAAATCACGAGGTCGTGTGGGCCGTTGCTCGGGCAAGGTCGTCATAGGAGAAGTGTTTGTGCCTGACCCTGTACTGTTGCCATTACCACCGGACTCGGTATTGTCGCCATTGGAATTGGAGGCAGAGGCATTGTCAGCAGATCGACTCTTTTTGCCGGAGTGACCAGATTGCTGCTCAAGGGGAAGAATTCGAGCTTCTCTCGTGGGTTCTTTACCGCTGGTCTGTAATGCTGGTGGTTCGTGAATAGAATTTGATGTGTTTGACATAGTGGGCTGTGTCTCCGCGACAACTGGTGCTAGAGCTGCAGAACTTCCACTCGGCAACACGGGCTGCTTCTTCACCACATGGCGCCCACGGATCTTTCCTGTGAATAATTGTTCAAGTCGGCGAACAACAAGCTTCTTTCTCTCTTTCTCCGTCATAATCATGTGTCTCGGGTATAACCCTTCGGGGATATCACGGAGGTAACTTTCAACTGCCTCAGACGACTTGGCCTGGGAGCCCATGCTAGGACGGCTCAAAGACGTTCCCGAATTGGCGCCGGTTGACATAGAGGCGTATGCAGAGTCGGCAGGGCGAAAATTTGACCCTGAAGAAGATGAGGCATGTTTCGATCCAGATCCAGAATACATCTTTTCGCGAGTAGCGTGTCGAGACTTCTTTATGTTCTGTGTCGAGGACGCGTTAGGGGACCCCTCAAGACTTGCAGCGAAATCTCGGAGCGTCGCCTCCAACTCTCTTTTCTTCTTTTTCGGCAGTCCATGGACCTTTATTTCGAACAGCTTCTCCTTTCGGAGCATATCGGGACCGGTGTTCTTATATCGCTTAAGCTCTTCCCTCAGCTTCTGTATCTCTACCGTGAGATCATCGATAACGCTTCTGTAATCGTCTGCACTGCTGCTGTGTCCCGCGGTGAGCTTAGGGGGGGCAAGTTGGTGATTGTAGTGAATTTTCTCTTCATTCGAAGAATCGGACTCTTTTTGAAAGAAAGGGGGGTCAACTGCCAACGCAATCAGTCTCCTACTCAATTCAATTTCTAACACTAGCTCTTACCTTCCATGACGTTGCTGTCGAAAGTTGCCGTTGGGTTTTGATTTGACTGGTCAAACCATGTATTGGGATCGCTCTGGCCTGTCTCATGACTATCGCCTGATGAGTTTCGTCGAGGTGATCCTGTCTTAGTTGTCTTGACAGTAGGCCCTGAGCCCTGGCCGGCCTTGATTGATGCATCTTGTGCTAGCCGGTGATGGCGCAGGGTGACAGAGTTCGCGGGAGAGGTACGCCGAGGGAGAGGATGGCCAGTCTTGGACGAAGACGGCGGAGGTTGCGTTCCGTGGTAAGTGGTTTCGTTAAGTGGCATTGTCTTTCATAAAATTGATGGATGGTTTAGCATTTCCTGAACTGTGAAGCAGCAAGCATGTCGTGAAAATAGTCGCCGAGAAGGGTCCTGGTATAGACCTAAGGGTCCGACGATCCGTGACGTAGGGCCTGGAAGCACCTTGCAGTGGGCTGAGAGCCTGAACGTCAGGGGAATCATTAGCACAATCCATAGGTTTACGAAGCAGCGGGATGATGGAGGGTATGAGCAATGAAGGTTCTCACAAACGACAGAGACGAGCTCCTATTGGCTGTGGGGTGAGGACCGATCGATCGATCGAGGCTTCATCGCCAAATGACGAAAGATGATGAGACGCAGGTTACACTGTCTCAGGAGGGGAATATACCGGGTGTTTCTGGGACACTCACCGTTTCCAAAAACTACTTCAAGGCAATTGGAGCCTTCTTATGTGTTCCTCTGCCAAATCTCCCAAAATTTCTCCGATTCAACAAGACGTTGATTGATAGTTTTCCGAATAGCGTCGTTGTATGTGCGTGGGTGGTGTTGAGTTGGCGCGAATCAGAACTTATCTCCACAGTCAAGCCGGGCCACAAACAAAGGTTGCATCCACCCGAAAAAGAGTCGCAGTCGTTCAATGGTGATCTTTGGTCCAACGAGGAAGCTCCTGGAAGCTTGATTTATTCACTAGAGAAATCGTTCGAGGTGCCAATCCTCGTCGGTGCCCCAGTGTGTTTTGAACCAGGTTTGCAATAATGCAATACTTTGTGATTTAGTACTTCTTGTAGTTCGTTGCTTGATTGTGAATTCAGATCGTTGTGCGAATTACTGGAGTCAGTGGCTCGGAGGCGCGTTCGCGTGAGGTGTTGATACGGAATGCCGGTCAAGTAAAAAAGTTGCCTCTTCGAGTGTCGTGTGGTGAAGCCAGGAAGCCTATGCGGTGCAGAAATAACAGAAAGATAATACAGCTTCAAGGGCTAAAATGTGTTGGAAAGAAGAGAGAGCAAGCGGTGGAGTCAGGTATTCCAACGGTCGATATATGAACAGACCAGGGTGGCACCGAGGTGGCACTGAAGCCGATGGGTGTGAAGAAGCTGGAAGTATGAGAAGCGACTGCTTACTACCGTTCCACGGAGCTGAAGGGGCAGAGGAGGTCTGGGCGAGAAAACGGGATCGGGGTTGGTGAGGAGTTCAAGCTGAGCCTGAAGAGCTCAGGAGTCAAGTCAAGTTGAAAAAACAAGAAGAGTAAACAAGCCACAAACCGGAAAACCCGTCTTGGAAGGATACTTAACAGGAGGAATCTTATTATTAAGGCTGAAGGCCGATGGCGAGTCGGGGGGCAAATTCGAGACAGTGGCAGTGGGCAGTGGGAAGAGGGCATTCAGGGCCTCCACCAGAGGCAGAAGAGTTTTGTCCTTCACTCCTGGTGCAGTAGAGAGACAGTGAGGTACTATCCATGCGCACCCGCCAGGGCAGCCGAGTCCCGGGGCGCGGAGGCGGCACCCATCCACAGTTGGTACGAGCAGTACAAGGCGAAGGCGGCGAGGGGAAAGGTTGGGCTGAGCGAGGATGCCAGGCTGGGACGAGGATGCAAGAGCTAGAATGATCGATCGAGCCCTTATTGCTCCGATTTCCAAGTCGTTGGAGAAGCATTGAGATCAGATACCATCGGACCCAGAAAAAGCCAAAAGCAGGGACCTCCTCTAACGGGCTCAACTAGCGCCTCGGTGCACCAGTTGATGGTGTGGACCTCTAATTCGCTCACTCCTTTCTTCAGTGGCCACGCCAACCTGCTCATGTTTTTATTCCGCGACCCGCTAGGGACCAGGTTCATATCAGGGCAGACTTTCAGGGTCGCTGTTGAATCTTATTACGATCACACCCCTTTGACTTGTCACCTCCGTCGCCTTCGCTTACGCCCCGGCTTTGTCTGAGTGCGGGGGCTAGAGACCATATCTTGACCAATAGTGAATCAGATTGTTGGATGAAAGAAAAGTGAGGCCCAGTGTCTTCCACAATTTCTAATAAGCGAGTCGCCCTGTTTTCTTTCACCCTCTGTGTCAAAGCTGGCTGCTGATCTTGGTTTTTGTCTGTCATCGGTCCATGCTTGACCAAGGCAATTTGGCTTGGAGGCTTCCAGACTTCCGCCGGGTGCTAAATAGAACCTGGCACATTGTGCATTTGCCGGATGCTTTTCATTTACCGAACTGACTATCAACTCACATGCTGTCTCCTAAATAGCTTCAGTTTCTTGGATACGCGTTAACTCTCCTGATCTCTTATTGGCTTTGACTCATAAATGGCCCCATTGTTCTGTCGAGACACCACCAAAAGAACCGGCGGTTCTGAACCCTTTCAACACAGTTCGAGTCAACGAGAGACCAGGCCAATTATCGAAAGTCAAGGAATATGGGCTGTGGTGGTTGCTAGATACCCACTCTATACCCGAAACTCAACTCTGCCAGGAAAATGATCTCCAGTCATCTCAAACACAAACAAACCCGATACCATGTTAAAAGGCAAACATCTGCAATCGCCATTTTATATTGCTATCTTTCAGTTTCCTTGCTTATCTGACCCCCGAGCAAGTATTTCGCACTTCCTCACCTTATCATCTCACGATACCCTCTGTTGAGTGTGAGATATCCTGACACAAATCACCGGGGAGCCGGACTAGCGGTGTTTCTGGCTGGAGACCACGCGTACCTAATAACTGACAGGCCCATGCACGTCCCAAAACTCTTTCCAAGTTTTTGACATTCAATTTCGTGATGCCTCTGCACAGTAATTCCCTGTTGCAGTTCACAGCAAGCTAACATGCTCAGAGTAGAGATTGTGGCCTTTTCCGGCGTTCGATGTGACACGATATACTCCAGCCAAAACCCCTAGAAACCTGTCATTGACTGCCCAACTGAGGCTCTGGTTTGCAGATCATTTGCCATGTGACGTCGATCCGTCATCCCAGGTGAGGAAATCCAGGGTCCTGGCAAGGACAAGTCCCCTGATCGCCTGGAACATTTCGAATGGTTTCTACGGACAGAAATCTCGATTCCTTGTTTTCGCCCAATACCTACGTAGTGGGCGACGGATGGAAACAAGAATATTGTGACAGTAATGCCACACACTTAAGGTTTGTAACGGGTTTTCTGAGGAAAGTCACGAGACTGACAGAACAATGTAAACCGTCCAATCCCGACGATTCTCCGTCCGCTCCTAAAGTTATGGCGTTTTTGATGGGCAGTGGAAGGTTCCTACAACACCAAAAATGTATCTCCAATTAGATGCACACCTCAAACCCGATTCTCCGTGGCAATAGGATATGCCAAACTTTGAGATGCGAATCGAATTCTCAAAACCTGCAAAAATCCTGCCTCGAGTGGCAATACACCTCTATCGCGCCTCGCCACATCTCTTTCGGATATAAGCGACCGAATACCTTCTGATTGGATAGATTGACGCTTCAATCTTCTCGATCTCGAGGAAGCGCAGTTGTAGCTCAGATCGAGCTCCACGGGACGACCCTTCGTGCAGCGGCTGGATCGCGGACAGGCTTGTGTAAAGGTGGCTTGGGTCCATCAACAATATCCAATCCCTTGTTTCCTTTGGGAGGTTGATTTCTTGCACAAGTGTCGATCAAAGTCCCTGAAAAGAGGAATCCAGAGGTGCCCTCTTTATTGGAGGCTTGACTCACTCCTAATGCCGAAATGCGATTTCCAGATGATGGGGATTTGAACAATCTCCATGTTGATCACCCGTTCATCGTCGGAATCGCTGCTGGTCGGGTCTCCCCCTTCGATCTAGAATGGATGAACGTGTTGATTACTGGTGGATTCGTTCGAGACCATCGTCAGGGACGCAATTGTAAGCGAAGTGTTGTGGCCCTCCGGTATGAAGGAAGGATTGCGAGATGCAACGCAAATCTTGATTGTAGTACTTAGGATCTTGTCTTATCACAGATCGATCACTTTATTGCATCGTACAATCGAAAGATCACGAAACCCTTGCTTTACACCACCATGGCGAGGCACAAGCATCCTAGTCCCCCAGGTAACTTTCAAGATCTATAGGGACGGGCCCACGGGTTTGATCTCTAGGCGTTACAGATGTGCACGCGATCTGTGAAACATCCTGACCACTTGCAACGGATGGTTGAGCTTCCGTGTTTGTCTTCATGACTAGCCTTTGCAGTATGGACCAGTTCTTTACCGCGAGCAGCATAGAACCCTAATTAAGGTATTGCAGATTATTGTGTCACCAGTGCTGCCGTCGTCACTATCAATTACTCAAGCCTTGCATCTTCATGTCATATGCCCGAGCCACTACGGCTGAGGCAAGGCACATGTGTTTCTGCTTCTTTAACTATTCACCACTTGCGATAGGTCTAACCTAGCATTCGGTCGAGGGTCTCGACTCTGTGGCTGTTGCTTATTCTCCCACGATCGTCACCAGGATTGGTACGTACACCAACAAGACAGTAAAGCACAGCTAGACCCCTTCTTCTCTTGGCTCCCGCATCAAAACTAGATGCGTGAGCTAACTCGCCCTTTCGGGGGACCCTTGGCCGCCGGAGCGGGACCTCCGGCGTCCCTTGACCACTAGGATGTTTTGAGGATGCTGTTCGAGCGTCCCTGGCAGATATCTGCTGTATGAAGCCACACATAACCCCTGGGCGATCGTCGAATTTGAGACGAAGCGACTACATAGAGAAAAGAGCATGAGGCTCGTGAGGTTGCACAGATCTGAAGCATTGTGGGTTCCGATCGCCCAGGATGCGGGAGCTGATCTGTGATCTGGCCCTTTGATACACGGCACCAGACTTGAACACACCATTGGCTAAACGGCTCTTGGTGTAAGTTGAGCCTATCAAATTCTCCGTGGTAGTGTGAAGTTGCTGCAGTTGATATGCTTCTGATAACCCTCAATCACGGTTCCTGTTCCTTTCACTTATCGAATCTGAGGAAGTCAGGTATTATCTAAAGACTCGACTTTGGTTGGTTTCGCTGCCACTTTCCCCATACTTTCGGAGACAGTCCCTCGGAAATTCTGTTGCCAGATAGCAGACGAAAGTGGCCTTCTGCGTGGGAATACTACCTATTTCATTATATTTCTGTGTTAGGAAACGGGGTTTCCCCTCAACTTGTTAGTATCCATCCGGCGACCTGGCCTTAGAGACTCTGGTCCAGTATTCACCACGGCAGACTATAATTCGCTAGTTTTGGTTCTCGCATCAACTTCCCAGGGACTTATACCAGCCTCTCACTGTTCCTTCTTGCGGGTGGTACGTACAACTGATTCGGCTCGACATTGCCACCCTAACTGCCTGAAGCGAGCAATGGTATGTCTTGCTCATACCGGTCTTGGGTCAAGTCAATCGTATCTATACGATATGATACAGCGATAAAGATCTAGTGGTTTCATGATGCCTTGGATTTTTGTTTCTTTTTCAACTCCCTTTCCCGTGTCGCCAATTTTGAACTACCTAGACTTAGTTCGGTTTTTGTTATTCAATCATGATTTCACACAAGAAAAGCATTCGTACAATACTCATACTGTCGGTGTACTATCCCATATGACGGGACAATTATGTGTAGCTCATATGGGATATCCAGTTGTCAGGAAAGGGTATTGTTGGTTTTTAACATCAACATGATCACTAGCCACCCATTTTCAATTTCTATATCACACACCGAGCTTCATGTGCAGAAGAGATCTAGCTAGAATTGTCTTGGTGAGAATTTACTAGCCAGTATAGGGTGGACTGGTTGTTGTAAGTGCTTCGATGTCGTTTTCTTTGTGTACTTTAGGTATTAGGAAACAAGCAGAAGTGATGCACTGATAGGGTCTATTTATCAGTGCCTTGATCTGTCCCTTCAGAAACTGGTACTATCAGTCGATTCCATAGACGGTCTCATGGTGGACTAATTCACTTGAATATTTGTACCGAGGCAGGCAAGAAACTGAGAGACAGTGTTGTTCGTCTCTATTACTGGTCGTTTTACTATTTTAGGATTGCGACTCTATGTCTATGCAGTCTAGCATAACTTCTAACGCTTCCGCCCTCAACTCCAGAGTCAACGCATCGACTCACGTACAACAATAACCAACAACTCACAAATCGCTAATGCCACATCCACTACTGCTACACCATCCCGAGGGACTCTTATTTTAGGTACGTGCTCTCATCATCGTCATAAACATTAAGCTTTTTGGAGAAGAGACTTGCCAGTCATCTCCTCGGGTTGAGGCAGACCCATGGCAGCAAGCACGGTAGGGGCAACATCACCGAGGACACCCTCGTCGGTCTTCTTGAGGCTCCAGCCCTCCGGGTAGTTGGCCATAAGGAGGGGCACCTTGTTTGTGGTATGGCTAGTCTTGGGCTTGCCGTCAGGGAATTTCATTTCCTCAGCGTTGCCGTGATCGGCTGTGATAAAGAGGACGTAGCCCTCCTTCTTACAGGCCTCGAGAATCTTGCCAATGGCCTTGTCGGTGGCCTCACAGCCGATGACGGCAGCGTCGTAGACACCAGTGTGACCAACCATGTCAGGAGGGGCAAAGTTGTTCATGACAAAGGGGAACTTCTGCTCACCCAGGCGCTTGACGACCTGGTCGGCGACACCATCGGCAGACATCTCGGGTGCAAGATCGTAGGTAGCGACGGACTTGTTGGAGGGGACAAGATCCTGGGACTGATCACGGGTTTCGAGAGGGAAGACCTTCTCAACACCACCATTGAAGAAAAAGGTGACGTGAGCATACTTCTCGGTCTCAGCAATGTGGACCTGCTCAACGTTCTGCTTGCCCAGCCACTCGGCGAGGACGTTACCCATGTGCTGGGGCTTGAAAGCAACCTCAAAGGGGTAGTCACCCTTGTACTGAGTCATGGTGACAAGGGGCTTGATCTTGGGGTACTTGAAGTCGGGAAGAGGAGATCGATCAACATCGCCAAGAAGCTGGGTGATCTGGCGGACACGGTCGGATCGATAGTTGAAGAAGAAGACGGTATCGTCATCTATGCTGCTGTTAGAGGATGTGTATGAAACGTGAATATTTTAAACTGAACTTACCCTTAATGCGGCGCTCATCGCCACCAACAATGATGGGAGTGAGGAACTCATCCCGATCAAAATCACCGCCGCGCTCATATCGAGCCTTGACGGTAGCAACGGGATCCTCAGAGGCCTCACCCTCGCCGAGGACAAGACCCTTAAGGGCAACTTCGAGGCGGTCCCAACGCTTATCACGGTCCATGGCAAAGTATCGGCCAACAACGGTACTGATCTCACCAATGCCAATCTCCTTGGCAGTATCGACAAGCTCCTGCATATAGCCAGCGCCGGACTTGGGGTCGGTGTCACGGCCATCACCGAAGAAGTGGATGAAGACCTTGGGCACGCCATACTCCTTGGCGGCCTTGAGGAGGGCGTAGAGGTGGGTTTGCTTGGCGTGCTGCTGTGGTGTAAGTGACTGCTAATAGAAAGAAGGAACTGTATATGATATGACTTACCACACCACCGTGAGAGACAAGACCGCAGAGGTGTAGTCGGCCGTTTCCAGCAGCAACACTCTGGAAGGTCTTCTTGATAACATCGTTCTGGCCCAGCTGGCCGTTCTTGATAGTTTGGTCGATTCGGACAACATCCTGCCACACAACGCGACCAGCACCAATGTTCAAGTGTCCAACCTCAGAGTTACCCATGAGACCCTCGGGAAGTCCCACCGCCAGCGATGAGGCCTCGAGCTCAGTGTAGCCCTTGGAGTCCTTGTAGAGAGCGTCCATAACGGGGGTCTTGGCGTTGGTGATGGCATCGCCGTCTTTGGGGCTGTCGGCAGAGGGAATGCCCCAACCGTCAATGACGACTATAAGAATGCAAAAACAACATGATTAGCCAGGCCAATTCCAAGTATATGAGGACGAAACACAATGTAACAATCCAATCTGGTCGCGAGACAATTGGCAATTCCTGAGCGACGGAAGTAGTTGTCTTCAAACGTTGCTCAGGATAACGAGCCATTGCAGCGCTGTTGCTATCGCGATCGCGGGGCATGAAAATGGGTTTGTTGGAATTTGGAGGGGGCGGGGCATGACGACGTACTGAGGCAGGCTTTTTGATCAGTCTTGGACATGATGACTACTGTTTGTTGGTTCTTTTTTTTCTTGCACTGAAGCAATGAAAGGAAAGAAGAAGGGGACCAGGGAAAAAGAGAAAGAAATAGACGAGGTATAAAGAAGAGGCTCTAGGAAGATAAGGATAAGACGGAGAGTAACTCGGGCCTGTCTTGAGTAAAAGAAATGATGCGTGATTTGATGGGCCCAGACACGACAGATGATTTTGCAGGGAAACACGTTGTAGTAGTGGGGGTTTATGTCATGTCACTCACCAGCCATGATTTGTATTCACACGGTGCGTTGTGTATGTAAAGACCCATTTTGTACCGTGCAATGATGAGCTCACACTGTCAGTCTCCGGCCTTTTTTCCCTCTCTTTCGGACCGTCAACCCAACAACAAAACGGCCCATCGGCCCAATCGATCTTTTCCATTTGCCCACCACCATCTGTGATAAAACTCGACGCTATTACGGGCCTTTATGCAAGGCTGAAAGAATCCACTTGGCCGATTTCCCCGAGCTGTATGTAATAGAGATACGACGCCGTCAGCATCGCTCACCTTGAACTGCCTGCCAACATCATACTACACCGCATCCACACCTACCTCGCCTGATTCTCTCCCACCATTCTTTCCGAGCGAGCCCTCGAGCGGTCAAAGCAGAATCGAGTCATATCATAAAACGACAGACCATGTCTCCATCATCTGCATCTGCGCCTGCATCCGCATCTGGCCCACACCCATTGGCCCTCCCGCCCACGTTCTCTCCGGATACTCTAGACGCCCTTTCCGAGCTCTCTCTCGTCCTCGCCCGCGTCCGCGCCGGTATTCAGTCGTCGGCTGGAATCACTACCGAGCCTGCACCGGGGACCACCGGTCACAACGCCTCTGGACCTACATTGTCTTTCAAAGATGTCCCTGGAGCCACTGATGGCCTGAAACACAAGCTGCAGCGTGCTCGCGCGCAGGTCCGAGAGCTCCCGGACATGGACCGATCCATCGCTGAACAGAACGATGAGATCCGTGACCTTGAAAATCGCATCGAGAAACAACGAGCATTACTCCAACGACTAAGAGACGAAGCCACTGGAAGGGATCGGAAAGAGGAAGTCAGCGCTGGTGACAAGATGGAGTCATGATACATGTCCAATATTTGTTATGATGAGTCACCTATGATTCTTGGGATTAGACTATTTCTTTTTAGCGAGGTTGTCATCTTGATTTATCAGCAGGGTGTTTGGAGTTTCGCGTTAAATAAAAAGATTTACATTTGCGCGTTGCGTTCTACATAATCTGCGGATATGAAGCCTACGGCTGGGTATGAATGCCATCCTTTAACTATTCATCATGGTCATCACCTCCGTGGAATACCCAGCTTTTTTAAGGACTCCTCCACGCTGACACCAGGTTGGCCAGGGACGACAAATCTCCAAAGGTCATCACTGAGCCTCTCGTTTTCGGACAGAGTGGTCCAATTAGGACTGTGACCAGCCTTGAGCCACTTAAAGTCATCGACCTGATCCCACTGGTTTTCTTCAGGCTCCTCAGCGTCCGTCATCTATGCACCTGTTAGTCTGGCTATTCGAATATTGAAGATTATATCTTACATAGGCCTTGGGCAGCGGTGAAAATCGCATGCCAGAGCAGTCCTCAATAATAGGATGACTGCCACAATGCAAGTAGATGTCAACGTTACTGCACTCATGAATCCGCACTTGCCTGGCCACAACAACTATCGTGCTGTCAGACACTCCTGTGATATGGACTGCGCCGTTGACGCGACCCGCGACGATGAGGCTCTTGGACACGTTCTTAATAGCGAGGCCAGGGAAAGCTGAGCCCGAGGATGTCGGAATAGACATATCGATGATACAATTCTTGAGATCAGTGAGGCTGCCCGAAGAGGTGGCACGGGACGCCGAAGACGGTAGAATAATATGTAGCCCTGAATGATTCGAAATGCTAATATTCTTGGCTGCCGAGAAGCTGGGCTTACGAAGGGAAGATGCGCTGGGTCGAGCCATCTCTTCGTTATAATTTTTGTACGTATCCTTGGACGGTAATTCGCTGAGAGTGTCTTCCTTTCTCACCGAAGGAGGACTGGCGATGGTAGATGCAATGGCCGTGTCATGCTTGGCCCGAGAATGACTTCCAGGGCTAAGTCGAGGGTCGTTCTCAGGAGCGCCCATATCAACGTGGTCGGTCTTACGACGAAACTGAAACTTCGACTTTGGTGTGATTTTGGTGAGTGTCTCGTTCAGTTTGTCCTGGAGAGTCTTAATGGTCTATCGAGCATGTGAAGGTCAGTCGAAGCTGCGAGTCAAAGATGCCAGCTGTGTTACCTCAGAATACTGTTTTCTATCATAAGAAGGTGTGTAGTCGGCAGCATCTGACACTTCGTTTTGTAGCTTGGCGATACTGGCTAGAATGTGATCAATGGCCTCCTGGCGCTCGCCACCGACACTAGCAATGGATGGTAGCTCATCGATCAGGTCTTGGAGTACTACGCAACATGGAGGTTAGGCAGTGGAGAGCATTTGAAGACCTAAACATCCACTCTTACCTGTAACACTCTCCAGGAAATGGTTATAGAAACGTTGCTTAGGATCCATGGTGGCTGATTGAAGAATGACCTGATGGGTGGCAGCCCAAGGGTCGTGTTGATGGGTTGCTGTTTGAACCTGTGTTTCCATTACGAACAGTGTTAATACAAGTTGCTAGTTCGAGTTCCCTTCTATATGCCCTGCTTGGAAGAAATGTGAAAGATGATGTTACAGCAGAAGGTGTCAGAAAGCGGACGAGAACGACTTTATATGGGGGCAGATATGTCAAGGTGAATGGGAACAGTAGTGCAATTGACCTATGACAAAAACAGGCATGAATCAGAGAACTGGGAAGCCGATTTCACGTTCGGATGAGGACGTAGTAAAGGGACTCTGGGCCGAGGATGATCTCTCCAGTCTTGGAGATATATATGCATGACAGTATCAAGAAACCGAGAGAAAGTGTCAATCACTTACCAGGAAGTGAAATAAGCCGCAGCAGGTGATGCCAATATGTGTGCCTCTAGATTCTACTAACCCGGAGTGCTGCACTGCTACCCCTCGTCTCCGTACGACTTTGACAATGCTTCCTCAGCTTTCAGGGTCACGACTTGACGTGTAGTCGAACCAGCAGCTGGTAGTGACGTCAATGCCGCCTGATGGGGCCGACGAGAATGGGAAGACGCTGTTGAACGTGGTGATGAGTGGAGTAGCCTGCCCTGAGCGGTTGGGGGATAGCCTGTTCGAGATGGATGGACGGGTTGAATTGGTGGATGGTTCTGCAGGACAAGTATTCGTTAGTGAGAAATTGGCGGGCGTCACAAGGCATGGAACAGGAAGGACGAGGTGTTAGGTGTGCTGCAAGCGTGGTGTTGTTGCCAAACGATGGCACCACTATAAATCGTTCAATCCTTTAGAGCTGGGGTTGACCATACTTCGTTAATAAAAGTACGGCGGGGAGGGTTCTGGACCCCTTCAATAGGAATGGTGGGTCAATGCCTGTTCTTCAAGTTGAAGAAAGCGATGAAGAATTGGAGAGCACCTGAGAGCATCGTCCACTTGTTAGAGTGGGCCGAACAGGAATTCGAGAAGCCTACGATCAAGACTTTAGAGGGACCCTTGAAGATTCTGACAAGGTCTTGTTAGACACTTTCTATTGGTGTCTCGTAAGTCACATTGGCAACCAACCATCGATAAGCTTGTCGTCATTGCTAGTTTACGCAGACATTTTCGAACACAGTATCCGTATGCCATAACTTATTAACTTCTTCTGGTCTCCGCCAAGGAGAAAACAAGGTTGACGTTTTTAGGGGTCCCGGGGTCATTGAGCTTGTCTTAGTTCAACGCCATGCAACGTGGGGAACAATGGTGGTGTTGAGCATTGGGGAATGTTACATCATTGGGTAACCACTTCTGAGGCGTTAGAATTTGAGCTGAGAGGTCTCTACGGTAATCAGCGAAGTCAATCTATGGAACATTCTGGTGGTTTATTGGATACCTAGGTTTGGCCATTTCGGTTCCAGCCCGACTTGCTCAGGCGGACAGACACAGACATAGACACAAAAGAAAGCAGGTACAGCATGAAAGATACGTCGTATGGACTGTACCTGTACCTACTGAAGTAACCCACGGGTGACTCAGGGCCAAGAGGGCCGTGAATCCGGGGAGGTGGGGTTGGAAGAATGAAAGTTCCAGTTATATTTCATGTGTGTAAGACTAGATATCCGATTTACAATGTGATGAGTGCCTTTGGGATTAGCCTGAGCCTAATCAACACTTGTAATTCATGACGACCATCAAATTACTCGCACAATACGAGTCAGAATAGACGCCCTCAGGGGCTTCTGCTTCATGAAAATGGTGTGATACCAAGACTAGGTCTCGATCGATGCACAATTACCGGATCTGACCGTCTCTCAGTTGATTGTCCTGACTATTCACTTTCACAGCAATTTCTACAGAACCCATTGATACTTGTAGCTGTTGTTCATTACTACTCAAGCAATTCTCATGTCTATCATTCATCTAGCCCGTCCATTATTCGCTGAGGTTCTTCTGCCTGCATTGGACAATGGTGGGATATAAGGCAGCGGCATCCGCTTTGCTGGTTTGGTCTCTGTATTCAACGCTCTCCACATCTCCCAGATGGTTGCCCGACGAGCCGGCAACATGCTGTATTGTAGACTATATAAGTTCTTGCGGTTTATTGGCGGCACGAACTTGCCCGTCAGCAAGCAGAAGAAGACTTTTGGTGACAGGTAGTGCTTCCGGATGCGATTTGCCATCTGGAAGTATTGGTTGAACATGATCCGGAACGTCAGAGGAATCGACTAAGAGTGGTGTCAGCGTGCTAGGTTGCATACGAGCAATCGGAAACTACACACCTTGAGGTAGATGACCGATGTAGGCGGCAATCCGTCAGCATTATTTGCTTTGTCGTGCCTATAGTCGTGACTATCTCGGAGCTCGAATCGTATACCACCTGGAAGTCTCCTTGGATCTTTTATTCTCAACATAAGTGCAAACAAAGGAAAGTGGTTTAGACATGAAAGAAGGGTATCAAAGCCAGCCTTTAAAGAGATAATAGCCATCCTTGCGATGGCAAAGTTGAGATAGAAGACGGCGACTGTGGGCAAGAGGAAGAAGAGTAGCGTAAAGAGGATGGTGCCAACAAGGAGTTGATCTAAATCGTAGTCGCAAGAATCGATACGGTTGCGAAGAACGTTGTGTTTCTTGCCACGGAAAAGATGGAAGAGGGACTGGAGAATGGTGAGCTGCCAATGGTATATCCGTCCGGATGCAAGGTAGAACGAGTAGATGTGAATGGTCAGGGTGGATAGCATATCGGAGAACATGGCAATTGGCATGCTAGCTCCAGCAAAGGAGGAGAACCCTATGAACCACACCATCTGGGGTAATGCTGGTGTTAGAGTCTCGATACAACCTATATTATAAGTCAGAAAAGGTATAGATGTTTGAGAAGCTTCCCAAGACTCACTAGACCAGTAATCAATGACCCAAAGGAACAAATCTCCTAAGAAAGCTGCCAGTTCACCATTGAGCTTGAGACCAGCCGGCCAGCCCATGAGCCATGATATGCTGCTTTGAAGTGCGTCTACCGTGTAGGTCTGGAGTAAGTCCCCGATTTGCTCAGCAACCCAGTCTGCATTCTCAATAATGTATGAACCTAGAGCGATTCCGATGATGACATCGTTGGCAACAAGCCATAAGCTGTTGTAGAAACGGATATAATCTGGATGGCTAGTTGTAACACTGGCCCAGTTGTTTTTCCGTTGCCGCAATGTCATATACTGCATCGGCCAATAGCAAAACTGTTGTAGTCGTATCTCAACTTGTTGTGCTGTAGCCGATATATCTTTCAGAGCCGCATAACCAGGCTTGGCTCGAAATTCAAGCAGCAAGAGCAACATCTCTGCTACAACGCGGTGGCCCATGAGAACAAGGACAAAGGTCTTGCGTATAGTAGGGAAAAGGTAGAGCGTAAACCATGTCCACAACTGAAGGATGACATAATTTCGCATTGTCGATGCTGTCTCAACAACCCTTTCAGACACACTAAGGCTTCGGCGTGGTCTTGACCCCAGCCGTCCTACATTTTTATGCAACGTCTTCTCCAGCTCCCAAGACCAGTTTATCTGATTGATGATTTTGGGCAGGGCCCTATCGCGCGCAGAGGGAACTCGTTTGAAAATGGTGTGCTGCTTGAGCTTCTCAACCAATTTGCGCTTCTCTTCTTTCTTTTGGCGCTCTCGAGTCTCTTGCTCCCCTTCCGACACTGTTGTGTCGCCTAACAAGGAACCATCATGACCAAGCGCTAGTGCAATCGGATTCAGCGAAACGTATTGCATTCCCTGGGGCTGAGGTCGGCCATATAGAATGAGTTGTACGCTGACGGCCTTCGCGCATGTAATTTTTGGTTCCCTTGGATCTGAGTTCGTCGTAGCACAAAACCAAGAAGGGTCTGCGGCGGCTGCATCGATGGCATTCGAGAGGCCAAGGACATGCATTGAGCTATGGCCACACATATCGGTGATCTGGCTAGTCGGGTGAAGTTCGCTGCGGAACAAAGTACCGGCTTTGAGATAGAATTCGGTATTTCGTGCCTGAGAACAGTTAGCATACCCCTGCTATCGTATTGCAATACACCAAACAAACATCGACATCTTCGAGGATGGTTACAACAAACACGTCCAATATGGAATTGCGCCATCCCACCACGACACCAGGGCGATCGGACTTGCGAATGTCCGTCGGCCAGAACACTCTCATCAGCCCATCATGCTCTACCATGACAAGCAACTATGTCAACTAGGACGAGGCTCTTAAAATGAACCACGTCTTCTGAGTTGTTCCCGCGCAGAGACACCAGTTCCTGTTCCTCTTGGATGCTGAACAAATCTTGTTAGCCATTGTCAGCGGCTTCGGATGTTGTAATCGGGCGTACCAGATTCGTTTCTTTTCTGGCTAGTAAGACGGTCGGGGCGCAAATAGAGAGAAAGAGGACGGATAGTGCAGCAAAGGCTTTCGCTGCGCGTGTCTTTGTAGTTATAGGTTAGTCCTGTAGAAGGTTGCGCAAGAAGGAGGGGCATGGGCTCACGACAACACCGTTTTCCCAAGCGAAGATGGCAAGTTCATAGAGACGAGTGACGAGATCCCAACGGGCAGTGATGTAACCAGCGACGAAGATGCCGAGCGTCAGAATAGAGAAGGGGTGCATAGAAGCGCTATTACTCGTGGCAGTACATGCCGTCCTCTGGTGAAAGCTTAGAAGATATAGAGTCTATGCCAAGCTGTCGTAGTGGGTTTGCTGGCGGGACGAAGCGAAGGTTGACCGTAGGTTCGCAAAGCCGATAGTCCTGAATAATGACGAGAATGTTTGGTTATCAACGTCAGAACTAACAAAAGGAAATGGGATGCAGGTTCAAGAGGGCATTGCCAGCCCAATGGAAGAGATCGAGTTGATTGGTTCCCCTTGCACATTGCTCTGTCCCTGAAGAGCAACATGGAATGGACTAACAGTGGGTCACCAGTCAATCAAGATCACGTGTGAGCGGCCTGATTCCGCATCCTTCAAGGCGATGACGATGGTAGGCAAAAACGATAGGAGCATGATATGGAACGGGGAGGAGGAATTGCCAGGCAGCAGGAATTATATGGGAGTTGAGTAGAGAGAGTATATGCATCAGGTATATCTGGGGCTCTTATTCACCTAAGCTCCGAACAATCATATTTTCTTCATCCGGGACGCCGTGCTCTCCAGTACACGATGTATGTTATTCTAAAAGCAATATTAGTAGGTTAGAGGGTATAGGAAGTAGGGAGGTATCATACTTCTCGGCCCAAGGTGCTTTAGATCGTTCTCTTTGTTTTCTTCCCGGGCCTCTTCCACTAATTTATCCACACCTCGATCCTTTAGAGCAACCTGTGGTAATTTGTGAGCAATAAGAAGCCTCAAGCCTTAAATGAAGAGTACCTTGAGACAGTTTTGGTATTCTTTGAACATGCCTGCACATTCCTTGTTGTCCTTTTCCTGGCCTCGAAGGTACTCTGCATATGTTCAGCTAAGTGCCACAGTAGAGGTCGAGATACATACTTTCGCTGTACCATTTTAAGAAACACGTATCATACCGTCTAGAATCCTGTATAAGATGGAGCTCTTATCCATTATGTGAAATGAACTTACTCCTTAACCTCGTTGCACTCTGGAGCTAGTGAAGCTGACATTTTGAACTGATGGTGGTTAATGATGTAAGGTGTTTGAAGCATTAAGAAACCTAGGTAGGTAGAAATACTTAGGGTGCCCCGGAGTTAAACACGGCAAGCTACACCTAAAAGCCACTCCACCAGGTAAAAGGTTAAGTAGCCAAGAGAGAACAGTCTTGATATATCTCCGTTTCAGACACCTTGATATGCCAAGCCACCGTATGAGCATATCAGTACTGAGCCTTTGTTTCCTCGAAAAACGGAGAAACATTGACAATTCTATTGTGTTCATTAATGTAACGATCTCGACTAACAGATGGAGTCTTCAGAAACGCAACAAGCTGCCATTGGTCAAAGCTCTCCCCCGCCAAACAGAAGTCTCCACAATAAACGTCCAGGCTCACTCTGAGCCTGTCGCGTCTGAACGCGACTCAAACCGAACACTCGACTGCTCATCGTGAAATGCTATGAACCATCAAATTACTTTTATTTAAGCAACCTCGGCAAAGAGTCATTTATCGGCTTAAAACGATTCTAGAGTAAACTTAACTATGGCGCCATCAGAAGATGAAATCGAGCGGGGGCTCCTTGATGCCACTTATCAAGTCTATCAAGCTACGCCAGACGAAACCACTGTGAACAAGGTTCGCAAACAAACCGAAGAGAATCTCAGCCTCGATGAAGGATTTCTCTCAAGTGCGGAGTGGAAGCAAAAAAGCAAAAGTCTGATCAAGGAGCGAGTGGTATGTTTGGCTTTTGAACGATGTCTATATCATAAACTTACACAGATTTAGGAGAAACTTATGGATGGATGGGTTCCAGACAGCAATAAAAATGCAGATTCAGATGGAGAAGACAAAACTGGCGTGAAGCGCTCTTCTCCTGATGCTGAATCACCTGAACCAAAGCCCAAGCGCCAGAAGCGCGTCACAATGCCCAAATCAAAACCAAAGTCAAAAAAGGCGAACAAGAAGGAGGAGTCTGATATTGAATCTGACCTTGAATCTAAGCCCAGTGTATCCAGCGAACTGAGCGAACTGAGTGATCTCAGCGAGGAGGTGAAACCCCAGAAGAAGCGAAAGCGAGCGGCGCCAAAGAAAACAGCACCAAAGCACAAGTCTAAAGCCGTTAAACCCGAAGGGGGGGACGAAGAGGACGAAGAGGGTGCGATCAAATCTGAACCTGAAGTGCCAGGGGATAATGACGATGAGGTTGAGAATGGAGAACTCAAAAGTGACAAGGCAACAACTTCAACAAAACCACAGAACCCAGCAGATAGAGAGGAGGGTTCCAAAGGAGGTGAGAACAAGCCAGTTGTCGACGAGGAAGAAGAATATTCCGATGTCATCGATGAGCCAGTAAAGCCCAAACGCAAGAAGAAGGAAAAGAAAGAGGCAGGCAGCAAGCCAGCAAAGGAAACCAAGGTTGCCGCAAAGAAAGTCACTACATCTGACGACCCTAACACCGAGGAAATCAAGCGACTACAGGGTCAGCTTACGAAGTGTGGTGTTAGAAAGCTTTGGCACAACGAGCTGAAGAAATACGGCGATGATGCCAAAGCAAAGATTCGACACCTTAGGAAGATGCTCACTGATATCGGAATGGACGGCCGCTTCTCAGAAGCGAAGGCGCGCGAAATCAAAGAGAGGCGAGAACTTCTGGCCGAGGTTGAATCTGCGCAGGAGATGAGTGCTCTCTGGGGTGTAGAGGGCCGTGGTCGTGCAAGCCGCAGCAAGAGCAAGAGTGCCAAGGTCGTTGAAAGCGGCGATAGTGACGCCGAAGAAAACGACGATGACGAGAATAATGATGACGAAGAGGAAACGTATGCTGCGAGACGCAAGAGAGCAAGGGCGGATTTGGCGTTCCTGGGCGATGATGACAGTGATTCCGATTAAGGCCTATGGGTATTCTATGCTTATGATTCACCTGTCTATGTTGACGGTATGTAATTTAGGAACATCAGGATGCATCACGAGAAACTTTGTACAAAACGGTGTCTGGGAACAGGAGTGATCTGGTTTTTCTTTCCAATTGTCTTACGATAGCTAGGCGTTGAAAAAAACCAGCCTCTATTTAGCTGATGTGCTTTTCATCTTCAGTGATCCAACTCAATCGGCCCACGCCTTGTATACGGTTCTGGCACCGTATGTGTCACCCTTCTTGAGCAGGACCTGGTTCTTCCACTCAGGTACATTGGCAGCGTTAACATAGCGAGCAGGCTCACAGCAGAAACCGGCACGAGCACCACGAGCAGGCAGACCGTTGACGGCAGGCACATTAATGCCGGCGCCGGTGTAGATCTGGAAGGTAGGCTCAGTGCTATAAACCTCGAGGTTCACGCCGGAGCCGGAGTGGTGGGCCTTGACATTGAGGTTGAGGGGCTGGTTGCGGGTGTCCAGGGGCACAGAGGAAGGGTCTGTGTTTAGGACGAAGCAATGGTCGATATTGGGCTCCTGGGGGCCCAGTGTGAAGGTCTTGTTGGCGGTGACACCGGGGAAAGGCTCAATCTTGCCTGTGGGGATGAGATCGCTACCAACAGCCAGGTAGTTGGCTGTAGGCAGGGTGATATCTGTACCGGCAATAGTCTCCTTTCCGCTGGGGTTGAAGTAGGAGTGGTTGGTCATGTTGATGACGGTCTCATCAGCGTCACCAACGAGCTTTGCCTCGTATTCCATGGCGAGAATGATGACTTCCTTGCCATCGACGTTTTGTGTGCCAGTTGTGTAAGTAACAGTGACTTCGACGGTGCCAGGGTATCCCTCGTCACCATCCTCACTGGTAAGTGTAAAGGCAACACTCTCACCACCCTCAAGTCCCTCTACGCCTGGAACTTGGCGAGTTCCAACAGGTTTGGGGCCGTCCCAGACGCGGCTGCTCCAGCCAATCTTACCGCCATGAAGATGGTTCTGTCCATCGTTGGCGGCGAGAGTAACTTCCTTACCATTGAGGCTGTCAATGCGAGCACCCTTAATGCGGTTGGCGACACGACCAACAGTCACGCCGAAATAAGGGGAGTTGTGCTTCTCATAGTCCTCTTGCGTGGGGAAGCCCTGGACGATGTTGACGCCGTTGACGACAAGGGACTGGATAATGGCGCCAAGGGGCAGGAAAGAAATAGGAGCGTCAGCCATGATGGATGGTCTCACTAAAGCCGTTTTGTATGTGCGTGAATACGAGTATCGTTGAGGATGGCTATATGAGGGTTGAGGGTTATTTATATCACACCAACAAACCTAGCATAGAACGGAAAGAACAAGTAAACAACAAAATGGTTATGCACTGAATTGAGATGCGGCCAGGTTTATCTATTTCGTAGTGTCTGCATCCAGCAGCAGACTCCATACAGGGATAAATGGGATAGTTGTAGGACCCATCATGACACTTCAGGCTAAACTGCCAATGGAAATGGGGTCATGAGCCGCGGGGTCTTTTCATGGCAAATATGGAACAACCAGAATCCCACAACATGATGACGGTGGTATTCGGGCCAGCTTGAACGAGTGTGTGGTGACTTGAGTGCGGGGTGCGTCATGGGTGCTCCATTAATATCACGTAGTGACTGGTGCGGTTGTAAGCGATAATTTGGTAGTCCGTTGCTTGCGCAGTACTATCACTGCGTATTTTCATGAGGCTTAAACTGTGCGTATGTACCTAATTGCGTGCATACTAAGAGTATTCACATGTGCCCATCCATGTTTTAACAGGTGTAATTGTAATGTTGTGAAGGCGCGAAAGGCTGCTTGTGAAGCTTAAGCATGATCACGACAGGCTCAGGCCCATGGGTTCCACAACCACGTATTATGGTGTAATCGTTCACATGTGTTCAGAGACTGAAATCATGTCCAAATATCACAATAGGCTGATTTATAAGGCACAGAAAAATCCCTGAGTTTCAGGTTCTTCATGAACAACACGTACGTACTTTGACGCTGTATACACAAACTATCCGTTCAACCCTTTTGTAGCCCCGAAAACGCCATCTAAATGCAAAGTCGCTAGAGTGGTATCTCAAAGTTGCAAATCACACAATTCCAAACAATGGTTCATTCCTAATCTTGCGCAGACACCCTACCATTCCAGACGATCGTCACAAACCAGCTTAACATCAAATCGCTCATTGCCGTTCCAGACCTTATTGCCTGAGTTGCACCCAGCCACAATCGTGCGAAGATCACTGATCATTCCACCGGGGCCACTGGCAAAGACTGTCGTGGGACCAGTAATGGTGTTGCTCACAAAGTCGCTGATGAGCTTGGATAGGTTAGGGTGTCGGTCCTCATCGACAATACCGTTTCCGATTTTAGCAACGGGGACATCGGTGCCGCATGCACAGCCTTCTTCTATCACGTCTGAAGATGATGATGAGCCGAGTTGTCTGGTAGCATCTGTGGCATCCTTCTCGTCGCTGACCTGAAGCTTGGAAGTGCTGCTGGAGTCTCGTGTAGCGTAGACGCGGATCTTGAGATTGAGAGCCTTTCGGGCCTGCTGCAGAAGTTCCATCTCCTCCTGAACCCATTCAGCGTCAGCGGCATGGCGGATGGCCCAGATGAGCTCAATCTTGCGGTCTCGGGAAATGGGTGATCGTGCGAGTTCAAGGAGGACAGGGAGTACATAGGCAATGCCAGTGCCACCAGCGACACAGACAATATTGGTGTCAGGTGCAACATGGTCCATTGTGGTCTCACCATAGGCGCCAGTGAGAATGACAGAAGTGGTAGCTCTCTCGGAGATCGTGAGCTTCTTAGCAGCCAGCTCAGCCATCTTCTTAGTTTCACCGCCCTTGGCGCGCATGATGTACGAGTGCTTCACAACACCCTTCTCAACGACAGGAGCATTTATCGGAGTGAAGGGATGTGATTGCCAGATGTTGCTCTCAGTGAAACAGAGGAAGTAGTGCTGTCCGATCTTCCAGGGGTCCTGATCGTTTTCAAGGTCGAATCGAAGAATGTCGCCATGCTCAGCGTCAGGGAACCTGGTAATAACAGCTTGGGCAGCTTGAAAACCCATCTTACCTGAGGGGAGATGGTGGTAATGCAGATAAGCGGTACGAAGCAGTCGGAATCCACGGTCAGCGAACCAGAACAGGAGTGATGGAAGCAAGAAGCACTTGAGCTGCTTCCAATGACCCCAGCAGGCACCAATATAAACCATGGCGAGGACGTAGTGAGACTTGCGGAAGAACTCGTATCCTGTTGCGCGAATTCCCCAAGGAGTACTTCCGATGAACATGAGGAGTGACAGAATCATGGCAACGACACCCCAGATCATGTATTCCTGGACAATCCACTCGGCGGCAACCTTAGGTTGAGGCTGGTATAGACGGACCTCAACGACAGTCCAGGCAATGGTGTGAAGGGAACCCTGAAGGAAAATGATATAGCCCAGCCAGCGATGTAGGAAGATGAAGCTCTGGTAGGGTACTCCTGTGATGAGAGAAAGGACAGATTCTCTGCTAGCCAAGAGGACAGACAGAGGAGTCAGGGCATACGCGAGAATACCGACTCGGTCAGACCAAGGACCGAGAGTAGTGCGAGTGTTGTAGACTCCAGGCATATCTTTGACGGGAGTAACCCATTTCTGATAAGTCATACCGACAAAGCTCCAAACAGTGAGATATCCCACGAGGGACAGCATGACAGCAACCTGAAAGCGAGTGGTACGGCCAAAGATCGTCCGGCAGGCATCTGGAAGGAGATATTGCCGTGTTAACGAGCTGAGACTGCTGCGGACCTTGGCGAGACCGGCTTTTGGGTTCACTCCAAGAGTGATAGCCGGAGATGAGGGTTTGCCGACATGTCGTAGAATAGCCCAAAGGAAGAAGACAGCGAGGATAGTAGCCCAAAGGATTCCGGAGTAGAGCATGCCTAGATCGTGGGCATAATAGACCAGATCGAGATACTCGCAAGATCCCTTATCGTTTGTGCAAGGGAGAGCGCGATCAGCGTATCCCCAGTGAGGTTCCAGGATTTTGGCTTCGCTCATGTTTTGGATGTGGCGAGCATCCAGCTGGTTGAGAGACACCATCGTGAAGGGCGTACTGGTCCTGCTGTTCTATGAAAAGTGTAAAAAATATGTCAAGAGGCAATTGATTTTCTCATAGACTGGTGGGACAACGGATCAACGGATGGGCGATCTGTAGCTATCTCATGTATCAAGAACCATGAGAAGAGATGACTGTTGAGTATCAAGACTAAAGTAGAATAAAAGACGTGATGCCATTAGATACAAATAAGAATCGACCCATCGGCCGAGTCTCCACTGAAGAACCAACCGCCGTCACGGTCTTGACGACCTAGTATGAGCATGTTTGAGGTCTACGAGATAATCGGGTACGAAGTGATAATAAGGTCTACTTGGCGTCGGGAGCCAGGCCATATCGGGGAATTGTTTCCTGATTACTTGCTCAAAACGCCCTCTTGGAGATTGGCCGGAACGACCCTGATGAAGAAATGATACCCTGAGATAGAAAGAAACATACGAAGCTGAGGCAAACGAGAGACTATTCAAGAGGAGTTGAGCAGGAATGAGCACGTTTTACCGGGATCTTCACTCCATAGTGGGGCCGTCGCAACATCTGACTCCGCCGGGGGAATCCACCGAAGCTCGGCAAACCTTGGGATGTGGACGGAACCTGAAGCTTTCCAGCCCTAGATTTGGGTTTTACAGTATTATCAAGGATCGAATCAGTGATGGAATAATATCGCGTTATTAATATCTCCCTCATCCTTCGGCATAACCTTAAATTTTGACCTTATTTCTGCTCTTCCATGTCGCTTCTTAATTCTCCGGCAGTCTTACAAGTCTTGGAAACAGCTCAATCTTTCTCAGTGGAACCTCAACTCCTTGATATTCGCCTTACTTAGCTCCCCAACCAGCCACTCTCTGGTTCAAAACTACAGTCTTGGTTCAGTTGAAGTTAGATTCATTGTCCATTGCCGATTACAATATTCAACCCCCACTGTTCAACTCGAGTGAAAATACCAACCTAACAACTCATCATGGATCACGGAGGAATGGGCGGTAGCGGTGCTGCCTGTAAGGTCGAGGTAAGGTTTACTACCAGGAGATACCAATTTGTTCTTAACTAATAACCTCAGATGTTGTGGAATTGGAACACGATCGATGCGTGCTTCCTGGCCTCATCATGGCAAATCAAGAACCAGGGTATGATGGCTGCTACCTGTATCGGCGTTATCCTCCTCGTTATTCTTGTCGAGTTCTTCCGGCGTATGGGCAAAGAATACGATGCTCTTCTTCAGCGTGGCTTCCAGCGTCAAGCCACTACCCACAGTGTTTCTCTCGCCGCCGCGGGTTGCACGGGAGCTGTTGTTCCCACAAGTCAAAGACTTACATATCGAGCTTCACCTCTGCAGCAATTCATCCGCGCAGTCATCCACGCTGCTACTTTTGCGGGAGCCTACATCATTATGCTCCTGGCCATGTACTTCAACGGCTATGTTATCATTAGTATCTTTATTGGTGCTGGCCTGGGCAAGTTCTTTTGTGACTGGCTCGTTGTAAGGATTGATATCGAAGATTTGACAGCCCCTGAGGACAAGGCCAAGGGGATTGAGGAGACAACTGTTTGCTGCGGCTGAATATATGTCGATTGTATCAACCAGAGCTGATATATACAATGGAGGTTTTACATGACAAGTCTTTTTCTAGTGATACCCGTAAAAGCACTTTTGAAATCGAATTGCCTCGGTCATTATAGGCACACGGCGTGTATCTTGATATCCTTAGGAAAGTATTTGTTGTGAACATCTTGTAGAAGCTTCCTACTGACTAAAGTAGCCTGTGGTAAGTAAGCGGTATCACAATTTGAGTTGTTGGTGTACCACTAAGTACACTATTTGCGAGTGACCTTGATCATCTATTTATAGTATTACCTTTCTTTTAACAGTGGCAAGGGAAATATTTATATGCTACTAGAACTCAATGAGTCCAGCTCGAGAAATTATCTATACTACGACCTGCTTGATGAATTCATACTGGTTATTCCGAGCATTTCCAGGGGTGAGGATATAGGGTGGCACGCTGGCGTAGGTCTTGTGTAACTAGGAGGCGGCATAAAACTTTGAACTTGAGTCCTAAGTGATGGAAAGACTCGGATAATACTGTAATACTTTATAATATCTTGTGATAAGTTCAGCATAATCTTTAGCTTGTTTACTTTCTTATCCTGATATAAGGTCTCAAGTTTCCTGATGCCCAGAGGTGCGATAATATATAGCCCACTCTCCAGGACGTTTACTGTGGACTGCACCGAGGCATCTAGCCATCAAGATTGACCCCCCATAACTTAATTAAGACAGTCACCAGTGGCTCGTTTCTCATGCTGTCCACTTACAAGACTATCGTCTCATATCTGAGCTGGGATCAAGCAGCACAACACAGGTCAAAGCACCATGTTTCAAGTAGTTGTGCTTTGCCCAAACAAGGTAGTCACGAGTAATTCGAGACCAATACTAAAGCTTTGTGAAGTAGTACTCGACAGGGATCACGATCTAAGGCCTCGGCCGGCATTTGACGTATGGGCGGTAGTGGAGCAAGAAGGCAAAATAACTTGCTCATATCTCTCTCACCACCCTAAATTCATAAACATTCACCATATAATACTCATATGAAAGAAAAGAGAGATATGGCCTTTATCTCTGTCAATATCTTGCCACTATCATGAGTGAGTTGGTCGAAATTGCCGAGGGGCCGTACCAGAAAGGCCCATGATGGATCTGTGATTACATAGGGGATCGAACGTTGGTTGAAAGAGTCAGGGCGGCCTGAGACGAGAATGGTGGCTTTTTGGCATCTGGGATAGTTCCTTAATAAATACGTGCTCAATCCAGCTCCAACCAACTTATGACCTGAGGTGATTTATTTCCAAGCGGCCCCGGTCGCCGTCAGATCGACCACGCCACAGATCAATCCACCACATACAAGACTGTCGAGAGCCTCGTCAGCGCTTTACAAGTTACCTGTAATATTTGAAGGCGGAATATCCTCTGATATTACTTTCATTTTTTCTTCTTCTATTTGATATTTAACATCGTTTAAAGATTACGGATTATACACAGCACGCCTTCAGCATCATGTCTTCATATTCTTCTAGTCTATCGAGCTCATACTCGGGCTCACCAACTTCAAGCTCTGCTTCGCTTTCATTCCACCATCATGTGTCCTCCTCAAGAAGAGATACCGGCAAGATTGGAGACGAGATGGGAATAATCAGAACCTGGTTCTCAGTATTGGACGATAGTGAACGGTCATCTGCCCTCCACTCGATCGCAGAACTACCAAGTCTGCGAGAGATTGAGCCAATGATTCAGGCACTCAAAGACCGCAAGCGAGAATTATGGAGGCAACAAGAGGAACTCATCATTCAGCCTCCTGTAAAGCCGAAATGGATCATGCCAGTGTTCCCACACAACTCTCAAGATCCTCGCTGGGCTGCCAAATGGCTTCGAGCTTTGAGGTTGCACAAGTATGAAAGATGCTTGTTGGGAATGTCTACAGCTCAAGTTTCATGTCTAGAAGACGAGGATTTGCAGCAACTGGGCATTGATACCGTTGGCGCTAGGGCAAAGATGCTTCGCGTAAGTTATGAGGATATCAAAGCCTGTATTCGGTATGTCGTCTAACATGGTATAGGCTATCCACAATGTATAGAACTCAACATACTCGACATGTTATGCTTAATTATCAGCAGACCAACCGGTTTGGTCATGATTCTATCTTCGTCACGAATTTCCATGACGAGCATTCCTTCTAGGACATTTCATTTTCACACCAGGCTTAGCGAGGAGCAACAGAATCAGCGGAAAAAACACGGCATTGCCAGATCTGATACACAAAAGCCACATCGGAATGGTACGGTGGTCTGAGATCTGGCATTAATGGTGTTGGGGTGGTTTGACATGGGGAAATAATGGCGTTGGGGTATGGATTTGGAGGGGTTATAAAACTACGCCGCATCCGGCATCATATAACTTTGGCGTAAGGGTCTTTACATAGTACAAACTTATAGATAACAACTGTACATATTCATATTTCATTATCATTCAATTTGGCCATGCTAGGTATCTATCATCATGCTCTAAACATCTGAGACATGGCGATCAGCGGCAGATCTACGATATGATGCTGGCCCAACCAGATCGAACGTGACCCGAAAGTCCGAATGTGACGCTGAATTTGCGGGTTAATCACGAGGCTCTTACGAACCTCATACTTACCTACTTGGCTTTGTATTTGTAGTCATGCAGTACAGTAATCCAATACTCTTCTTATTATTCTCATTCTTGGAACACAAAATAAAAGGTCCAATTGGAATATACCCTCAAGTCACACTGCCACTCGCGCTTCCCTTTTCGGTTTATTACTAGTGAAGCAAGTTAAGTACGGACGGAAGGTCACAAATAGCAAGTGGTGCTTGCGCAACCAAAACCGATAGTTCAGGTGCCGTCGACTCAGCTCAAACTGCGGATCCTCCCTTCAACGTACCTCGACAAGGCATCGTTCCCAACTAGAGCGAGCTATCGACCTTATTTTCGACAATACTCAGCTCTGGACTCGGCTCGACTCGTCCTGGTCCTGAATTATCAAACAATGAACTATGGCTATGGCCACCGCGTCAGCAAACATCTCTAGCACCCCGAAACGCAAGCGTGGAGAAGAAACCTGGGCATCTTCTATACAATTCACCTTTGTGCATGAGCCTCTATCGTCTTCCTTTCACCCTTCTTCAGTCCCAACTCCAGCAGACACAGAAGATGGCAGCGATAGCTCACGGTCAAGGGTCCTTGCCCACAAGTTCCGTGGTCTTGCACTGGAAAGTGGGGGCGGGGCAACAGTCAGCAACGAAGACAGCGATAATCTCATGGATGAGGACAAGTCGATGAGGAAGCGACAGAAACCCGATGAGATTATGAGCGGGGCAGATGCAGCTCCAACTGTCCAAGAAGTCGTCGATCTTGACGGAAAGTCTGTCCTACCATCAAAAGAACCACTGCAACCTTTCAAAGGTCGCGTACACGAAGAACCCCGGCAACAAAAGCTAAACCACGGGAGCCTGCATCATGCATACCCGTCTATCAACAGGCTTTCCGAGTCAAAATCGAGAGTCAAGAAGAGAACGGGTTCGCCACCACTCCGCATGAAGCGCCCTTCTCGGCGGCCTTTTGAGGACCCAGACGAAGAAGAAGTCCAGATTGTCGACCCTGTCAGAGCTGCGTTGACGTGGCATGAAGATGAGATCACCATCTACGACCCTGATGATGAGGACGACGACGGTATTGGAATCAACGGTATCGGATTCAAACCCACACCAGCTCTTGCGCATGCACGCGCCATGAGACGGAGACAGCAGATGGCAGAGTATCGCAAACGAGAAGAGAGCGAGGCACGAGCACGACGCAGTCAGCGACGCGGTCGTGGTTCGGGAGTCAAGTTTGGACGATCAGAGGAACAGTCACCGCCGCGAAAGGTCAGGTTCACAGACACGGAGGCTTCGAACATTGCGATTACTACAGGATAAAGTTATTATTTGGCGCGTATTGGGCTCGAAGCCAACGCTTATTGGGACGCTGGCAGCGGCTATAGATGTTTCTAACGATTACTTTGGCGTTTTTTTTTATTCTGGCGGCTTGGAGGAAGCGGCGTATCAATCACGAAGAAATTTCATGGTTCTTTCATGGGGATTCACGGTTGGTGAAAATTGAAGGGATCGTTGGCGAATACATCCAAGGCCTAATCAAGCCGCTCTATACCCTGGTCTTTAAAAGATCATACAGCACTACTACGATTTGGTGCCCAATTCACGGAAGCACTTCTTTATACTTGCTCTTGTCGTCTAGGTTCATTTTTTTGCAATTGGGATTTTATCTACAAGCTATATCCAATCCACGAGATATACACCCTTACACAAATAATAGTACATAGGAGGTGCAATGTGCTCAACCTGATGGTCACCAGACCTTGTACCATGGCTTTACTGCCGCCTTCTTTTCAGCCTCCAGCTTGTCGTGCTCACGTCTTGCCTCTTGGATCTTTCTTGCTTGCTCTCTCCTATTCTCTGACACCACCTCAATGTGTCGTTTCATTTGTCGACGTTCCTCGCGGCGTAGGTACTGGCACCATTCGTATGATGCCATGCTTCCAAGCACAAACATTCCAACAGCCCAGTTCGCAGCGCTACCGGGGTTCCCTTCACTCCTTTTAGACCATGCCTTAAACTAGAAAGTTCAACATTGTCCACTCACCTTTGAGGACGAACCTCAATCCTCCAATACCGGCACCAGATGCTATTCCTGTGATGAAACCTTGTCGAGCACAAGGAGTATTTGCAACATTTGTAAAATCGTCCTTCTTGATCATAGAAACGGCCTCTGAAATAGTTGGCCTATTATTCGTCGGTGTCGCTCCATGTTCGCCGTTGACTGTAGTAGCTTCGTTTTGCTCTATGGGTTTCGACCAGACATGCAGGGTCTTATCGCCGGGCATCGATTGCCCATCCTGTGGATTTGAAGCCATTCCTGGCTATAATTGCGACGCAATTGGTGTCATGAACAAGATCGCACAGCCAAATATCGACTTTCTTTAGAAGCACGTGGGATAAGACCGATGACGCTTGACAAGCAAGGCTTGCATCGGGATCCTTGATGGCCCGTGCACGCTTCGTTGCTCTGTCGAAAGTCCATTAAAGTAAAGTGGGGTGCTGTCGCGTCGCGAGGGCGCGTCTAAACGCGTCTCACGCTTCCAATTTATCCAATCTCGGTCCAGGCTCTAGGGACGCCCTTCATTTACTTTGTTCCCACAGATACACTCCGCTCAGTGTTGACTTTGCAAACAACTTTTTTTCTCAATTATTTTTTTCTCCTCTGTTGTTTTAACTGCTCTTGTGCAATTTCCCTCTCTCCATGTCGAATCTCTGCTACCTGACATCGTCAACTGCTTGTTAAACCACACTCCTTTTGGGGAGCCCCCCCCCCCCCCCCAGAACACTCAATGCCTAACACAAGTCTTCGTCGCCCTCAGAAGGGCTTCCGTCGAGGAGGCAAAGTTGCCTACCATGGTAACCGAACACGCACATTCGCGGCCTCGTCCAGGAACGAGGCCACGTCGGCAGACGAGAAATGGGAGCGGACACGGCTAGCACACAGCATTGACGAGAATATGGGCTTTGCGCGTTATGAGAGCGGAAAGAAGAGAGAAGGCTGGCTAGTCAACATTCAACCCACATCGATCGAGGACGAACGGATACCGGGTGGTCGAGCCGCTGTCGACTGCTATTTCATCGAAGAAGACGGCTCGACCTTCAAAGCTACTGTGGAATTTGACCCATACTTCTTGATCGCTGTCAAGAAAGGACGAGAGTCTGAGGTTGAGGAATGGGTCAAGAGGGTTGCCGGAGGTGGTGTCGTCAAGTCGATTCGAAGAGTTGAGAAAGACGATCTCAATATGCCCAACCACTTGCTCGGCTACCGAAGGACATTTCTGGAGTTGAGGTTTGCTAATGTCAATGACCTCATGGCTGCGAGAAAAGATATCATGCCTATTGCGGAAAAGAACAAGAAGAATATGAATGCTATGGATGCCTACGCCGAGGTGGCAACGTAAGTGCTCAACTGATCTTTGGCAGGATCAAGCTAACACGAAACAGCTCGAATGGCGACTTCGACCTTTTTGATGATTCACGAGATGACGACCGAAATATGAATACTGCCCTTTCCGATGCGAGCGACTTTATCGTCGATATAAGAGAATATGATGTACCATACCATGTACGAGTAATGATAGATTTAGGTATGATCAATCCTTGTCCACACTCTTCTACAAGCTTTACATGATGTTTGCAACCAAGTATTTGCTACTTCAGAGCCCTCAAGGGCTATGAGACCACTATTCACCATTGCCCTGATTATTGCTTCTATACATCCCTTATTTCTGCCTTAGACCCTTGCCAGTCACCTACTGACCTGGACACCCAGATATACGAGCCGGAAAGTGGTACTTTGTTGAAGCCAAACATGGTGTCACCAAAATTTACCCAAACGAAGAGAGGTCGTTGCCGGCTGAACCTGTAGTAATGGCTTATGATATTGAAACATCAAAGCTGCCTCTCAAATTCCCCGATGCTGCCACCGATCAGATTATCATGATTTCTTACATGATCGATGGCCAAGGGTTCTTAATTACCAACCGCCAAATCCTTTCAGAAGACATTGGCGACTTCGACTACACACCCAAACCAGAATACCCGGGCCCCTTTATGATTTTCAATGAACCTGATGAAAAGGCTGTCATCGAGAGATTCTTCCTGCACATCAAGGAGGCACGACCTACCGTCATTGCGACTTACAACGGTGACTTTTTCGATTGGCCCTTTGTGGAAGCACGGGCTAGCATCAATGGAATTGATATGTATCAAGAGATTGGATGGAAGAAGGACAACGAGGATCAGTACAAGTGTAACTACAGTGTGCACATGGACTGCTTCCATTGGGTCAACCGAGATTCGTATCTGCCTCAAGGATCTCGCGGTCTGAAAGCCGTCACTGTCGCGAAGCTCGGATACGACCCAGACGAGCTGGATCCCGAATTGATGACACCATACGCGACTGAGCGACCTCAAACACTCGCTGAATACTCCGTCTCCGATGCCGTTGCAACATATTATCTGTACATGAAATATGTCCACCCTTTCATTTTCTCACTTTGTACGATTCTACCTTTGAGTGGTGATGAAGTATTGAGAAAGGGAACTGGTACACTCTGCGAGATGCTGCTGATGGTGCAAGCATATCAACGAGAAATTGTACTTCCGAACAAGTATATCACACCAAAGGAGGCCTTCTGGGACGGACATCTCCTCGATTCAGAGACCTACGTCGGCGGTCACGTTGAAAGTATCGAAGCAGGAGTCTTTCGAGCTGATATCCCAGTGGATTTTGCTGTCGACCCTGGAGCTATTGACGAGCTCCTCGGCGATTTAGATGCTGCCCTCAAATTCGTAATCACAGTTGAGGAGAAGAAGAACTTTGACGATGTAGAGAACTACGAAGAAGTCAAGGCTCAGATCGTCGAGAGGTTGAACAAGCTCAAAGAAACGCCGAACCGTAACGAAAAACCCCTGATTTACCATCTTGATGTCGCATCGATGTACCCCAACATCATGACAACCAACCGATTGCAGCCTGACTCTATGATTCAAGAGTCCGACTGTGCTGCCTGCGACTTCAATCGACCAGGAAAGACATGCGATAGAAGGTTACCTTGGGCTTGGCGAGGAGAATACTTGCCCCCAAAACGAGATGAGTATAACATGATTAAAAATGCACTTCAGAACGAGAAATTCCCTGGTAAATATCCCAGTTCTCCTATGAGAACCTTCCAGGAACTCAGTGCCGATGAGCAAGCCAATCTTGTACGAAAACGTCTTCAACTATATTCTCAGAAGGTCTACCACAAAATCCATGATTCAACAACTATTGTGCGAGAGGCAATCATTTGCCAAAGAGAAAACCCCTTTTATATCAACACTGTACGAGACTTCCGTGATCGTCGTTATGACTACAAGGGCAAAGCCAAGGTTTGGAAGGGAAAGACGTCATCCTTGCAGTCTGCTGGTGCTGCTCAGAGCGAGGTTGACGCTGCCAAGAAGATGATTATTCTCTACGACTCGCTGCAATTGGCGCACAAGGTTATTTTAAACTCATTCTATGGATATGTGATGAGAAAGGGATCTCGTTGGTACTCACTCGAAATGGCTGGCGTCACTTGTTTGACGGGTGCTCACATTATTCAAATGGCTCGACAACTGGTAGAACGGCTGGGACGACCTCTGGAATTGGATACCGACGGTATCTGGTGCATGCTTCCCGCAACCTTCCCAGAGAACTTCTCCTTCAAACTCAAGGGCGGCAAGAAACTCAACATCTCATATCCCTGTGTTATGCTTAACCACCACGTCCATGCAAAATTCACCAACCATCAATACCAGACACTCGTTGATAAGAAGACCCTCAAGTACGAAACACACAGCGACAACTCCATTTTTTTCGAAGTCGATGGTCCATACAAAGCCATGGTTCTGCCCACATCGAAAGAAGAAGACAAAAACTTGAAGAAGCGTTATGCTGTCTTCAACGATGACGGCAGTCTTGCTGAGTTGAAAGGTTTTGAGGTGAAACGTCGTGGTGAGCTCAAGCTCATCAAGATCTTCCAGCAACAGATTTTCAAGTTTTTCCTCGAAGGTGAAACGCTGGCCGAATGTTATGGGGCCGTTGCCAAGGTTGCCAACCGTTGGCTGGATGTTCTGCACAGCAAGGGCACAACATTGGCAGACGAGGAGTTGATGGAACTCATTTCTGAGAATCGAAGCATGTCCAAAACACTGGAGGAGTACGGAAACCAGAAGTCAACCAGTATCACAACTGCCAAGCGTTTGGCAGATTTCTTAGGTGAGCAGATGGTAAAGGACAAAGGACTGAACTGTAAGTTCATCATCTGCGCTCGACCCAAAAATGCACCCGTTACAGAACGAGCTGTTCCGGTGGCTATCTTTTCTGCAGAGGAATCTGTCAAGCGTACATATCTGAGGAAGTGGTTGAAGGAGGAGCCCACTGACACTGATCCTCGTGCACTGCTTGACTGGGATTATTACCTGGAGCGATTGGGCTCTGTTATCCAGAAGCTGATCACCATTCCTGCGGCTCTCCAAAAGGTCCGCAACCCTGTACCTCGAGTGCCACATCCTGACTGGCTTCAAAGGAGGATCAACATCAAGGACGACAAGCTGAAGCAGAAGAAGCTCACTGATCTTTTCAAAAAGAGTCCACTGGAAGACATCACCAACATTAATGGTCCCCGACTGGATGATGTAGAAGATTTTGGTAGCAAGCTTTTGAAGCCCAAGCAAGTCAACGCAGTCATTGCATCCTCTCAGGCTGCAACGACGGTTCAGAAGCGCAAGTCTCCTGAGCCAGCAGAGAACCCCGATCCCATGTCTGCACTTCCTGAAGTTATGCCAAGTGCTTCGGAGAACTATGAAGCATTCTTGATGTACCAGAAGAAGAAGTGGAAGTTGCAGAAGCAAGCCAGAATCCGTCGACGGCAATTGTTTGGTGACCGAAGAGGCGGTGCAGTCAACAATCTTCAGCAAACATTCATGAAGCAGGCGCACACTACTTACATGAGTAACTGGCAGGTCTTGCACCTCAAAGCGACTGAGACTCCTGGTATTGTCATGGCATATGTCCTAATCGATGCCAAGATTCATACGCTTAAGGTCAATGTTCCTCGACAAGTCTTCCTCAACCTCAAGAGTAAGGATCTTCCCGATGTTGAAGTGGAAGGCTGTGAAGTCGAACAGGTCAATTACACTCTTCCCAATGGTCATCCATCAAGCCATCTCTTCAAGTTGACTGTATCGGAAGATGTTTACTTCAACGAGAGCGAAAAGTTCTCCCTACTCTTCAATCATCCTAGTGTTGAGGGCGTGTATGAGAAGCAAGTACCCCTGAACATCCGAGCTGTCTTGCGTCTTGGAAATCAGTGTACCATTGACGCAGCACAACATGCTGTGCTGGGAAAGGGTCTTGAGCAAGGCTTTGATCTGGCTGGTCTGAAGCGACCAGCCAAGACACGAACGTATCTCGAGACGTCACCACTGGCTTACATTTACGTTTCTCACATTGCAACTGGAGAACGACAGATTTTTGGTATCTTCTCTACCACCAATGACCAAGCTCACGTCGTTATTCTGCAGAAGAACAAGGACTCCGGTCAAGATCTTCCCAATATCTCCAAAATGTATTCGGAGATGCTCGCTAGACGGCATGCGGAAGCAGCTGGTACCAACTGGCAGGATTGTTTTACCTACCAGGAGAAACTCCACATCAAGATCACCCAAGTGACGACCCGACGCAAGGCTCACTTGGAGATAGGTGATGTTGTCAAGAAGATGCGCAAGGACGAGCCGCGACCACAGATGATGGTCATCCAGTCGTCTCAGCGTAAGCTGCTCATTCATGATGTCCCCATCTTGGGAGAGTTCCCAGTCCTCCCCTTGAAATACGATGTGGCGGATAGCTCTCTACCTCCTCTGGGGTGGCAATCTGTCATCGCCAAGCGACTTGTTGGCCATTACCTTGGCCTTGGATCCTGGATTCTACACCTTACCGCTTTGGCTCGTTACGGTGATGTGCCTCTGTGTAATTTGGAACGAGACGATCCCCGATTCTTGATCGATGTTGCCTATGCCCGACGCCTTCAAGCCAATGGAGTCGTGCTTTGGTGGTCTCCCGATGCTCGCCCTGATCATGCTGGGTATGAAAAGGACGATCTTCTTGGCCCTCTCGACACAGTCAAAATGCCAAATGTCAACAATCCAGGAACCTTCTCGTCTGTGTGTATCGACATAGATGTCAGAAATCTGGCTATCAACACTATCCTGACCTCATCTCTTATCAACGAGCTTGAGGGTGCCGACTCCGTCTCGTTCAATCCCGCTGCTGACGACTCAGAGACACTTGCATCCGAGAACGCCTTTGCCAACGCTGGCGTTCAGGTGCTGCGTGAGATGGTGAAGGCGTGGTGGACCGAAGCTTGTCGTGGAAGTACCATGGCCGATGTTCTCGTGCAACACCTTGTTCGCTGGGTTGAGAACCCCGACTCTTTCATGTACGATCGAGCCCTGCACTACTATGTGCAGATGATGTCTCGTAAGGCCTTCCAGCAGCTCATGGCTGACTTCCGTCGAGTGGGATCTCAGGTCATTTTTGCCAACGCCAACCGTCTTATTCTCCAAACCACAAAGGCCGAGGTCGGCAACGCATATGCGTATAGCGAGTATATCATTAAGTCGATCAAGAGCAAGCCACTCTTTCACTTTATCGACTTGGAGATTAAGGAGTATTGGGACTATCTTGTATGGTACGATGAGTTCAACTACGGAGGCAAGGCCTGTCAGGAGGTTATTGAAGCCGAAGAACAGAACCTCGAAACTGTCATGCACTGGCAGATGGCAACGTTCTTGCCTGTTCGACTACAGTCCACATTTCAGGACTGGGTGATTGAGTTCATCCAGCTCATGCATCAACTGAAGCGGCCTCATAACGGCGACCCAGATGCTACACCACGTCTGACACAGCTACCAAGCAAGGGCCTGGAGGATCATGAAGGTCAGATTCTATTAGGCAAGGCATTCGAGAAACCGCTGAAGAAGGACATCATTGGCCTCCTCAACAAGCAGAAGCGTGAGCTACTTCATCCAGAGCTTGCACAGGACTACACATTCCCCGTCCTTCCCGGCTCACACCTCAACCCTCGAAATCCTATCCTCGAGCTTGTCAAGTCACTCATGCAAGTTCTATCGCTTGACAAAAACATCACACTTGAAGCTCGATTACTTCGAAAAGAGCTTCTAGCCTTGTTCGAGGTGCGCGAGTTCTCGAAAGACGGTACCTTCACAAACCCATCAGAAAGCCTTCGTCTTCCTCAGATATCTTGTGACAGCTGCACTATGATGCGAGATCTAGACCTATGCAGAGACGAAGATCTCTTTGGCGAAGGTGCTGCTTGGCGCTGCGGCTTCTGTGGCACCGAGTTCGACCGTGTCGCCATAGAAGAGCGATTATTGGGCATAGTAGAGAGCTGGATTGTGGAATGGACAACGCAGGATCTCAAATGTGCCCGGTGCGGTGCACTGAGACTGAACGACTTCATGGAACACTGTACCTGCAGTGGAGAGTGGAAGGAAATTGTGTCACGGCAAGACGTGAGCAAGAAACTCGGAGTTATGAAGAGGGTGGCCAAATTCTACGGGCTAAGAATGCTCAGTGATGTGGTCGAGGAACTTTACAAAGGTTTATGAACGGCGTCATGATGGTTATAATGGAGTTGGCTTACACTATAACGAAGACAGTAGTGGAGGAGTAGAAGTGGTTAAGAGCATAATTATCATAACCCATAATGATTTGGGCAATTCAAAGTTGAGCATTGTAGTAAAGAGGGTATTCTAACGTTGACTGAGCTTCTTTATGGTCCCCGCACAATTCTTTCCTTCTATCACTTGATAATTCTGCTCGTGCTAAAACAATGCCATCTGTCTACACCAAGAACACTGTCTCCAGTTCTTCAGGTTCCCGAGGTGGAGTCCGATCAAGGGCGCAATCCTCAACGAGATCGAAAGCAGCACGCTCCAGGTGCTGTGTCTTCGTATTGCGGCGCAGTATATAGGGGCACACAGCCCGCCGCTGATAATTGATGTTTGGTCGCCAACTCTTGTGTTAGGCGGTCCTAATGCCAAAGTCCCTTCGCTGGTCAAGAGAATGTAGTTGCTATGCGCTATTTCGAGAGCAGTCGAATACTTCTGAATGATTTTCTTGTCCTTCCAGATGGACTTTGCATCAAGTACCAGTGCTGTTGGGTCTGACAATGCTGGCAAGCAAATTGAACAGCGTCGGAGACCGTCTTTTGCGCGTATCTCTCCCTTAAGTTGCCCGATGTATGAAGAACGTCGCCATCAGGACATTCCGAAAGAAGATAGACGAGGATGGCCAAGTCAGGGTCATCCTTGGGCAACAGTGAGGTAGCTTCATCACCATTTTCGCTGGTCAAGACGGCCCCGAAGCATAACACACGACCCATTGATTCCCTGTGGTAGTTTTTCTCCCAAGCACTCGAAAAAAGCTCAGTAAGCAGCTTCCAACCATTCGATTACATCGATCAGATTGGCCAATTTTTGGAGCGATAGGTTTAGATACACGCTTGATCGTGGAGCATAACTGTGAGGTTACCTTATGGCAGTTTTCGATCTTTGTAAAGTGCCCCCCTTCAGGACTGTGCCACTCATACTGCAGTAGACATTGTTGAGAGTTTTCACGATCAAGGGGGGGGGGAATGAATAAGTTCATGATCTTCAGTTGGCGGAGGAGGGGTGGTTTAGAGGTACTGTTAGTAGCCCATGGATGCATTGACACTTTTGATGAATGGATAACTGTACACTATTTTCTGTTCCAAGCTCCCTGAGGTCAGACGAGATTTCGTCCTAGGCTTTGCCTGTATCCGTTGAGAATTGAAAGGGGTCTGAACTCCCGCGTTCCTCCAAGTGCCTCCATATCCAAGTCCTCGGTCGAATAGGTCGCCAATATATACATAGACACAAGCGGCATGGTGGAATATCTGATGCATGAGGCTAACTTGACGACTTTTCTCCATTTGGTCGTCCTGGTTGATGCACAAACGTCGACCCACAACGGTGACGGTTTCCTCTCTTTGTCCTGCGCGCAAAGTTCTCAACGGAAGATCGAGATTTGTCGTGATCCATTGGATGAGCCCATTGACAGTGGTTTTTCTTGGCGTCTGACGATTCCCCCAAGTGTAGAATAAGGCAACATAGTTAGGGGTTTGGCCATCAAGAGCGGAAAGCTTTGTCGTATACTGATTACTGGCCTGAGATACACAAATGGTCCCAAGAGCTCCGTGTCAAGGGGATCATTCCAAGAGCCAGGGAGTAACTGGATCAGGCGAAAGGATTTCTTGGGAGGCTGCCTATATAAGGCCGGAGTATGCGAATTCGAAGTCGAATATGATTTCACTATAGATCATATAGTTCCGGCTAACGTTTTGGTATGTGTTGCTCTTTCGGTATGGTAAGTCGGCAAAGCTTGCCTTTTTCTTCTCTTAAAATCAGACAGTCGTTGCAACACAATAAGCTTACAAGAAATATCAATGCGACTGATCAATGTTCGGCTTGACTGGAAGTGTACCCAATACAATGATGACTCAAGACAATAAAGCCGTTGATAGAGAGTGCGGGATCGATAGAGGCAGGTCAAGATTCAAGGCACTTGTTTAGTGACATGTTGGCAGGTTCGACTCTTGAATGCCCATCGCCCTCCTCTTGATGGACACTGCATGAGGGAGGTAATATGTGATATAGGATACTTCCCTTATTTAATCTGAAGTAATTCAGGAACCTAGGTAACTAGCCCAGTACCTGCCAGGTACATAGGTGCCTTACCTACTTATCTTACTGCTCGAATTGAATAATGATAACCACCTTTCGTCTACATATCCTGTCTACAAAGCATGGTTAAGTCATCTATCATTCTAGGACGGGTTTCTTTTTTTTTTTTTTTTTTTTCAAGCAACTTCCAACTGCAAGACACTTCAGATACAACAAAGAGGTGAATATTGTGAGACAAGTAATCAAGAACAGTAATTCAGTGAATGATAGGAAAGATCAGCAACTCTTCCGGTGCGACGCATAACCATGAGGCACAAAACACCCCTGCACTGCACCATGAAGAAACATGAAACTACGGGCTTATCCCCAATCGTGAGGGGTTGGTTGAACACAGTTGGGGGCCAAAAAGTCCTAGGTATCGCCAGTCCGCCTAACGTACCTCGGGTGAAAAGGGGAAAGGGAAACAAAAGTGTAGAGCAATCAACAAGTCCAGCATGTTTATGACAATATCGGCAATCAATACCGGTGGTCACTTGGGCCTCATTTTCATGTTTTGCTTTCTTTCCATGTAGTTTACTTGGACCCAAGTTCTTCAGCCCCCCCCTTTGTGTGTTCTGCATCAACAATCAGCCTTACCACTTATACTTGCTTACACAAAGGGTACTTCTTTTCAGAGAATGAGTGGTTCGCCCACCTCTGCAGAGGCCGCCAGATTTCTTCAGGCAACCACAGTCACCTATGACCAAGGAAGGCCCCAGTTTCGAATGTTTTGCATTTCCTCCATTCCTTGTTTGACCCCTCAAAAATTACTTTGTCCGTTTTTTTTTCTCAATTGCAGCCTCACAAAGCCATTGTAAGTTAATGAACTCACACAATGAACAACCTCAGGCGCAAGGACCACCGCGGGGCCGTTGACTTCCACGGTCCCGGCCATCACCACGGCCCCACAGTCCGGCATCGGACCGTTCAGGCAGTATCGATACCTCCCACGACACTGGCTTCAATTGCTTTGTCGATGTCAAAGACTACTGCCTCTCCCGGTCTCATGTCTTTTGATTTTTTTCAGCAGCCAATTCAATCAATTCATTCCGATTTCAATATTGACTGCTATCGGTCTGCATCACCAGCCAAGTTGGACCTGGGCCTGGAGCCTTGTACCAATTGGGCTGGTGAAAGCGATATGCGAGAGATGAGTACAATTTCTACCATCAGTGCCGATACTTCTTCTACTGGTTCCATTTTCTCCTCTGTTCCGACCGAATTCAGTGATGCGATGACGGTCCGTAACGGTAGAGGTCGCTCAAGAGGTCCGAGTCCACTAAGTCGAGGTGGGCGAACTAACAGCACTGATAATTCGACGCCTTCTTTCGTCTGCCTTGGCCCTCAATGCCAACGAGCTTTCTCGTCTGACAAGGACCTCAAGTCCCACGTCAAATCTTGTCACATCTATCTGTGTAACTGGGCTGGCTGTGACCAGCCGAGCTTTTCCACCAGGGACGGACTTATCTACCATGTCAAAGTCAAACATCTTGTCATTTGTCCATCGCCCGGTTGCACAGAGACGACATTCCAAAGTATTCGCCTTCTTCAGTCCCACATAGCCATGGCTCACCCCGAGGATGGTAGAGATGATGCAAAGGAATGGGAGCTTCCAGCAAAGATAAATACTAGCATGGAGACGGGCAACAGGTCATCGTCAAGTGGAACGCCCACCACTACTCTTGCGTCTCTCAAAAGAAAGAACAGAGATCATGACACAGATATGTCCATGGATGTGGTTAAGACGAAGCATCAATGCCAAGATCGCCTACAGATCGTCGTTGAGAAGCGAGCTAGAAAGAATGCTGGTAAGGCCATCAAGTCTCCCTTCCCTTGACAGCTCACGGACTGACTATCAAAGGCACTCCACGAAGTGCAGAGAGTCCAACAGACCTTATCAGAGGGCGAGCCTCACGGTGTATAGAAATAACGAGCTTTCCTCTAGTCTTCGAACACGCCATTCTTCCATTTCTTTCCCAATATCTGCCTATCTGGGTTGGGCCCCGTCACGTAGTCACTGTCACTCGAGGCAAATCCCCACAGATGAAGCGAATTTGCATCATGGCTCCAAAATCTATTTCTCGTGCTCGAAAGATCATCATTGTTAGCCACGTTCAAGATCTTATCCCCAGCAACTTTTCCAAGCTAGTCACGTTTGCTTTTACGCAAGGGGAGATTAACCGCACCGTTACCTGGGCTCGTGGCCTAGGCAAAGATCACAAGGACGATATCTGTGCCGCGAGAAACCCCTACTTCTTCCGCGATCCTTGCATGGGTGACAGCATCGGTGTTACAGGAAATGGGGTATTTGAAGATAGCACTGCTACTCTTGGTCCTTGCATCACCGTCGGTGGTGGGAGTTATTGGTTGGGCAACTTTCATCCCTTCATGGAGGCCTACCAACAGCTCGCTCAAGTGGAGGTTGAGCATCCATCTTCCCAAGATCGCAAGCGATGCATAGACGAGGGACATGATGCCATGGCCCAGGAGACGAACTTCAGGCTCGGTAAGCTCGAGGTCACGTCAGGTCTGAACCTCAAGACGACGAGAATTTCGCATGATCCTTATTGGGATGAGTGTGATATGGATAAGCCCCTTGTCGTAACAGACTGGGCTCTCATCGGTGCTCGTACTTCACAAGCAAATATCCTTCGCAAGTTCCCTTCAGAAACCCAGCCTCCAACTCAGGAACCAACCGTGGCTACTACAACCGCTATTGTGCCAGGCGCAGATGTTCTGTCTAGCGGTCGAACATCTGGTTATCAGCGCGGTCAGATTTGCGAGATCCCTGCGTATGTCTCTGGGGTGGAGAACCAGACGCAGAAGGCTACGAGAGAATGGTTTATCGAGGAACCATGGCCGCAAGAGGATGAGGATGCCTGGATACGTGGAGGCATTGGTGTTAACGGCGACAGTGGTGCTGGAGTTGTTGACGCCAATACACATGGTCTAATCGGTCAAGTCTGGGGTCGCAATAACTATTGGGGGCCCGGACAACGTGTCACCTACTTCACTCCCATCGCAGACATTTTCGACGATATCCAGGAAAAGTGTGGGCAGCAGTCACGCCCTCAACTTCCGCAGCATCGTGATGAAGCAAACTGCTTTCCGTTACACCCATCATGTCGTCAATGCTTCGATCTACGGGTATACCTCAATAGTAGCAGGAGGAGCTCGCGGATGTCGCTCCAAAGCATGATAATGGGTACAGGTGATGGCGACCAGGATCTGACCTCTATTGAGGCTGTCTCAGAGCTAGCTACACCAAAGGATTACCACCGCTATTCGGGCATCGAAGAGACTCTGGCTTCTCTCAGCGGCATTGTCTCTCCAGCAGGGCCCAGTGGTTATCCTGGCACTCCCATGATAGCCGATATGAAGAGCCCCTATGCTACAGAGCTGGATCTTGGTGATCTGTATGGGCCAGAAGCAACTGCACCAACTCAGGCTCGAAAGAGAAGAACGTCTTGTCTAGCTGCTGCGCCGGGTTCAGATAGATGGAAGAAGCAGAGAACTGGTGATTGATCAGCCAGCGAAACCTCCTCGTGCCATCTTCTTTGCCCGAGCATCGCGTCTATTGTGGTTCGCCCGAGACCCCTTATTTGCTTCTTTGTTCTTCCTAGCACTTTCCGTCTCCTTCTCGCCTGTAGGCCCCGCAACATTGCCGCCTCTTCCCCGACCTCGCCCCCGTCCTCGTCCTCGACCACCACCTCTGCCACCCCTCGATGATCCACCGTCAGGTTCGCTTCCTTCTTCTCCCGAGCCAGCTGGAGATGCTCGCCAAGATGTGCGTTCTAGTTGCGCTTGTTGTCCACTAAAGGCATACTTGGCCTCTAACCGTCGCTTCTGTTGGGGGTTCCTGACCAAGATAAGGGCCCATCCCTCTATGGCTTCATCTGTCATTCCAGTTTCTTCCCGCAGTTTGGCTCGCGGGTTACCTCGCCTTGTGCCAGCATCACGGTCGAACAGCTTTGAGTCCATCTGGTACGCACGGAACAATGCCTCCTCGTTGCTGTCGCTCGCCGCATCGGCTTCCTGGTTGGAGGCGTCAACGGTACCACCCACATCGTCAGCATCGTAAGTATCATCACGTTCGTCATCATCAGAATCGAATGCCGCGAGGGCAGAGAGAATGGCCGATTTGTTAGGCGCGGTTGCTTTATCTTTGAGCATTTCATCGGCGTTCTTGCCTGGTTTCTTTCCAAATGAAACCTTAGAAACGTCCATGGCAAGGCGGTCGAAATCATCGTCGTCAAAAACATTGTGCCGTGTGGGAACCTGAGGCGGAGTAGATCGCGGTGCAAGCTCTGTGTGTCCTGCTTCAGGGTGTGATGACCTAATGATGGATTAACAAATAATCGCGATTTGAGAATAGGCAGATTATCACGTACAAGGACTCACTGCGGTCAGCATTAGCCAAGTGAGGCGGTAGAGTCTCACTTAGCAAATTGGCTACAACCTGCTCCACGTCCTCTCCGTATTCATCGAGACATTTGGACACAAAGCCGGATCCTAAATCGGGAAATAAATCCTGAACCTGAGTGATTTGGCTCATTTTATGAACATGAATGTCGGCATTCGCTTCTTGCTGCGTTATTTTGCCTTTACCTTTATCCAATCTCCTTCTTATAAGTCGTTTAGGACGGACCATGGTTCCCTTTCTATAGCCCTCCAAGGCCGTAATTCGCTTCTTGAAATTTTCGGTCGCCGCGCCGGTATCCTCCGCCCTCCGTAGTAGTACCTTCAAGAGGGGGGTGTTGGTGATGAGCTCAGGGACAAGTGAGTCGTTGACATTGAGAGGGCCAGCCTTGTGAGCATCAGCCGCTTCCTTGAGGGCGTATAGTTGATCACTCAGCATCGACCATTTGGCTGGTTCAGTATCTATTAACCCAACCAGACATAGATACGTCGTGGTCAATATCACTTTGCGCAGAGGAGGGTTCATGACGCGGAAGCACACGATGAGGCCATCGAGAAAGTCAGATCCCGCAAGGAATAAAGTGCAGGTATCCGACGAAGCATGTAGAAGATAATTCAGTCGTATCAGGCGAGCTTCAACGCTCTTCAAATCACCCTTGATACCAGCCTCTAACTGTGGGATAAGTTGCTTCTTCAGGGCAGTCAATGCAGCCTCAAGCGCAGCAGCGTGTCGCTGAAAGAGCCGTGCAATGAGAGGGGCAGTAGCTTTCCTGGGGAATATTCTTGCGATATTTGCCAAGAACGCATAATCGAATAGTTGAGGAGGTGGAGATACAGTGAAGACTCTCGATACGAGCTGAAATACAGCTTTTGGTAGTGTTGTCGAGTGAGAGTCTAGTATTGTGAAGCCTGCCTCTGCTGTCTCCTCTGCGAAGGAGACTAGGAATGTTGCAATGGAGTCGTCGCGCGCCAGGGCTGTCTTGATGTCCTTTTCAGACAGGGACGAAATGGCACGGCAAATAGATGTCCAGGATTGCAGGAGTGTATTCCATTCGCTGGAGGAGAGATGCTGTCGCCATGATGACTGGGGGAATGGTGCGAGGGGTGGTAAAGAGACCATGGTTGGGTGTCTTTGTGTGCGTGGTAAACTTCTGGTTTTGTGCGCTAAATCGAGTGCAATTTTGGGCTTGGTTAGAATTTCAAGAGAGAGATGAGTCGTTCTTATAAACTGTCGCTCATGACCTTCATGAATATCGTGGCTCAAGCCTGCGTTTGCATCGCCGGATGATTCATCAGAAAGTGGATTCTCACAGCTGCAAGCTGATGAAGTCAACCTGGAGGAGGTACAAAGATACTATTCTACCGCTCAGGCCAATCAATGGCTCTGATTATGAAAGCGCTTAAGTGCTCCCGGGCTAGTGCGTCTTTACCCGAGAGCTGCCCTGGTAGTTAGTGCTACAAGGCAAACACCAAGCAAATATCTTGAGATGATTTCACTAGTGAGCTTTGTTGATTTGTTGTGGACAGTCTTTGTGAGATCTATAGCATTCGATAAACTCTTATGTCATTTCATCACTTGAAGTGGGGCCAGCTGTATCAAAACCACACAGCAACTTAATAAAAATGCACTGAATCTGGTACCATCCTTCACTTTGCTTATCTCGTGAAATTGTTTCTTTTACTGTCTAGATTATGCATCCAAGCATCCCCAATGATTATACACAACGCCAATTAATGCATTCTCCTGAATCGTCTAACGCCATCTATTCATCCCCGACTCTTCATCTCCACATCATATATAAAACAAGTTGTGAACTGACTCGACTTGACTCCTTGGCTAGAAGTCCCATAGTGTACATTCTCGCGGAGGCGGTAGTTCGGGCATCAGGCCACCCTCAAAGGTTCCAGTCTGTGCGAAGGCCATCCACTGAGCCTTGGACTTGTCGTCGTACATCTCAGGGGGCAATTCTGTATCCGCTGAGAATGCAGGAGGACCATCTGGGAACCAAATCCGCCGCCATGTCCCGTCAAATTCTCGGATTCCGGGTTTGCCGTCCTTGTAAATGACTGATTTGCCCTTGAACATTAATAGCCGTCCATCCATGCCTTTTGAGCTATAGCTCTCAATTGGCGGATGCTGTCTACTACTGTTCGGTGGATATGGGCCTGTCGAAGTGGCTGCTGCTGCTGCTGCTGGGGGGTTTTGAGCTTGTGTTGTAGCAAACGGGTTCGCGGCAGCTGGTGCAGCGTTGGAGGGTTGGCCAAAAGGATTCGCTGGTTTCTGCTGTGAGGGTTGACCAAATGGATTGCTCGCTGGTGGTTGGTTATTCTGCGATGCAAAGCCATTCGACTGAGTCTGTGAAGGCTGGCCAAATGGACTGTTTGTAGGTTGATTCGAGGTCGCGTTAGATGCACCGAATGGGGTTGACGTTGCTGGTGTGACAGCATTTGAAGGTTGGCCAAATGGCGAGCTTCCCTGAGCAGGCTGTGAAGGCTGTGAAGGCTGTCCAAACGGATTCACCGGGGCATTGTTCTGGTTATTATTGTTGGATCCGAAAGGATTGGCAGGCTGACTGGTTGTCGCACTACCACTTGGAGCACCAAAGGGGTTCGCTGCAGGGGCATTGTTGTTATTTGCGACGGCACCGAATGGGCTAGAGCTGTTGTTCGTTCCACTTGGTGCTCCGAAGGGACTCGGTTTCTGTCCAAGCTGGCTGGCTTGGCCAAAGGCACTGCCCTGCACGTTTAGCTGTGACGGTTGACCGAATGCGCTGCCTTGCGTATTTGGTTGTGACGGTTGGCCGAAGACACTGCCTTGTGCATTTGGTTGCGAAGGTTGTCCAAAGGCTGGTGTGCCAAACGGGTTGGGCTTTGCGCCTAAAGCTGAAGTTTGGCCAAAAGCAGATCCTGGCTGTGACGGCTGGCCAAAGGCTGAGGTTTGCGCTGGCTTGCCGAATGCTGAGGCGGTTTGTCCCAACTGTGATGGTTGTCCGAACGCTGAAGGTTGCGATGGCTGACCAAAGACCGAGCCTCCTCCTTGTGCTGGCTGCGATGGTTGACCAAAGGACGGTGCACCAAACGCGCTTGGTTTCGCGCCGAGAGTCGATGGCTGCCCAAAGGCGCTTCCACCGGTCGATGTGCCACCACCAAAAGGACTTGAGGGATTGTTGTTGTTGGACCCGAACGGGGTTGGCTGAGCGCCAGTATCAGCGATTGTCGATTTGGGTCGCTTCCCAACAAGAAATTCGCCAAAGGGGGCTCCTTGCGTTCCCTGTTTGCAAATATCGTGCCGATTCGGGTGGTTGTTTTCTTCGCCTACGATAAATTGAATTGCCCCTTTAACATCGCGGAGAGCGGTCTGCATTTGTTGTTGTGCCTGCGCATATAGCTCTTGTGCTTCGTTAAGCTAAGGTCGAATATAGGTCAGTCTGGACGGTCGCGTAGAAACCAATTGAATGGGCGCTCACAGCTTGCTGTTCGTTCCCCGACGCTTTCCCCATCATGAAATGTAGCCGCAGCTCTTCAAAACTCTGTTCGCGCGGGTATCCGCCAAAGAGCTGACCAGGAGCATCTCGCCCTGGCGCATAGGCCGAGAGGATCCATTGCGGAACCTCGTTCGTCAAATCCTTTTCGATGGTGTCGGTAGTAATGTTGTATTTGTCTGCTGAGTCGTCAATTCCTGTCCCGTGTATCAACACCTATCGTGTTTCGTACCAGCTGGGTTTTGATTGCTCCCTCCTCCAAGAGCTCCGAAGCGGTTCGAGGGTTGATTTCGATTGTTTGGATTTACATGTTCGAATCGGCAACTATCTATAGACAAGTCAGTGTGATCAGAAGGAGGACAAAGCAGCCCACAGAATAGAAATGAACCGTACTGCCGAATTTGCAGTTGCCCTGCTGAAAGAATTTACACAAAGTCATCTTTCGACGCTGATTGAATGGGAGTTGCGTCTTGGTCCAGTCAAGTTATGAGCGTAGAAACTTGGACACGCGCCCGGAGTCAAATGAGCCAGGTGCCAAACTGCCTCATGACATGCCCCAGTTACGTGTAAGTCGTGTTTGCTGGATTTGGGCGAATTCTTTCAAATTTTTGGAAAAATGAAGTTGAGAGAGGGAAAGAAAATGTCTAAGAGAGAAAGCTTAGAGAAAGATAGAGAGCACTCTCAGCCTTTCCCCAGCCTCGTTGGGCCCATCGGGTTTTTGCGAACGCTTGTCACAAGTGTTGAATTAGTGGGTCGTTATGGGCTAGAGCCTGAAGCTCACTGAAGCTTTGCTCCCCCGTGGAGCAAGGAAGCTTCCATTTGAACTGGAAAAAAGGGTGCCTAAATAAATACATCAACTTATAGTAAAAGGCCCCTTTAATCTCTGGCTAACTTACCTAAAAACTTTCGTCACTTGATATTTACACAGCAGAATTTATACTTCCTCTAGGCATACAATAAGGCGAAAGCTATATTTAAATTCTACAGCAAATCCCCAGATAAAAAGGTCTTTATTCCACAAGTTTCACTTCAAGACTCCCTTTGACGGTTAGTCACTTTATGCAAGGTACAAACTAAGCCGCTGTCTAATTATATTTATCACGGTAACATAAGCTTCAATTTTAATGCTTTTATTTTTGTTTCATTTAACCATTCGTAGACCATTCAATCATGAGTTTTTTGTTCTCCTCCTGCTGGATCCAAAATTAACATCTCCGTAACTAGGTAGGTAGGTGTCTGTATCTTATGTCCTGTACATCCATTTCATGAACTCATATTTCTCTCCTACTTTTATACTTTGAGCTCACGCGTTGATATGCGCAGCCTTACGGAACTCAATCATAGGTCCGTTCTTAGCACTCGTAAATGTATCAACCAACTGCATCTCGCCTGGTCGGTGTCGACCCCATTCATTCTTGGGGTTGCCCTCAGCAGGATCCACGATACCGATAGCCTTGCGCATATCATAAAGATACATAGTGCGGGCAAGTGTGTTTGTCATCTCAACATAGGCGAGACCCTTGCCGATACAGCCACGCGGCCCAATGCTAAAGGGGCAGAATGCACTGGCAGCCAGAGCAACCTCATCCTCGGTTGTCTTCTCGCCAGTGAGGGGGTTGAGAGCGCCAACGAGCCATCGCTCAGGAACGTACTCATATGGTGAAGGGTAGTAGGACTCGTTGTGGTGGATGGTATAATGGGGGACGCCGATAACGGTGCCCTCGGGAATGGCACGGCCTTCAACGGTGATACCGCCGGAGAGAACCTCACGGGGAAGAATACCACCGACAGATGGAGAGAGACGCATGGCTTCATCGATACAGGCTCGGAGGTAGGTGCAAGACGCGAGAGTAGCGCCTTGGCAGATCTCCTCGACATCGTTGAACTTGCTTCGGATTTCCTCGGTGACTCGCTCGAGAGCGCGAGGGCATCGGACAAGGTAGAAGAGAGTGGCAGCCATCGCGGTCGATGTGGTGTCAGATCCAGCAATGATACTATTCAGTTGTTAGTTGGAGTGTTTCGAGGTCGTCTAGTGTCACTTACAGTAGGTTGGACTCGGACCAGAGCTCAGGAGTACTGAAGCCCTGGCCAGTCTCGGGATCGCGGGCCTTAAGAAGATAATAGAAGAAATCGCGGCGATCCGTCTCCTCGCCAAGCTTGGTGCGCTCTGCAAGTTGGCCCTTGCTGTAGCCCATGTAGCGAGCACGACCAGCAGCGAGTCCAGGGAAGAGGATCTTATCCAGGTTGAGTTTGTTCACGATGGGCATGGTTCCGCACTGTGAGAGTCAGTTTCATCTTTTGTCATATTGGAAGATGGCAGGTACACTTACGAGAAGGTGGCGGGTTGTGGCAGCTTCAACAAGCTCCAGGGCAAAGCGGTTAGTCGGGCTCTCAAGCATATGGAAAGCCTTGCCGAAGCACAAATCACCAAGAATATCCATGGCAAGGTAATTGCACCAGTCGCTCATCTTGCGGGGCTTGGTCCAGCCCTTGGTCTCTTCTCCGGAGCCCTCCAGCATACCAATCTGCTCGCAGAAAGTACGGACGTTACCCAAGATGTATCGCTGCATCTCCTTCATAGCACTCTCGGAGAAGGCCTGAGACATGACACGGCGCTTGCGGGCATGGACCTCCTTGTCGCGCGTGTTGTGCGTGTTGGCGGTAGGGTGAACAAAGGCATTGTAGAATTCGGCCTTGCGGACGTTTGTGCGGAAGCCGTAGATCTCCTTGAGGGCCTTGTTGGAGTTGAAGCAGAGCGAGTTGGGGCCGAAGCGGACAACTGGGCCGTATTTTTGGTGCATGCGCCAGAACTCGAGCTGCCTGTCGCCCTTCCAGGCGTGGTAGAGCTGGTATCCATCTGTGATCTTGGCGAGGAATGGGCCTGGGTATTTGGCTAGAGGGTGAAAGAAGACTCGGTAAACAACAATGCCGAAGCCCTGGTCACATATGAGTTTCTGATTATCGTAGAAGCTGTAGGCAGTGTTGACTTACATAGAGAGCTAGTCCTCCTACCAACAACCCCAAGTAAACCAGCAAATGTGTCAAGTTGAACGTCATCTTGTTTGTCTCACACACAGAAAGGTGACTCTCTAAGAAGCTGTGAGAATAAGAGGTAGATAACAGATCAAGAGAGACGGAAGCCCCGGAGGAGTTATATACGTCTGATCAAGGCACAAAGCGATACACCTCCATATCTACACGACGACTGTAGCCCCATGACCACCCTCTTTTCTATCTAGCCCATCATGCCCGCCCACTTCTCATGTTTCGCTGACTTCTTCCATCCCTGGTCTGGATCTAGGCGAGACGCTCATAATCGGCTGGCGGCGGCACACAAAGCTTGTCAATAATCACAAACTTGTTGGAGGTGGAGGGGTGAGCCATGAAGTCTTCAAGCGGCTAAGTTCGGATTGGAAATGACGGAACAGTATTGGATCGCGGAGAATTGAGAGATTGTGGGGGAGCTTTTTAGATTGTGGGGTTTTAAGTTTGCCATTTGGGGAATTGTTATTATTTCGATCCATGATTGCATCCAGCTTCGATGACTCCTAGTTACGAGGGGCATGAACTCGGAATTTTACTCTTTGATGTTGGCATCTTTCTTATAGTGGTAGTTATCCGTCTAATGTTCAGATCTACTATATAAATCCTGTTATCTCCCACTCATGAAATAACTATCATAGTGGTGCAATACATCGTTGGCTCACAACAATGCTCAGACGTTGTTCCTAGTCCAGCCTCCTCACCTCCAAAGGTCACCTGCCATTTCAAACTTTCCCTTAAAAGCACAGTCAGCCACCAATCGGTTGTCCACGTCAAGTCAAGGTCTTTATGCCGTCATGAATAATGTGTATAATACGAATGATTGTCGACCCCCTCGGTCTTTGCTCCAACTCGGCCCTCACCATACAAGCGGCTCTGGCCCGTCCTGCGGAATCACACAAATACTCTTTTTTCTTGGTCATACCTGGCGCAGCAGCGGGCGACAGGGGCTTGTAAACCTCACATGCCCGACGATGACCGCGGCGTTGTGGAGCTTCGGCGGTCCGAGTGGGGACGGAGATATTTCTTTGCGGGGTGGGCACGGAAATCTGCAGTTTTCGTCTGTGTACATACACAATGCAAGCTCGACAACGGTTCTTTTGCAGAAATACATTCAGGAATGGATACGATAGGGTAATTTTTTTTTGGACCTTGTTGGTCAGCGGCTGACCGATTTCGTGGTAAGTCTGCCTCAAGCCACTTGAGGTTCATTGTAACTCTGTTATCTCGCAGGAACACAAGCTTTACATGGGTTGTGGAGGTTTGTGTAGAAGGATAACAAACATTATCGAGGCAATGTCAAACTAAAATGCCACGCGTTGACTCCGCAAGCAGTGCATACACTCATGGTCAGGTACATAGTACACAGTTACCTACAAATGCATCTTATATACATAGATACCACCACATAAATCACCTGCTCCTTGAATGAATGGTGAATACCCTAGAGCACCGGCCTCAAGAGACGAGCATTTTCAACAGGGAATTTTTTGCTGCGTCTTCGGATCACTATCATACAGCCAACATACATCATACAACAAAGAGTATATATTGCGTGCAATAGAATTAAGCACATGAACGTTGCCGCCATACATCATTCATAATCCATATCTTCCCTATCCCATTAACTCCTCCCATTAATATGAATAGCATATACGGCATCGAGATGCACCTTTGTCGTATTGCTCAAACCCTTAAACAGCATAATATACAGCCTATCTAGTTGAAATACCTGGGCTCGTTGAACACATGGTATCTGTGCTCTCGCACGCCATCACCTCGGAACATTGCGGGGAATCTCCAACCCTCAGGGACCTCCTCCTCCTTAACTCGGCGATTGCGCTCCTTATCTGGCTGGGCATCCAGTTTCTCGATCTCCTCTTTGGACTCAGGGATCTTGAACTTGGCAACCTGTAGTTCCGTATCGGTAATCGAGCTGCGACTCACGCGCGCGTATCCCACACGTTTAAGTCTCTTGAAAAGGATGTATTCGCACCATCGATCCCAATCTGACGGATCTACATCTTTCATACCCGACTTCTCGCTCACATAAGTGTTGTAGTTACCCTCCTTTGGTTTTGTGACCAGATAACTAAGTAAGAATGCCGGCCGAGGGGTCGAGCCCATGAGGTCAGCGAGATAAAGTGACTGCAGGCGTCGGTCTTCAGGATCCTCTTCTTGCCCGGAATGGAAGACAAATACATCGACGAGCTGGCCATAGACATCCAGCGTCGCATGGATAGCAGGAGCCAGTTCACCGACAGGACTAGGTAGAAGGTGATGCGTCGAGTTGAGGATGGGAAACTTCGACAGAAGAGCGGCACCCCATGTATGCTTATTGGGGCCAGGACCGTAGTCGACATACATGCCGAGATCCTCAGCAAGGAACTGCGTAGCATCACGGTTACCCATGATGATACGCTGGTTGTCGGACTCAAGAAGACCGATGACATCAATTTCCAATTCCTTAATGAGATCTCGCATACGGTACTCTGATGCCCACATATCGTTGTCAAACGAAAAGTGGATCGTCCAAATACCTGCAGTGAGGATACGGTCATCAGCATGATAAGGCTGATAGTTATTACTAGGGAACCGCTGGAAGGCCGAGATCAAGAAGAAAATATTGATCAAGATGGTCGCAACGCCAAAATACTTCCTTTGCTGGGTT